TTGGTGACTACTACAGCATTGATAGCATGTAAGGCCAAAAAAAATAAGTCTCCGGTTTCTGGTATGGAGCTTGTCCAAAAAGTGGTGCGGCGACGCGGCTTTTTTTTTCCCCCTGACTTTTTTGCTTCAAATGTCGGCTGATGACTGCAAATGGTGCCCAACTAAACTTAGTGCAAATATATGGGAGTCCAGAGAGGCCACATAAAGCTTATTCTCGAACATAACCCCATCTAAAAACACGTTAAAATTGTGCAGTAGCAGGATTCCAGTCAAACCAGTGAGTTTGGCGGTTTTGAGACATCATCTTTCATTGAAAAAAAAAACTTTTTCATTTTGCCGACGCGCATGGCTACGGCGACGCGCGCGCATACCAGAAACCGGAGACTTTTTTTTTTGCCTAATGTACATTTAGGCCTTTTATTCAGGTTCTATGGAATGGAAATTTCGTATCAATGATACCACACTTCATGGTGAGCACTTTTTCTACAGAGCTATTGGTTCTCAATAGCTCCTTAAAAAAAAACTCGCGTGTAATTAGTGTGTTCATCAATACGACGGCCTATTGACACAATGCTCTGCTGCTTTTCGCTCAGGTGTTTTTGGAAGGACTGCAAGTCGTAAACCAAGAAAGCCACGATACAAAAAAAGTTCTTCACTCGCTAAACAATAAATTACAGTACTTGGGTTTTTTTTTTTTTTTTTTTTTTGTAGCTTTACATGAATTTTGATATACACCTTAGCTAAAGGGAACGTACGAAAAGGGAGGGAATAAAAACGAAAGGAAAAAAAATGAAAGGACGAAACCAATGAAAGGATCCAAATGACGAAGTTTGTGCGGAAACGGCCGAGGGGAGATGTGTTTAAAGTATTACACTACTTTTATTTTCAATGAGATTTACTTTGTATTATTAACTACATTTCTCTTGTCTTAAGAAACACGTGAATGAGCACCTACAGAAACAGTACGTTTATATGGAAAACATTTTATTATAACCTGCAAGATAAAATTAACTTCAAAATGAAATACTAGTGAACTGAAATGTTGCATAGTATGCCCATGTATAAAAAAATGTTAACACTAATTGTAGAGATCTGAGGTAGAAACTCAAACTCAAAACTAAAAAAAAACCAAACGGTTTTTTTTTCATAGCCACACACGTTCACAAAAGAGATATTCCTGTGCTAATGAAATAAAGAATTAAATAAAAAGAAAACTCCCTCTCCCCTTATATTATTTTCAACTTAACCCTATATATATCTTTGACTCCTTACTCTCAACTCTCAAGCAGCCAAATGAATGAAAATAAATCCCAAAAAAGACGAAACAAAAATGAAAGAACGACAAAAGACCAGTAAACGAAATCATTCATTGATTAATTATTCTTTCTCATCAACAAGTTTGAAAAGGCAAAGAAAAAGCGGATGTTATTCTTCTCACCCTGTAGACACTTGTTCAATTTTATGTCAAACCCTTATGAGAAAAAGCGGAGAGAAATGAAAAATGCCCATATAGTAACAGTTTGTTTTGTAAAACCAACTGGCCACTGAATTGAACTGCCAGGGATTTAAGAAGGGCAGTAAACATCCAACAAAGGATCACTTATCCTGTAATTGAACTTTTGTCTGCCTGTCCACGTAAAAGTCCCACTACAAACTATCACCATGCACGGCCGTACAGTGTGCGTTCATGCGTGGACCGTCTCCCGCTTTGGCTTGAAGGGTCCCACACTCCCTCAATAACAATACCGTCTCCCGGTAAATGAACCAGGGGTATTTAGCCCGCCCGCTATATTGTTACACAGACATGTTTGAAGTTTTGTGTCCGAAAATGCTGGAAAAACCAAGAAAAACAAAAATGTTCAAGTAGTCTGGTTCCCTGACTCCGCTAAAGATGAAATGTATCAATTTATAGATGCCGGAAAATTGTAAGGTAAGGGAACCAGTCTAGCTGGCCTGCACCCGTTCATGAACATATAACCAATAGCAAACACAATTTGGACTGAAAAAAAATGGTAAATATGGAGCAGTAGTTGAAAAATAGTTAGGTTTTTCCAACGGTGGTCGGCCGACAACCGTTGGAAATGTATACAAAATACCATTTTCTTGAAAATGACTTCACACCAGGTCCCATAATTTTACAGAATGCTTTAGACTGTCATTAACCAACATCCTGGTAAGGTATTTCGTAAAAACTTGGTAGTTTTATTTTTCGATGTTTGCAAATGTTGTATTTTCCCTTTAATTTGAGGAATGAGTTATCACTGAAATATTTGTACCTAAATATGACACTCCACAGTTGAGAAACCTGATAAATGTAAAGCAAGTTGAAATGAAATAAATACCTAATGACTGAAACATTTCATCATGGTTGTCAATTCACATCGTTCCATTCTTACATTGAATGGAGGGTTGTCAATTCACATCCTTCCATTCTTACATTGAATGGAGGGTTGTCAATTCACATCGTCCCATTCTTACATTGAAGGGAGGGTTGTCAATTCACATCTTCCATTCTTACATTGGATGGAGAGTTTTCAATTCACATCCTTCCATTCTTACATTGAATGGAGGGTTGTCAATTCACACCCTTCCATTCTTACATTGAATTGGAGGGTTTTCAATTTACATCGTTCCATTCTTACATTGAAGGGAGGGTTGTCAATTCGCATCCTTCCATTCTTACATTGAATTGGAGGGTTTTCAATTTACATCGTTCCATTCTTACATTGAAGGGAGGGTTGTCAATTCGCATCCTTCCATTCTTACATTGAAGGGAGGGTTGTCAATTCACCTATTTCCATTCTGACACTGAATGGAGGGTTGTCAATTCACATCCTTCTATTCTTACATTGGATGGAGGGTTGTCAATTCACATCCTTCCATTCTTACATTGAAGGGAGGGTTGTCAATTCACATCCTTCCATTCTTACATTGAATGGAGAGTTGTCAATTTACATCCTTCTATTCTTACATTGAATGGAGGGTTGTCAATTCACATCCTTCTATTCTTACACTGAATGGAGGGTTGTCAATTCACATCCTTCCAATCTTACACTGAATGGAGGGTTGTCAATTCACATCCTTCCAATCTTACATTGAATGGAGGGTTGTCAATTCACATCCTTCCATTCTTACATTGAATGGAGAGTTGTCAATTTACATCCTTCTATTCTTACATTGAATGGAGGGTTGTCAATTCACATCCTTCCATTCTTACATTGAATGGAGGGTTGTCAATTCACATCCTTCCATTCTTACATTGAATGGAGGGTTGTCAATTCACATCCTTCCATTCTAACATTGAATGGAGGGTTGTCAATTTACATATTTCCATTCTGACACTGAATGGAGGGTTGTCAATTTGCATCCTTCCATTCTTACATTGGATAGAGGGTTCTCAATTAACATCCTTCTATTCTTGGCCTGAATGAAGGGTTGTCAATATACACCCTTCCATTCTTACATTGAATGGAGGGTTGTCAATTCGCATCCTTCTATTCTTTGATTGAATGGAGGGTTCTCCATTCACATATTTCCATTCTGACACTGAATGGAGGGTTGACAATTTGCATCCTTCCATTTTTACATTGAATGAAGAGTTGTGAATTCGCATATTTCCATTCTTACATTGAATGGAGGGTTGTCAATTCACATCCTTCCATTCTTACACTAAGTTGAGGGTTGTCAATTTGCATCCTTCTATTCTTACACTGAATGGAGGGTTGTCATCACATTCTTCTATTCTTAGATTGAATGGAGGGACGTCAATTTACATCCTTCCATTCTTTCATTTAATACAGGGTTGTCAATTCACATCGCTCTATCCTTACACTGAATGGAGGGTTGGGAATTCGCATCCTTCTTTATATGGGGGGGGGTGCCAATCCTTCCACAGTAAGATTAAAATGGAGGAGTGTCAATTCACATCCTTTCATTCTTCGATGAAATCGAGGGTTTTCAGTTGGCGTCGTGAATGAAGGGTTGTTAATTCACATCTTTCCATTCTAAGATTGAATGGAGGGTTGTCAATTCACATCGTTCCATTCTACGATTGCAAGGATGGTTGTCAATTCGCACGTATCTTTCTATTCCAAGTTTGAAAGGACGGTTGTCAATTTGCATCCTTCCATTCTTACATTGAATGGAGGGTTGTCAATTCCCGGCCTTCCATTCCAAGATTGGAAGGATGGTCGTCAATTTGCATGCATTCTTCCATCTTTAGATTGAATGGAGGGTTGTCAATTCACATCCTTCCATTCTTACTTTGAATGGAGGGTTGTCAATTCACATCCTTCCATTCTTAGATTGAATGGAGGGTTGTCAATTCACATCTTCCATTTTTACATTCAATGGAGGGTTGTCAATTCACATCCTTCCATTCTACGATTGCAAGGATGGTTGTCAATTCGCACGCATCCTTCCATTCTAAGTTTGAATGGACGGTTGTCAATTCGCATCCTTCCATTTTGAGATTCAATGGCGGGTTGTCAATTCACATATTTCGACTCCAAGAATAAATCACATCCATCGACTCCAATATTCAATGGAGGGTTGCAACTTTGCACCCCTTCATTACAATTATTCATAAATATAAAGATATTCATTTTGTTATGACTTCTTTTTCTTATGAGGTTGTCATTACTTTTAGTTGTTGGTTTTTTTCACACCAAAAATGACTTGATTATAGAATCAAAGTAGAACCATACGTTTTTTAAGAGAAATCTGCGCTCATTTTGAAGATAGGACAAACATTTCAGATTTTACTTCAAAAAATGTTAGAATATATTTTTAGTTCAATTGTGCGTATATTACGCTTCATAAACAAAGTGATGACAACCATGACTATGTCAAAATTGTTCGTAACGTGTTAATACTTCCTTTCCCAAAGTTTATGCACAAAATTGGTGTCCAACGAATCATTGCAGATAGCTTGCAATGTTCATTTAAATATCGAGATATATTATACACAATAGGATTTTGTGAAATGATAAAGTTTTTCCTTTCCCCCTTTCTGTATCATTATGTGAACGAAATGTGTCACAGAAAAACCTGCAGGATCTGGTCTCGTACGATGAACATGTACATGTACATGCGGCGCCCGTGCGTGTACATGGTACCGTACGTCGTACTTGCGTAAATGTACATGTACTGTCTTCACTTGCGTACATGTACTTCAACGTCGTTAATTGTCCAATCACAAAATGGCAACAAGGCTACGACTATTGCGCAGTAGCCAGTTCAGTTAGTGAAGAGGTCGGTGGTGGTAACTGTACTTGGCCAGGTGCTTGGCGGCCGGATCAAATGCAACAAAGCACTCATCCCCAATTACAGCCAATCGTGTGTAGGTGTGGTCCGTCTTAAACATCTTGACCACCGCAATGTCCTTACGGTCGGGAGTAAACGCCAGCACCAGAATGCGTCCTCGCAAGCTGACGACAAGGGCGCCCTCCGGCGTTGACTCTGCGGCCATGGCCTGTTGGGTGGTTTTGGCGGTCAAGTTGATTGTGCAGACCAGATTTCCGTTGATGGTGTAACGCAGAATCTTGTACGGCTCGGAGTGCGTGACCACGAGTATGTCATCGTGTGTGCTGTCCACGCACACGTTTTGCGTCCCGGCGGACAGGGCGCCCTTTGGCAGCTCAATGCGACCCACGATCTCGCCCTTGCGCTGATGGATGAAGAGCTTGTGCGAGTCGCCATCACCAACGATCACGTGATCCGCCCGAGAGAGGGTGATACTGACAGGCTGATGATTGTCCTCTGCACAAGGCCACCTATAGGTACAGAACACGTGATATATGTAGCAAAGATGTGGTAATGATCACAGTGTTTTTATTGGAACCCTTAAGGACACGTTCATATATAGTTCGCCGAAATGTAGTTTCTGATTGTTTGACTAAACACATCGGAAGTCAGGGTAACAGAAAATCCACATAATGTCTCACATTTTAATGTTGCAAAAACCTGTTTCCTAACATTTGAAGAGCAAGCTATTACGTATTTTTCTTATTAAAGTCATACGTACATGTATTTCCAGCAGTATTAGGATCATTCCCACATATGTTAATTGCCCAGCAGGTGCCCATAACCAGCTGGTTGCAATCGCATGAAGCTGCTAAAGAAAAGTTATGTGCTTTGCAAACATTGGCTAAGAACCAGTCGCAAAAATACGTATTGATTGCCACGTTTAGCTGGTAGTCTGCATATGTTTTACATGCTTATATAGCAAGCTTCGGTGTATTATAGCCGCGATGAGGCGCCCTGAAATTGGCCCTATAGATCTTCACTGGGCCAGAGTACAAGACACCCGCCAGGGACCCAACTGAAATTCAATAAGAAATAGTCTGAAGCAAGTAGCACCAGAGCTATCAGTTGGCATTGGTACACGGTGCATACCGGCTTCAAGGAACTACCACTGAATACATTAAATGACTAGTGTCCTTTCATTAGCCTTACCATTCAACCGATTTTCCATTGTAATTGCAGGTTACCACACCTTTAGAGTGAGGGAACAACGCAAAAAGTCTCCCATCCTGCGCCACCGCCAAGTCAAGCTGACTCTTGTTGTTCAGTTGCAGCGAGAGCTTTTTGATCATTTTGGTAGACACGAAACTGCCGTCGGTCTTCAGCTGACGAACGTAGCATCCCACCCGCTCAATGATGTCGGTGATATAGACGGCCTTCCTATCGTGGTGGATGGCAAAATGGGACGAAAATTGAGAATTTCAAAACAGCTAGATGAGAGTCTGATATTCTATTTCTTCCAATTCGCTGGCATGAGGGTTAATACTTTGATAGCACTGCCCGGCTCATAGATGATTGCCAGTGAGCCTGTCAGTCAGTGAGATAGGAGCAATTAGGATATTACAGTCGTGCGGTTGCTAAGGCAAAGCGTCTGCCGTTGATAGGCAACGCTAATCCGATTACGTACTTAGACGCTATTGCAGAGCAGTGAAATTCATGCACCACAAAAAAACATGGCCTTTTTGAACGTTGTGTTTCTCAGAAAATATGCACAGTATGATTGAAAAGTTAAAATAGAAGAAGTTTTTTTTGGGGGGGGGGGGATGCACCCCCGGATGCGCCTTTGTCTCCAGATGGACTTTTTATGGGACACCCTGTATAATATACACATGACTTGCAGGCCGCATGGTGTTGTCATCAGGCATACCTGTTAATGTCTACAGCCATTCCCGATGGGTTCTTGTAGCCGTCTGGAGGATCTACAAACGGTAAGCTGTCTTGAACAGGTATCACCAAAGGCATTCCCGACTTCAACGGGTATCCACAGATCTTGATGTTGACAATAAGCGGCTCGGGTGCACGAGGCGTGACGGTCACTGTGTAGCTGGATAACATGTATTCATTAATTAATTAATTAATTTATTTATTTATGTGTTTATTTATTTATTTATTTATTTATTTATTTATATTCTCATTTAAAGAGGGTAGCCTCATCAGTTAAGGACTGCTGTCACTGATTGCCCTATATAACTAAAGAGGTAAGTTTTTGTCACTTCGTGAAAACAGAAAAATACAGAGTTCAGGTTTTTTGTCAATTGTTTGTTTAACATAATTATAAAAGTAAACAATATTTCACTTTGAAATGTGGTCAAATTTTTCTTTTTGTCAAGTAAAATAAATTGGCCAGCAAAATTCAAAATCTAACAATTATCGACTTTCCAGGTTTTTGTCACTTCGTGAAAACATCGTCGATAGTTTTACAGAATAAAATGTCACTGCAGTGTTCAACAAAATACAGTTAAAAATACGAACTATGAATAACAAGAGATAAAAAAAAACTGTGAAAACATCAATCAGAGAAAACACAAAAGTCCATACGAATTGGACACAAATTAAATGATATAATGTAGTGATAAAAACGGCATTCAAAACCAGGGGGAAACGATTAAATACCAAACGTTGAAAGAAAAAAAAGAAGACGTTGTCTTTATAAATAACAGCCCCCTCCCAAATCCTCCCTTCTCTCCTCCCCAAAACTCATTTAATCCTAACACCCTAGCGTATTTTACTAGGAACTGGACCTTGTCCATCAAAATAAATAAAAAATGTGCAAAGTATTTTTTAAAAATTTGAAAGCAAAAGCTGGATAAAATCATAAATAAAAAAAACATATAAGACAAATGAATGAAGTTGAAAAGAGAAAATAGCCATGCGTAACCTTTAGAGAGTTGGCCGTTCTAGGCTATGGTGAAGTTGTTCTACATCCCAGGATCCCTCAATACTGAAAAGTGTTCCTGGCAGCATTTTGTTTTGGGAATAATGGGCAGAACTCGTTTGATTTACAATGAGTAATGGCAGTATGAGATGGCATTTCCAAACTTTCACTGAGGTATGAGGGACCGAGGTCATTGAAACATTTATAAACCTCACATATTGACATTCCCAATGAGATTGTAATGATGAGAGTGCCTCATGTAAATCACTAATATGTGTTCTAGGATGAGCATTGAGAATCATTAATCTAACAAGACGATTTGTAGCCGATTGTTGAAATGACAATGTGACAGGGTGCACAATTGGACCAGACCTCCAGCAATGGAATAACCATGGCGGAACTTAACATTTTGAATGGGAGGCCAGGAAGACATGATTTGGTAGATCGTCCTGGGAACCCTGGAATGAACTGTGAAATCTGGTATATTCTCGGCGAGGCACTTGAAATGATCCTACAGAGTACCCTAGGGGCTAGACGTTGTTATATTTTGAACGCAATAACCCGCCAACGCAGGACGCGCAGTACGCGCCCACCACTACCTACTCTCTCACCTTGGGATTGGATCATTTGCATGTGCAAGATTTTTGAACGCGTATGCAAATGAGGAGTAGTCTGGTGCCTGCATAGGCGTTACATTAGCGGTTGTTTTTGTATGCGGTGTCTGGGATAAAAACAACATCAATTTGTTCCGCCGTGAGCTACGAAAACATGTTTTTTTTTTCGTATTTAACATGTTACAATCTTATCTTACCAATATGCAGTATCACATTTCATATTAAGGGGAATGTACAACATTTGCTTTTGCTGCAATTTTGAGAAATAAATGGATTTGGAGGATTAGTGTGTTATAGCAAATATTGTTAAACTGACTTGTTTCACCTTCCGGGCGTGTAGATGCTGGGGAAAAAAACAGGAAAACCAATCATGTTCTTGTAGTCTGGTTCCCTGACCCCACTTAAGATGAAACGAAACAATTTATAGACTTTGAGGAATAACATTGTAAGGTCAGAGAATCAGTTTAGCAGGCTTGTACCCCTTTACAGGTGCATGTGTAATCTATAACAAAGAAAATGTGGAATAACTTAATATGAAAATCTGCTGGAAGAAATTTGAGAGTTTGCTTCGGAACTACTATGATTTGTTTGAATACGCGCTGCATATATTAGGCCAAACAGGTGCCAGGCGCGGATCCAGAGGGGGGGGGGGGTTGGTGGTCAAACCACCACCCCCCCCCCCCAGCTCTGTCAAAAAAAAAAGTCATACAAATTCCTAAAAAATAAGTTGAACCCCCCCCCCCCCCCGCTACGATAAGGCTGAAACGATACATCGATATATCGGTGCATCGCGATACATTCGTTCACGATACGATAATATAATAAATAACAGCAGCAGTGCACCGACAGAAAATTGCAAGCAACTGCGATGCATGAGAAGCACGAAATGTAAAAATAATAATGCGAAGAGTTGAAGTCTCACCTTTCCGAGCGCACGCACGTGAAAAGTTCATGCGGACTCTCCCTGTGTATTTAATGTACTGGTACAAGAGGATATGTGTTGCTGAAATGAATTATCAATTAATAAAGTTATTAACAAACCGAAACCAAAACCGAGCGGTAAAAAGTACGGTGAAAGCTGTCTTAGACGCTTGCGACCAGCCGTACGTGATACCATGGAGGATTCCTCCATCGTGATACTAGTGCAGCTGCTACCATGCAGCATGCTTAATTCCTCAGCGGACCACACCATTTGTGGTAATGAAGGGGTGGTGTTCTTTCTTGGGAACAATAATTACCAATATTTCCGCTGATTAAAAAAAGAAAAATGACGACTAATACTTGTTACGGTGTTCGAAATATTTCTTTATTAGATAATAAGTTGTTCAACGTCACAATATATGTTTTTTCCTGAAATGTATTCAAGAAAACGATGTAAAACTAAAAAAGGGGACTGAATCACCCCTTGCAAAATTAATGGATTCGCCCATGAAAATGTCAGCATCGTTTCCTAAGGCGCTACAGGACAAGATCTTTGGTTTTGATTTTTTGAAGAAAGTTACGATCGAAACTTGAACTTTCAATGTAACTACTTGCTAGTAATCACACAAATTTGATAAGTTTTGAGGTAAAACGGGACCTGTTTAGTCTTAGGGCAAAACAAATCAGCAACTGTTTCCACAAAAGCAAGATTTGTAACGCTCCAGTCAGACAACACACAGTGGGTTGCACACTCTCTCACGTCACGTGCAGCGGGAAAATGTTGTCATTCCCCGGCGCATGCTGCCGGGCCATGCATTAACTTTTAAGGCCGGGGGACCGGATCGGGGCAGCCGGCAGCAATTCCCGTAGTTTATTTCTCATCATCAATTTCCATATTTGTTTGTTAGAGTTTCGATGGTAAATGATTTGATATAACTTTTGTGGCCCTTTTTATAGCTCTGTAGTGTAAATGGAACTGGTTCAGAGCTTTTTGACTAGAATTTGGAGGCCTTACAAAATTGAAACCGCTGCGGTCGGTGCGGCTTATATTTCGAAAATTACGGTAGTACCTTACTGTATTTGTGTATTATCAGAAACGAGTAGAGACAGATTAAAGAGGACTTAGACCCTGATTAAGTTCATCTGTTATGATTTTATTAATTTTTTCATACCAAGATATATCGCGATATATATCGTATCGTTTGATATGTATCGTGATACGTATCGTATCGTGACACAGGCGTATCGTTTCAGCCTTATATATGTCACCTCCCAAAAAATATACTCGTGTAATGTCTGCTTGATTTTACGAAGGCCAAGTGTCCGGAGAAAAAAAACCTGTGTACATTTTCCAGATTTTTTTGCTGATGAACCCCCCCCCCCTCCCCCCCCCCCCCCCCCTGCGACAATTCCTGGATCCGCCCCTGGGTGCACACGCATTACACAACCACTACGAATTGGCTTTAACGCAACCTCGTCCCCAGGGTGTCGAGCAGTACGCGCCATACCACTACCTGCTCTCTCACCCTGGTATTGGATCATTTGCATGTGCAAGATTTTTGAACACGTATGCAAATGAGGAATAGTCTGCAGCCTGCCTGTGCGTTATATTTGCGTTTGTTTTTGTATGCGGTGTCTGGGGTAAAATAGAATCAATTCGTCGCAGCACGAACTAGCATGGCGTGAGTAACGAAAACACGATTTTATTTGAATTAAACATGTCATGTCATATTAATATTAACAAATTAGAAAGGAAATGAATATTTTCGAGAATGTGTGGACGAATGATTGCGGAAAACACGTACTGCGCGTTGTGAATAATAACATCAAGTACACGATATCAATTCATTTCTAGCAAATTTTGGTATCGAATCAGGATACAGGAAGAAAAATTCCTATCCAGGGCTTACTATTGGAAACGTGGTTGGAAATAAAATAAGCACTGGGGACATTGGGTGGTCGTGATAGCGCTTTCTCGCGGCGGAGGGTTCGCGTATGAAACCATAGCAACGTCATGCATGCGTGTGCATGCACATGTACATGTACGTGCAACCATGGAGCTCCATGGTACAACCGATGCAACCTCGTCCCCAGGTATTGGATCATTTGCATGTGTGCCAGCTTACGGTTGCGCGAGCGCGAAGTTTTCTTTTGGGGTTAAGCGTGCTTTTGCTATGCTTACTGCTTAACGGTCCCTATGAAATAGTTGGAGGCTCGGTAAGCACAAAGTCGGCTGTTAAGCATCGCTATGAAATTGGGCCCAGGGCTTACTAATGGAAACGAGGTTGGAAATTAGGTAAGCACTGGGGACGAGGCCGGTTGCAAGCGATGTGGTTCCGTGTTGGTGTGTACATTATGGTTTTTATATACAAATGTACATGTACATGCACATTGTGTACACATGTAGACTGCAGTTCGTGAACTGGGAGAGACCTTTGCACCCGAGAATGATAATGTAAACGTATGAACGGCCCCATTTAAAATGTACAGGGATCCAAATACTGATTCGGGTCATATTCTATCAATTGTCCAGGATATCTCGCTTTTTTTCTTGAAAACAGATTCTCTAAAATCGTCATATTAAATAATATCCAGCATAAATGGGTTTTTTTTCTTCACAAATTAAAATCTTTAAAATGTTCGCCGCTTTGTCTAATGCTGGCAAGTTAAGCCACGATGGCCTTGGCGAAAGGCTAAATTGTGGGCTGAATCACGGGCTAGTTAGTTCAGGATTTTAAACAAAAATACGTTCAAATCTTCTAGCCTGTCAAGTGATACAGAAATTGCTTCGCAAGCAGCAAATTTCCTGTTAAAACTTAATGTGGCCGATATAAACGAAAATGAAACAACAAATTTGATGTATGAGTTTAATCAAGATGCATAAAAGAAATTTGATGTGTATATTCCATTCTATTGTTTTATTTTGGATTATTTGTGTTAACACCCATTTTGATGTATTTTGTTAAACACTTAACCCCTTAAATGGCGATTACAAAATCTTACCAAAATTACAGTGTGGTATAATATACTAGTTCGCAACATTTGCGTTTTAATTTGTTTTCCATTTTACCTCATTTCCGCAGTACTTAATCGTTTTTGCAAAAGCAAAAATCCGGAATATAGTGGTTCGTTCCGTATCCACCTTTTTTTGCAGTCTAGATTCGTTACGAATCTACAGTTTACTGATTCGTGAAAATAATCTGCACTTTTAAAAATAGTGTGACGTCACAAAAATAGTTTTATTTTTGGTCTTTTTTTTTTGTCAGTAATTTTTTGTCAGTTATTTTTTGTTCAGATAAGTTTTGGTCAATTTTTCGAGGACATACCGACCGACCACCAAGTGACATGTAGAATCTCTTGCCAGAGCTTACAAAGACATTGGCAAGTTGGGATACCGCCAATATTTGCTAGATGGATAGCTCTGTAGGGAGAGCACTAGAATGATAATGAAAAAATGAAAAAAAAACTTCCAAAAATGTAATAGTTTGGTGAATTATTATCTAACTAATACCATTGACTAAATGTCTTCTTGTCATGTTTGTGATTTATTTCAATCCAGTCATCAAGCAGTTTGCAGCAGCTCTATTCATGTTGTTAAATCTGACTACCGAATGATATGGAAACTAAAGTTTCGTACATGCTTCAAGACATTACGGCAGTGACAGAGATGACACCATAAACATTTTGCTCGTCAAACCACCTTCCTCGGACAAACCAAAGCGCGTGTCGTATGTTATAGTGGAGTTGCTGCTTTAAGACGGTCTGGAGCATGGTTGAAAAACATAAATCCTGAAAGAAATCAGGAGTGTTTACTACTGTTAAAAATATGAAATTCTCACCTGCCATCCTCGTTGTCTTGTACGTCACCTTGTCGCTTCGGTTCCTCGGAACTCGACGTTGTAATGTCGGCTCTGATATTGTAGCCTCCGGAAGTCAGCCGTTCACCGTGATGGTCGCAGGTCTGAAGGGTCAGTGAGTATGGCATGTCAAGGACAGCGGTGCCAGGAGGACACTTTCCCAGCTGATGAGGGGACACCATGGTAGAGTCTGGATGTAGCGGGTGAACGTTGATGACGGAGGGGTTATTGGCGATGGGCTGACCGTCCATGAAGACAGACATCATCAGCTTACCGGCAGCCGGTGGAGTGTAGACAACCCGGTAATGTCCTAAATCTCCAGTTGTCATTACTTGCGCCTCGGTATATTGGTGGTTTCTGACCTCATCAGAGGGAGTCCCAGAATCTTGGCTTGCCTGCAGATCGAGCATGAAAAACCTTGCACTCACGGCGGGAAAAGACTGGAGACTAACGAGGCCGGATAATTTGACGACGACAGTGTGCTCGCATTTAACAAACGCATCCGCCGAATTTGCGTCGGGTTTGTTGATGTTGGTTGCACGAGGCGATAGGTCGTCAGTGTTGGCCATCAAGGGTGGGGTTTCTTCAATGTCAACTGGGAATGGACTGCCTTTGATTGGCACTCCTGATATGCCGATGTGCAGCTGATGAAGTCCTGCTACCAATGGCTTGAACTCGAATTCATAGGAGTCACCGCATTGCTGAACATACTTGCAATCTCTGGTATTACCATCCGGTGACTGGAAAAACGTATATGGACACACACTGAGATTACTAAAGGAGCAACAGGGATTTTCCGAGGTTATACGAACTCTGTGCATGGCCTTGGCATACAGGGGTGATGCCACTCGGTCAGGGAAGTCTATCTTGAAAGAAACAGCGTTTTTGCCGGTGGATGCGTTGAGCCGCCCAATGCGTGACACAAACTTCTCAAAATCAGAAAAAAGCTGATCGCGATCTTCATATAAGGAGGGAAATCTTGTCTCTCGGTCTGTGTGGAACGAGATCGCCTCGTCGACAACGATAGCATTGAGCTCGTGCAAAATTGCGGTGTGGTGTGCCAAAGCGTTGAGCAGATCGATGGGGTTACCGATGTCGCAGGCTCCCTCGGCGTCCTGGCAGGCTGACTTGAACCGGCAAGCTAAAGTCTCGGCGTGGTCAGCTAGACAAGTAAGGTGGCTTGATATGTCCACACACTTCTTCTTCATTTCCGGGATGACAACGTCGTTTCTCTTTGTCAACAGTTCTTTTAGGTCTTTGGTGATTGCTGAAACCTCGGCGGATCTTTTTTTAAACAAGTCACTCGTTAGATTTTTCTCGGTGTTGAGTTGTCCGGAAATAAGGTGTGTGTGATCTATTTTACTTCTGACTTCTGCGACAAGGCTTTGCAATACCTTCTTTGCTTCGAATGATTTCGTTTCTAGAACGACGACGCGGTGAGAAGAGTGGGCGGTGGCTGCGCAAGACACACAGATGGCCTTCTGGCAGCTCTTTTCATCACAGTACAGGGACAACGGATTCTGCCTATGCTCCTTGCACAGCAAGCTTTGCCCGGACGTATGGCTCGCTGGCCGCTTTTGCAGATCCTCTATCGAGTGCAAGGCGTGGTCCTTGAATTGACGCATCGTGCGGTGAGCTTGATCGCAGTTACGGCACATGAAAGTCAAGCAGTCGACGTGGGAGCAGAAACTTACAGCTGGGACTCCATCTGCGATGCACGATTGACATGTCGGTTGATCAGTCAGCGTTTCCCGTGCTGTGTATGCTGCCATTTTTGAATGATAAGAATTCCGTTTAGCGATGGTGAACTGGCCAATGTAGCCTATAGAGTTTATGCAAGTATCAATGCACAGTGCTGAATTAAATGGAGGATTCCGTAATGCTAAATGAATGTCGGAGGTGGGTTTGTTCCATGTTTTGCTACAAGGTAAAACATTTAAATCTCACACACTCGGAATACAAACTTGCGTTTCGTAGTATATATTAACAACATGGTGTTCGTGTACACATTACGTGCCCACAGCTCAGGCACCGCATGAATATAGTACGCGTACAATGTACAGTTTGCAGCAGACGTCGCTGTACATTTAATCATGCATGGTAAAAATAGCAACAACTTCACGAGCACAGTGCTGAATTAAACGGCAGTTTTTTCATCAAGAAAATACTCAAAAAACGTAATGACACCTCCTCTTTACTCGTTTAGACACAACCAAAATCTTGTGTGCGTTTTTCACCAGCGATGGCAAAGATTGTTGGCGATTATTTCTTCACATGTACAGTATATAGCGGTAAGAATGTTTCTACTAGGGACAGCCATATTGAATGCATACGTCATTACCCACAATTCCCTGCAATAATGTTTTTAACGAAACTAGGAATAAACGGATTTGTAAATTCGGTGCGCTGAAACTAGGAATCTCAATTTCGTTATCGCATTTGTAAATGCGTTGACCGTGTTGTCTCACTCACGATTGCGCAGCCTGTAAAACAACATTAGTTATTAACTGAAGGCCCCCAAAAATTGCTACAAAAATTGTAGATAGTTCAAGCAATACTACGCTGAGACTGATTGATCACATAGAGCAACGACTACCATAGCCCCATAAATGTGGCCTATTTACTGGACTGCCTCCGTAAACATAGGCCACACATCCACATGTACAAAAACGTGTCGGCTAGTCAGAAAGTGCTGCCTTTTTCAGATGTCTAATTTTTGTGAAATTTCATGTTGAAATTTTGATACGCAAACGTGTAAAAATGAATCTGGAAATTTCACGAAAAATATACATCTGAAAAAGGCAGCACTTTCTGATTAGCCTATAAAGAGGGTGAGTATGCTTCTAAAGCAAAAATAAACTACAAACTAAGCCTAAATGCGAAAATCAAAATTCGGCAAAGTCGACACGTTTTTGTACATGTGGACGTGTGGCCTATGTTTACGGAGGCAGTCCAGTAAATAGGCCACATTTATGGGGCTACGACTACTATAGATATGATAGAGTCGGCCAACTCACTGGACCGCCATGATAGACTAAACTTGTTGCCAGTCTCTCTAGTCTACGCGTACATATTTAAAAAAAAAAAAACGACGGTTCAAACGGGGAGATGAAATCAGTTATAGGCTACAGTTAAAGATTTTTCCTTTCATTCGGTGGTTTCATTCTTTGCATTGCGTTTCCAATCGAGATGTTGTGTTTTGTATTTTTCTCAAGTATTTCTATGAATTTCAATATGTGAGTGGAAATGTCTTACTAATGTTTAAATTTTTTCTATATTTAATGACTACCGCTTGTGGGAACTTTTAAAAAACAGTGTTCCCAGGATAAACAATAAGTATATAGGCCCTAAATAAATAAATAATGCACAAATCCTAATTTCGTCGCAGGGAAACAAAAAATCCCTATTTTTGTCATTAATTAACACACTTTTACCAATATTTTTATTAAATGTTAAGATTCCTACAGAAACATTTCAAAATGTATATAATATATAGTCCATGATAATGATTACATGAAGGTCCAATTCAAGGGAAAAACACTACAAATTCCTAATTTCGTTTCAACAAAACTAATAACAATACTATTTTTGTCAATCTATGACAATACTGCTGATTGCCAATATTTTCGTACAATATGTTAAGACCATGAGAGAAACATTTCAAAACGGTAAAGGCCATGATGAGAACATGCAATTCTTAAAAAAATTTTAATAACACTACTAAATGTCATGACACTAAACATTTCAAAATGTAGAGCAGATGATGAGTCATTCTAAGAAAAACCCCAAAATTCCTAATTTCGTTGCAACGAAACTAATAATCTGCTTCTGCCAATATTTTCATACAATGTTTAAACCCTGAGTGAAACATTTCAAAATGTCGGCAAGTTGATGAGTAGGCTAATTCTACGGGGAAAAAACACACAAAATATTTATAAATGAATTTAGTTGGATGTTACTGACAGACTTGGAAAAAAATGGATCGGCTGGTGTGTATTTTTTTCAGAAGTACAACTGAACGTATAAATTTCCGTCGGCAAGCTTGTTGCATCTGCAAATTCGCAAGATGTCGACATTTCTCTGAGCCTTTAGTTTGAACTTGTCATCCTTCCTGTTGTATCCTCAAGAAATCATTCTCCTAAGGAAGGAGACAAGTGAAGATGCCATCTTGACGTCTCTTCAGATTGTGCACATTAATAATATTCTCCAGCTTCCCACCAAGTTTCATGCCGATATACAAGCTTTCCTAGTAAACATGTATGTTTTGTTTTTTTTTAATCTCATTTATCATGACGTCATCATGACGTCACACATTTGTCATAATTTTGTGCATACATCTTTTTGTTGTACAGTGTGTCTCAGAAAAAGCGGGCCCGAACAAATCAGCGGCCATATCTAAACAAATATTCATGAGACTAAATTTTGTTTGTGTTTTTTTCCCCCTTGCTGTTGAGTGTTGTTTGTTGCCTGTGGAAAAATATACAGATTTGAACATAGTTTTAAAAGCCATGACTATAGAAACGTATATTATGGCTCTTAAAAACATCACAGTTTGCACATTTTCACGTCAAAATTCGACATTGCATTTCATTTACATGAAAACGACGGTTGTATCGATTGTTGACGTGAACATGTGCAAATTTCGATATTTTGTTTTCTGGGACACACCTCTGTTGTCAAAAAAATCACCCCCGTTTAGAAAAATGGAGGATTCCGTAATGCTATATGAATGTCGGAGGTGGGTTTGTTCCATGTTTTGCTACAAGGTAAAACATTTAAATCTCACACAAACACTCGGTATACAAACTTGCGTTTCGTAGTATATATCATAACACCTCGCCCACAGATTCTGTGTCTTGGTTAGCCGAGAGCGAGTCACATGTGTTTCTAATTTTGCTATCTTTCTGTGCCCAGCCAAAAGTACTATGCCCATAGCAACCAAAGTACTATACCATTAGCAACCAAAGTACTATTTCCACGGCGCGGTATTTGTGTGCATGATGCATGCTGGAGTGCGCGTTGCGCGTGACACGCAGCGCGTTTTGTTCCAAAGAGAAGGCGCCGCAGAGTTGGGTTCAAAAATTTGCGAAGGGGTAGTTTGGAAGAGAGAAATACATTTTTCACTTATTTTGTATTAAAATTGAAGTTTATTTCAACTGTGTTCAGATGTAAATAAATTTAAAATATTAATACCAAGCAGAATCTGTGGGTGAAGTGTTATAAAACAAATATTGAATGCTATGTCTCGTGGTGAAGTAAATTAGCCTCCCTCGGTGATCCATGGAGCATTCTATTTTCCCTCGGCTTCGCCTCGGGAAAAAAGAATGTCCATGGATCATCTTGGGAGGCTAGTTTTTCTACACCACTCGAAGCATTCAATATTTGTACATTAACAACATGGTGTTCGTGTACACATTACGTGCCCACAGCTCAGGCACCGCATGAATATAGTACGCGTACAATGTACAGTTTGCAGCAGACGTCGCTGTACATTTAATCATGCATGGTAAAAATAGCAACAACTTACGAGACCCCATCCACAGTTCTCTTTCACCTAATTCAGCGTGCTGATGACCCCGTGTCATTGCAATTGTTATAACGCGTTCATTCATGCGTGCACTAGTGCCCTTTGCCTTTTCGAGATATTTGGGTCATACAAACTATTTCACGATAGCAGCCGTATAAAAGTAAGTTTTCGACAACAAAGTGTTGGTAGTGGCCAATGGTTCTCGGACTCAACTTCTGACTGCTTCAGAGCCATTAGAAAAAAAGTTCAATTATATATTCCATTGATCAGCAGGACTTTATTAAAACAAAATAGCAGCAGCCTAGCAGGCGCCACTAGTGGTAACATATGCTCTTGTAGGCTTAAATTCTAAATATGCATGAATAAAGTTAATTCAAATCAAAATATGGTGAAACCCAGCTGACACAAGCAGTAACCTTAGTTTGATCACTGAGTGCCGATGACCACATCTTGTCCATTCTGTGGAGCACTGACCACGCCTGTCCTCTTCAGGTCTTGAGGTTTTTCTCACTGGAGCTGATCCAAGCTCCAAGGTACTTGTAGGTCAGCTTCAATCTTGGGAGTTGTAACATCTCTCGTGCAGACAGCCGTGTCAAAGATGTTATAGGCGAGCACCTCGGTCTTCTTTAAAAAGAAAAAAAGAAAAAAAAAAGACTAAAGCCTCAAGCCTGCTCCACTGTATTTGAGACCAGTGCAGTGCGATGTCATCCGCAAAGTCCATGCCAGTGATCATCACATGAGATTCACACTCGATCGCCGGTTCTTGCGGGACACTATGGTGAAACCCTGCTCCTCTTCTCTACCGTTGATGGCCTTCTTCAGGGCGTAAACGTAGTCGAATACAATGATGAAGAGCAACGAGGTCACTATGTCATCCTGAAGCACTCCGGTTAGCATGCCAAAGATCTTTCAGAGACACCATCCGTTGATATGACCCTGGTCTAGGTGTTTGCGTAGGTCGCCGCTATGATTTGCAATATACACTGGGGATCGGTCAGGATGTTCATCATCTTGACCCGGTGGTAGTGTCAAACGCCTTGTGGAAATCAATGAAGGTGATGACTGCAGGAGAATGCTTATGTTTGACACATTCAATCATTCTCATCAACGCAATGATAAGCCCCACACTGGACCTCTCTTGCCTGAACCCGTTCTGTGCTCTAAGAAGTGGGTCTAGCATGGGCCAAATCCAGTTGTTGTGTACCATCCGGTTCATTTTTTTGCCGACTGGGATGATAATGCTCTACTGATCTGGTATTTCCCCTTTCTCATTTGCACTTTTCACCACGTCGAGAACGAGATCCTCAATGGGGACATACTTCAGGATTTATTGGACAACATAATCCTCCCCACAGCACTTTCCACCCTTGAGCGCCCCGCCCCCTTTGCCTCGACATATCCGCGATGTCCAGGTCCTCAAACACTATATCCACCTCCGCCTGTTTATCCAGCATCTCTGGTTCATCACCAAGAAGGTAGTTGAAGTGGATGTACCATGCCTCAACCCGTCGTTCATAGGTATCTCCCTTGATCTGAGAGAGCTTGGAAGATTTTTTAACAGTAATCTTGTTGATCAGCTTCCAGCTCACCGCATGCATTTGGTTGACCTTTGCTTCTTCCACCTCACTGAATTTCTGAGTACACCTCCTCTTCGACGTGATCATAGGTTTCGAATAGGTCATTTTTCTTGTTTGAGTACACCACTCGATTGGTGAGGCTGAATTCTGCTACAAGAGATTTGTAGGCCACTTCCATCTCCTCCCTTGCTCTGACGATAGAAAGTTCCGATGAGGCTTTCACCCTCTTCTTCACCTTGAGGACCATGTCCATGCTGACCATTGCGGCATCCTCGTTTCCTTTCACAAGCTTGTCATATCGGTCGGTTGCAGACTCCCCTTCCTCAGCCAGTACCAAGGAACCGATTGTGAACTTCTATGGCATACCTCTCCTGCAGATCGCTGTTTCCCTTGAGCTTCTTCCATTCGTACTTCACCCTTCTTGTGACTGCCTTTTCGGTGCCCGGAGGCTGAGGAGACGCACACTATGATCTGATCCCACCGGATGGAAGGTACTGTGTCGGTGCAAGAGTTGATAATGCTGTTACGCCATTTCATCCTGGTCAGGATGAAGTCAATCTGGGTTACGTACGTACACAGCCTTCCCTGACATGAATGTTAGGCCTATACGAAAACCTCGGCGCTTCCACACATGCACTAACTTTGTGTGACTGCTAAACTGGGCGTTAATGCCCATGTCTCACAAGTGCATTTATGTATTGTGTTTGTAGAGGGCAATAGATTCAATTAAGCACCTCACGAGATCATATATTACCCACTGCACGGATTTGCGGATTCGATAAGAATATGTTGTAAAACCATGTCAATTAACCACAGCGTTTATGTTGGGTATTCTGTCTACATTGTACATTCTTTACCAATCTAATGACTATAGACTGAGGTCGACCTTCAGACACAAATTAATAACGTGATGCCTTCACCTATTCAAAACAACGCCAGGGTGCTATTCCCAAAACCGAGCCTGATCGACTGCTGTGTTTTTATTGTGCTCCCAACTTGGCTTACGAATACGAGAGTGTGGAAAACGGTCCCAAAAAGGGTCGTTTTAGTCTTTTCCAATTAAAAAAAATACACCACACAGGAGATATCTTGGGCAAATAACACAGTTATAACCATGATAAATTAGACTGACCTATCTCTAATTTGTAAATTCTGACCAGTATTTTGACATTTAGTATTTAATGAGACCACAACGGTTAACCACTTCTTATTGCAGGTATCATAAAACATTAAAACGCAATTTCATAAATAGCTCAGACAGTTTAGCCATTCTTATTGGTCGAGAGCCCGTCACGTGGCCGGTCTTAAACGGATAAAAAAGACATGGCTAGCTGGTCTTAAGCACTTTTCCAGTGTCACATAAAATGTGGACTCCCATGAAATCCGGTGCCTTTTACCGTTTTATTGGTTGAACGCATAGACGTTCACAGTTCCTAGGCATGCGCAACACTACCGGTTACCAGCGCGTCAGAATTTTATAGTTCTAAATTCAAAACACAACGCCCCAGGTGCGTTCTGCGCGACATCGCACAGAACGTGCCACGCGCGCGTCAATCTCCACAAAAGGGTTGTTTACATCTTAATCGCCAGCTGAACACTCCATTATTTTGCTAGAGGGATGTTTCAAAAAGCATGAAGTGAACTTGTTGAACAAAATCGGGATTTTGTGACCGAAATATAGGAGATTTTTTTTGACCGAAAAGGTATTTATGAATGGGAATAAATATGTGCTCGGTCGGTATTAATCACTCTGTTTAAGACCGCTTAGAGACTGGGTGCTGATAATTACCCGAGCCGGAGGCGAGGGTAATTATCAGCACCCAGACTCTAAGCGGTCTTAAACAGAGTGATTAAACCCTTTCGAGCACACAATTATTCCCTTAATAATTATCTTTCTTCACAGAAAAAGTGGTGGGCCTATACCTGTGCACTGAACCAATTCAAGCCCAATTGAATACAGGGAGTTGATCCTTGTGGCTATATTAATACAATTCCCCCGTTTTAAAGCCAAACGGTCCCATTTTTTAAAAGAAATTGTGGGGTCACTTTTTATGCTAATCTGCTGGCGTATAGAAATTATCGTTTGAATTAGTTTACTGCACCCATACGGACAGAGCTTCTACAAGTCACTTTGGTGTCTGTCGGTCGGTGGGTCCCCCCCCCCCACACACACACAAAAATTGACCCAAAAAACCCAACTCACCCATAAAACTGTAAGTACCAAAAGCAAACCAAATACATTAAATAGTTGACAATAACTGTAACAATAATATTCGTGAAGTTGTTTGTAACAAGTTTATGATTTTTTTTTTCAATTATAAAGTGTGATAATAAATTATTATGTAATGGTCACGTGGTATACACGCCCCATAAACTTGAGGGGCTAGGGGGCTTCTTCGTTGGTTTCCTAACAGACCTGGGAAATTCGAAAGCACCTTTGCACTATGAATCACCTGGGCTCTGGCCTTGGGCCCTGTGGCACTTTTATGGGTCCCGTGGGAGGCATGGGGTATTGATCAAAAGTATGGTTTTCCGAATGTGCCATCCGCGTTTCATTTTTCAGAAAATTGCCTTTTCTCCGGTCAGAGGTGGAATCGAGAATGACGCGACGCTAAACTGTTGCGTGATATTTACATGTACGCGGAAGATCTTTCCACCAATGACCGCCAGTTATTCATGCGTTCAGCGTGTGTCGTAATCGTAAACGGGGTCCGCTCATAAGTCCGACGCCTCATAGGTCCGACGCCTCATAAGTCCGACAAAATTGCATCCCCCAACCAAATAAAGGCCCATAAGTCCGACGCCTCTTAGCTCCGACGCCTCATAAGTCCGATGCCTCGAGCTCCGACGCCTCATAGGTCCGACGCCTCGTACGCTTCGTTTTCCAGTGTCGGACTTATGAGGCGTCGGACTTTTGAGGCGTCGGACCTATGAGGCGTCGGACTTATGATACGGCCCCATCGTAAACAACCACATCAGGGATCTTCTCAACTGAGGTGTCCGCGCGTCCATAAACTGATTAAACTGCGCTTAATCATCATTTATGCACACGTTGAACAATAAGATGGCTTGCACTATAACACTTCTTTATTTTACTTATTATGTGCATTTAATTTAACATGTTAACAATATAGTCATGCCGCAATGATGGTCACCTAATGAATGAAAGGTTTGCGGAAACAACGTGTGCGAATAATTTCTCAACTTACTTAAGAATGGTTCTGAAAAGAATCAGAGGTATAAACTCTATATATCTGGTTCTTTTCAGAACCATTCTCTTTTCAGAACCATTCTCTTAGTTGAAAAGTTATTCCCACATGGTGTTTCCGCAAACCTTTCATTCATTAGTATCTCCAACATGCAAAGCCTCAAATCTTACTGATGGTCACCTAGTACATATGCACCGTGTGTGGTTTATGTGTGAAATAATAATTGACTATGACTGTTGTGCTGTTAGTCATCTCTCGATGTCCCTTTACAGAGAAAACGATTAACGATAGGCAGATAATGATTTTTCAACATAAAGTCTCTGTTTGATAGCATAACAAAAATACAGAACGAATTAGTTAAGACTTTTCCACATGTATTCGCCATTACGTACATACATCACATGAGTCGATTTGTTTAATTTCAGTAAATACAGATTAAAATACAATGGTCAGGAATAAAAAGGAAAATGTGGAAGTTCTACGTACCCCAGTAAGTCGGGTATATAAAATAAATGTTCACTTTTATTGTTGATGTCGGGTCAAACTATATAGCGAAGTGTGACTTGCATATGCCTACGTGTGGCCATTAATTTTAGCTGGGGCACAGTTCTCGCGTTTCACTAGGAAGGGGAAACCAACCCCATCATATTGCCATAAAATCTAGGTCTCCCCGCAGCAAAACGTCTATCAAATTGATGGCCGCGGACATCGAGGCAATGTTTACATTATGGCTTTTTTTAGTATCCAGCTCCCAGACCTATATGTTTGTGAAACACGGTGATTCCTGAGTCTGGAGTGCTGAATGGTAACACGTAGCAACCGATAAAAACTTGTGTGCAAATGAATAGATGCTTTCACCAGGTGCGTCATAATCCCGTTTTGACCAGGTGTGGGTGGACTATTGGACCCCCCCCCCCCAAAAAAAAAAATTAAAACACGGTACCCCGCAAGTCGGTGGGCATTCCTTGTGGGGTACCTCCCATTGTTCCGGTACCCCACAAGGCAGTGTTTGTACACGATTTTTTTTTTTCGATTTTTTTTTTTCGCTGCGCGGCAACCCATTTATGAAAGTGTATGTTTTTGGTATCAAAAGAATCGAAAGGATGCGCAAGACTCAAGGCTAAAATGTCAGGAAAACTCTGGTCGGGAATATTTTTTGCAAGGGTATCACGGAAAAAGTTGAGGACTCCGCCCCCGGCCCTTGAAGTGTTAAAAAAAACTCGCTTTACTTCGCGATGAAGGTGCGTCGTGGGTGACTAGACTGACCTCACACGTGACATATTGTAAGGAAGTCCAGTTGGTTTAGAGGTCCGTGGTAGTAACTGTACTTGGCCAGATGCTTGGCAGCCGGATCAAATGCAACAAAGCACTCATCTCCTATCACAGCCAATCGTGTGTAGGCGTGGTCCGTCTTGAACTCCTTGACCACCGCAATGTCCTTACGGTCGGGAGTAAACGCCAGCACCAGAATGCTTCTTGGCAAGCTGAGAATAAGGGCGCCCTCCGGCGTTGCCTCCGCCGCCATGGCCTGTTCGGTGATTTTGGCGGTCAAGTCAATTGTGCAGACCAGATTTTCGTTTATGGTGTAACGCAGAATCTGGTACGGCTCGGAGTGCGTGACCACGAGTATGTCATCGTGTGTGCTGTCCACGCACACGTTGTGCGTCCCGGCGGACAGGGCGCCCTCTGGCAGCTGGATGCGAACCACGATCTCGCCCTTGCGCTGATGGATGAAGAGCTTGTGCGAGTCACCATCACCAACGATTACGTGATCCGCCCCAGAGAGGGTGATACTGACAGGCTTACGATTGTCTTCTGAGCAAGACCACCTAGGTTGAGAACACAAGAGGGTGCTATTTGTAGCTAAGATTTTACGGCGTTTAAAGAATTACAGAATTTCGTGGCAACCTTTAAAAGGTAACGTATTCGTCTGCAGATCGGCAAAATGTTGTTTCTGGTTGTAAACACAGCGAAGGTCAAGGCAACAGGAAATCAACATAAAATCTTACATTTCATAACGTTGGAAAACATGTGTTTTGACGTAGAGGCTATTTATGGCCCTGCTATTAGGTATTTTCATTAGGTATTTTTAGCAGACCAGCGCCACACATTACGTATCCCAAGCAAATGACAATTAACGGTGTGGAAAAAAACTTTTTAATGAGAGCACGTGGTTTGTACATAGCGCCTAAATATCAGGGGCGACCGCTGGATTTTATGATAAGCGTCATTTTACTATAGACTACATTTAGGTTACCTGTTTAGGATTTTCCCATCGAAATCGCAGGTTACCACACGTTTAAAGTAAGGGACCAACACCAAAAGACTCCCATCCTGCGTCACCGCCAAATCCAGCTGTCTCTTCTTCAGTAATTGCAATGAGAGGTTGATCGTTTTGGCAGACATGAAACTGCCGTCGGTCTTCAGCTGATGAATGTGGCATCCTGCTCGCACAGTGCCTGCGATATAGACGGTCTTCCTACAGGGTGAGGCCAAAAAAAAATGCGATTTCAGGAATAGTCGTCACAAGAGGGGTATTTACCCCAAATATTTTCTAAAGATTGCCTTTTTTTCATTCAAGTGCCCTTTTTTTCACCAGCGCTCCCCCCCCCCCCCCAATATTTTTAATATTTTTATTTTTATGAAGAAGCGCCCTTTTTCAAAAGAAGTGGTGCCCTTTTCCGTGTCATCTGCCGTTCCGGGTGCCGTTTTTTAATTTCACGCATGCATCGCCATACATTGTCCCTTCGTTTGCATAATCGTCGGTTTTGAACAGCGCCCCCGTCGACAGATTGGTACCCCCCCCCCTCCCCGCTTTTTGATTTCACGAAGGCTAAGTGTCCGGAGGAAAAAAAACGTGTCTACAATTATGCACGGATGTGCAAGTGCCCTTTTCAAAACAAGTGCATGATGATTGTCTATTGTTTTCACATCGCCTCCCTCTAGAGAATATGCAAAAATATGCAAACAAAAATGTTGGCCGCATGGTGTTGTCATCAGGCATACCTGTTAATGTCTACAGCCATTCCCGATGGGTTCTTGTAGCCGTCTGGAGGATCTTCAAACGGTAAGCTGTCTTGGACAGGTATCACCAAAGGCATTCCCGACGTCAACGGGTATCCACAGATCTTAAAGTTGACGATAAGCGGCTCGGGTGCACGAGGCGCGACGGTCACTGTGTAGCTGGATAATATGAAAATTAAATTTTCGGTTATATTGGGGGAAAAATGCATGGTTGAGTAGACAACACACAAACTTGCACAGCGACAGTTTCTTGTCATTTGTGCATTTCAGGTCAATCCAGTCAGTGTACACTTTGCAGGAGTTTTAATCATTTTACTGATCAACTCTGACTATAATATAGACAAAACGCATGATATGGAACAATATTTCCGCACTTCGTATGAAATCGTAAATAGTTTGCTCGGCAAATTTTCCACAGACAAGCAAAAGCGCGCACCAGGAAATGTTATGTGCCGGGAAATTGGAGTGTTGTTAAAAGTCTAGTACACGATTGAAAATATAAATCCAAAAAGAATTTCGGAAAGTATGTGCTACTGTTCAAATACTCATTTCTCACCTGCCGTCTTGGTTGTCTTTGACGGCATCTGGTCGCTTCGGTTCCTGGGAACTGGACGTTGTAACACCGGCTGTGATATTGTAGCCTCCGGAAGTCAGCCCATTACCATGATGATCGCAGGTCTGAAGGGTCAGTGAGTATGGCATGTCAAGGACAGCGGTGCCAGGAGGGCACTTTCCCAGCAAATGAGAGGACACTATGGTAGAGTCTGGGTGCAGTGGATTAACATTGATGACGAAGGGACTGTTGGCGATGGGCTGACCGTCCATGAAGACAGACATGATCAGCTTACCGGCAACCGGTGGAGTGTAGACAACCCGGTAGTTTGCTATCTCTCCGGTTGTCATTACTTGTGCCTCGGTATATTGGTGATTGTTGACCTCAGCTGAGAGGGTCTTGGGGTCGTGGCTTGCCTGGAGACTATCGGGCATGAAAAACCGCGCAGTTACGTCGGACCGAAACTGGGGACTCACCAGGCCGGAGAATTTGACGACGATTGTGTGCTCACATTTAACAAACGCATCCGGCCATGTCACATCAGTTATCATTTTGATGTCGCTTGCAGGAGGCGATTGGTCATCAGTGTTGGACGTCAAGGGAGGGGTTTCTTCAATGTTTACTAGGAATGGACTGTCTTTGATTGGAACTCCTGACAGGCTGATGTTCAGCTGATGAGGTCCTGCTTCCAACGGCTTGAACTCGAACTCAAAGGATTCACCGCACTGCTCGACATCTGAGCACTCTCTGGTAGTACCGTCTGGTGACTGTAAATACGAATACAGACACCCACTGAGATTGTCGAAGGAGCAAGAGGGATCTTCAGAGGTAATACGAACTCTGTGCACGATCTTGGCATACAGGGGTGAAGCCGCACGCTCAACGAAATCCACCTTGGAAGAAACAGTGGCAATGCCGCCGGATGCGTTGAGCCGCCCAAGGCGCGGAAGGAGCCTCTCAAAATCAGAAATGAGGAGGTCTCGATCTTCATCGAAGGAGAGGAAGCTTGTGTCTCCAGTTGGATGAAACGGTAGTATCGTGTCGAGATCGAGAGCAATTAGCTCGTGCAGCCTAGAGATGACTTGTGCCCTTTTGTTGAGTACATCCACGGGGTTACCGATGTTGCAGGCTCTCTCGGCAAACTGACAGGCTGAGTCAAACTGGGAAGCTAGAGACTCAGCGCGGTCAGCTAGATGTCTATTGTGCCTCGTCATGTCGAAACACCTCTTCTTCAATTCTCCGATGACTGCGTCGTGTCTTTTCTTTAACAGTTCGTGGAGGTCGTCGAAGAATGCTGAAACCTGGGCGGATCTTTCGTCAAACAGCTCACTCGTGCGATTGATTTCAGTTTGGAGTTGTCCGGAAATATGGTGCGTGGACGTTTTTTTACTTTCGACAACTGCAGCAAGGCTCTGCAATTCGCCCTTCACCTCCAATGATTTCTTGTCCAGATCGACCACGCGATGAGAAGAGTGCGCGGCGGCTTTGCAAGACAGACAGATGACTTTCTGGCAGCTCTCTTCATCACAGTACAGGGACAAGGGCTTCTGCCTATGCTCCTTGCACGTCAGAATCTCTGGCCGCTTTTGCAGATCCTCAATCGAGTGCACGACGTGGTCGTCGAATTTACGCATCGTGCGATGGGCCTGATCGCAGTTCTGGCAAAGGAAAGTAACACACTCGGCGTGCGAGCAGACACTAACAGCTGGGCCTCCGTCGGCGATGCACGATCCACAGCGGAGGTGAGGCCTGGTCACGTCCTGAGGCCCAAGCAGAAGGTGTTCCACTTCCTTTAGCCGTCTCGCGATGAAGTTGTCCGGTAAAGCCTGTACGCCGCCCTCCGGAACGGTGGTATCCCGCCGACAGACCGGACATGTGAACTTAGGCTTGCCACGAGTGAACCGACCGAGGCAATCGACGCAGAAACCGTGCTGGCATGGCAGACATTTAGCCGCCGTGTTAGCGTCGTCATACCTGTTAAAGCACAGTTGGCACGTCAGTAGATCAGTAATAAGCGTTTCTCGGGCCATATCCGCCGGTCGTCCAGACAACATTTTCTCTTCTGCTGCCATTTTTGAGCCATGTAAATTCGGGATCCGTTCAGTGATCAACTTCAAAGTTGAGGTGAACCGTAAAGCCTATAGGATTTCGTGCACATAAACTACGACATGGTGTCTTGTGTACAAAATACCTGTGCATTTCTATTTTCAATGGAGCTATATTATAAGCACAAAGTACTGTTTGCAGACATCATTGTACAGTCAACATTATTGTAAACGAATCAGTCAGCGTTTGATATGATAAGGGCCGACATCGGTTCATGCTATTGCGTTAAGGCCGTGATGCGTGCCGTGGAGGTAGTCGAATCGATTCAGTATTGAGAACGTAGTGTATCATGTTACCGTGTGTAAAAAAAGTTTCCACAAGAAAAGTAACCCAGCCTTTGGGTTTTTTTTTATATCTTTGGCGACATCACGATTGGCAGCTGCATGAAAAGTTATTTTTGAAATGACTTGTCATTGGCCAAGGTCTTTTTTTTTTAATTCAAATAATTATGACCCATCACTCTAGCTCGAAGTTCCAGACAATTAATTGGAATAGTGTACATGTACATGTATACATATCCAACTGCATTCAAGCCCATGACGCAAGACACCGACGGGCGCGGGCGGGCAGGCAGCGAAGTTTTGTTTTCCCAAACGAGATCGGACAATATCAGAGAGGGCGCTCTATCGTTCCCTCTCCGTTATGCATATTCATGATGTCCAAGGCTTTCATGGTGTCAGCTGCCGACGATTGGCAGCTGATTCGTGGACTGTTTGGGAAATAGTCCCGACTTCTAATCAGGTGATCCGAGTTCGAGTCAGTGAGCTTTTTTCGCTTCTCATTTTACCTTTTAAATAACTAAAGGGAGGAAGGAACATTTCTCACTAGACGTAGGCCTAAAGCCTATCTTGTGTTTGTGTTGTCGAGAACAAGGTATTATATATGCATGTAATGGACCAATCAGAAGATGGGAAACCTACACCTTACACCAGCACGCCCCCGTCGTCTTGGATTTCCCAAATTCCGACTCTGTTATACATATTCGCTCATACCCCACGCCCTGCAAACAGGACGCTGGTAAGGGCTGACGTCATTTGAGCTCTCATTGGATAGATTTGCGTGACCTGTGACGTAGAACGCGTCACACAAATTAGCTTTCGGTGCCCATCATGGGTAGCGCGCGCTAGCTGCATGCGAAGGTCAATCTGTACTTCCTTCACAAGATTCTGTGAAGCTCATCAGCCCTTACCAGCGCCCTGTTTGCAGGGCGGGGGTACGAGCGAATTATACATACATGTATACAAAATGCAGGCCTGTTGTGTGGTAGACCACATAGGGATTAATGGCATTACATGCTATTTTGTTCGGTCTCATCAGAGTTTCAGAAATTACGTTGAAGAACTCCACAACAAAGCACAGTTACTATTATAGAAAACGTTTAAAAGTATTTATTTATTATAAAAGTATATACATGTATTTGTTTAGTGCGTGTATAAGCGTGCATCAATAAAGACAGGAATGTCTTCCACGCAAAATCCCCCTTTTATGCAAACACAGAATTGGCTATTTTCAATCGTTCTAAAACATCGACAGGTGCTAATAGTTACTTACATTTTTGAAAATGAAACATTACAATGGCTTGAAAAGCGAACTTACAAGATCGATACATCGTTAAGTCACATATACATTGTATAAAAATAAATGTTTACGTCATTAAAATGAACATCACTGACATTAAAATACTAAGAAGGCAGTTGAAAACCGCATTGATAATCTATTTAACCCTCTCTCAGTGACAATCCGTAGTCAGCAACCCTATATGGGTCAACATCTATCAGGTTACAAGTTTTTACTGTCTCTAAACCGGCCTCATATTGGTACAATTGACAGGTTTAAAAGGCTGCTACACAAGCTGTAGCAGTATTAATGGTCACCCTTTCTATCAAACCACATCAACAGGCTTTGGCAGTTATACGGTGTAATCCGTAGTAAATTAATGTTACATGTAGGTACCAAAGGGCGCGGACCGGTCCCAGTTCACCTCATAATTCACTCTATTACGTCTTTGGGAAGCAGAAGGGTGGATATTTTACAAGCAATGGGCACTTTTTATTTAAATACATTGTATTATACAAAACAAAACAAAAAGCAAATTTTAACAGGGAAAAAAACCCGCATGACATACTTTGGTTTAGGTACAAGGTCAAGTCTATAATCACCTATGGGCACTGTGGTATTTACCCAACCAAGCAAATTGCAATGTAAACATGTCGAAATACATGTACATTTGAAAACCGCCAGAAAAGTACAGTCGATTCTCGTTATTATAAACTCTGTTAAAACGAATCCTGGTTACAGCGAACATAAAGCCTTGGTCCCGACTCTGTATTGATGTGTACAATTATTAATGGGACCGAAGCTCTAGACGTACGTGTTAATGCAAAATGCTGATACATGTGTATACACCGTACATTGTAAACAGTTTGGCTAGGTCCGGTCGAGTTTGTTTTAACGAAAGTTAACTGTACTACGTACTATCCGCACGCGTGAGCTTCGTCCAATCGGAAGGGGGAGTGCTGCTCATGGCTGTCGAGTTTTTTTATGTATGGGGTGAAAACCAGCCCTGTATATATATATATGGCAGTACAATGTATAACATTACAGCTTTATCGACTTTTAATTAGGAGCAATCCACTGATGCACAGTGGTTTTGGAATGTAGAGACGTGCAATAAGCAATAAGCAATAAACAAAAACAAGCAAGTTGAACACTCACACTGCACTCATCATATGGATGACGACATAGATAGCAACTGTTTTTTGGGACAACTGAGGGCGCTGTTGTTGTGATATATTTTAAGGCCAGCTCAGGGGTTTTCTGTTTTAACTGTGAGCCCCAAAGTTTGCTCATTGAAAACATTTGGGCATAACCTTTGCACACTGACTACTTACTGTCAGGTACTGACACAACAATCAATAACCAATCACAGAAAATTTACCACAGCCACATATCCAAACACTGTGGAACATTGGGCGTGGAATCAGCTAACACTGAACTTTCTGCCTTAAAGGGAATGTACAACATTTGCTTTTGCTGCAACTTGCAGAAATAAATGGATTTGGAGGATTAGTATGTTATAGCAAATATTGTTAAACTGACTTGTAGATGATGGAACAACCAAGTAAACCAATCATGTTCTTGTGGTCTGGCTCCCTGACCCCACTTCAGAGAAACAGCAATTTATAGACTTTGGGGATTTGCAAGGTCAGGGAATCAGTCTAGCAGGCTTGTACTCCTTCACAGGTGTGTAATCAATTGCAAAGAAAATGCGGAATAACTAAATATGAAAAATTAAGAGCAGTTTTTGAAAAAAAAGCCAGTTTTCTCCAATGCTGGTCGGCCGACCAGCGTTGGAAAAATACAATTTTTCTTGAAAATGTCAGCACACCAGGACCTACGATTTTACAGGATGTTTTAGACTGTCATTCCCTAACAATCCAGTAAGGTATTTCGTGATAATTTGATCATTTCGTTTTTTGATGTTTGCAAATGTTGTATCTCCCCTTTAATAATGACCAAACTCATGTTAAAAAAACAAACAGTCATCAAACATCCTCAAACATCCTGGCAATATGAAGAATGAAAATACGTTAATGGGATACATAGGGTCATTTTTAAGGACTTCATTAAAACAAATTCCATTTGTGGCCCTTGACAGATATGCGCCACCCCTTTCTAAAACAATTCAAAAACGTCCCAATAAAGAGAAGCCCTTTTTTTAAAACTTATACCTTAACATAAGTAATTTGAAATTTTAAAAAACAAATAGACTAGATCGTCACAAAAGTATTAAGTCAAAACAAACATAAAACTAAATGGACAACAAAAATAAAATGTTTCCCTGCACAGCTGGTTGTACCTTTTTTATACGAAGAAACCTGAGAATAAGAATGGACTTTTATACAAACAAAACAAAGTACGTACAACCAAGTTTTTTTGTGACTTAAATTCTCAAAGTCCCAACTTATAAAGGGTATAGACTAGGCGATATTTCAAAAATTGTTACATGAAGAGGCATTTTCGAGTAGAAGTTGGTAACATAGCTATACGTGTACCACCTAATTTTGGGGTGCTGAATCCGAAAATGATAGTTACCCAGCTGGATTTTTAGTGGAAATATGCCTAATTTGCATAAATCTTTTATACTTGTCGTGTAATATAGTTGTTCCCATATCTTGGTATATTTTTTATTATTTTATATTTATGTTATTGAAGTCAGGAAGTGTAAGTAGAATCACCAAAATAAACTTTTCAAAAAATAAAATAATAAAAAATATACACATATATAGGAACAAATATATTTCACGACAGGTATTAAAGATTTATGCAAATAAGGCTCATTTCCACTAGAAATCCAAGCTTGGTAACCATCATTTTCGGATTCGGCACCTCCGAATTAGGTGAAATAGTAAAATAGCTATGTTACCAACTTCTACTCGAAAATGCCTCTTCTTGCCTTAAATGAGCCCTTTTTTAAAAAAATATTTCCTAGACTAGTATAAAACCAAGGCAACGGTGACACAGTGCCAATTCCAATGAGCTGCTAGGCATTCAATTTCATCTTAAAATCTACTTATTAAGGATACATGCAAGGCCAAATACAGTCGACTCTCGTTAGTACAAACTCTGTTAATACAAAATTCTGGTTATAACAAACATAAAACCTTGGTCCCGACTGTGCATTTATGTGCACAAGGAATGGGACTGATGTTCCTCTTAATACAAAATTCTGATATAACAAACAATTTGGCTAGTTTGTATTAACGAGACTTGACTGTATAACTAAGAACAAGGACCAAGCATCGTGGAGCTATTAAGCAGGAAATAGCGCTTAGTAAATTTACAGGCTAAGCGAAAATCGGCTGATGACCACCATCAAGCAATAGTGATTTGTATTTGTTATAAAGCAATGTTTTTTTGTTCTTAGCAAGTATCACTGCTTAAGGCTGCAAAGAAGTTGGTCTTATAACCTCAGCCGGTAATAGCTGTTCCTGCTTAACAAACTCCTCATGCACACCAACAATTGTGTGCTTACTGGAGGCTCCACTTGAAGCAGCCTCTCTCGCTAGCAATATAAAAAATATAATCTTGGCTGTCAGACAATACTGTTCCTTGTCAAAGCATCTGTTACTTGGGAGAATCATCGGAAGCTTTCCACCTCTGAAGTAGATGAATGCGTTCCCTTTTACCTCCTGGACAAAAGAGAAACAACGTCATGTAAAGCAGAGTTAAAAGTGTTGTTAACACGCACCAGGGGTGTCATGGCCTAGCGGAGTGATGGCCTAGCGGAGTGCCATGGCCTAGCGGTTAAGAGTACCACACCGGACTCATGTTCTGGTGTTTCAGAGGCAACAGAATGTGGGTTCAAGCCCTGCCTGGACACTTGTGCCCTTAAGCAAGGCACTAAGGCCAAAAAAAAAAGACTTCTGCTTCCGATTACATGGCATTCGAAAATAAGGTAGGTAGGGGAATTTTTTTTGGCAATTTTTTTTTTGTGTACAATCATATGGGGGCGTCTGCGTGTAGTCAAGGGTAAAGGTAGTAATTGATGGTTTTGAGTGTTTTTTTTTCTCAAAACCCATAAAAAAATTAGGGCAGGGTCTGTACAAAATGTACAAGATCATGTTTGTACAAAACCATACAACGATGGTGTCAGAAGTGGGATCCATTACAAGACTTTGATTCCACAAGCAAGTAGAGATGGTATCTACCTTATTCTGATGAATTTATACCTAAAAAGCACACAAGTATCAGCATAAATTAATCAATATTATGCAACTAAAGAAATGGACAGAATTTCTTCCAATGGGTAGAGGATGGAGTCGGTGTGGTTGAATGGCACTTTTCCTGGATACTCGTATTGGTTTTTGCATCACATTTTTCTCTGAAATTGTTCACAAACAGGCAGACTGAATTAAGATATTTATAACAGACTGTATCTACGCTGATTTTTGCCGAGCACAAGATGGAGTGTCGTGGCTTTGTGGTCTGGAACATTGAATTTGTGGTCTGCGGGTAATTCTGCAGGTTGTGGGTTCGAGTCTAGCCTGCGGCTATGGTGCGTGTGCCCTTGGGTAAGGCACTTTGTCACTCATTGCTTCTCTCCACCCAGGAGTAAATGGGTACCTGTGAGGGCAGAGATGGTTATTGTGGTTGATTTAAGCTGCTTTGCGCTGATACAACAGCATCAAGCTGTATACTCCCCAGGGAGATGAGATGGTACTTGGAATGTTTCCTTGGCCCAATGAGCTGGGTAATATGATGTAGCGCCATGAGCACCAATAATGGTGGATACATGCACTTTATAGATACTTATTATTATTCTGAAAAAGGCTTGCATCAGGGAAAGTATCATGCCATATTTCCCACAGATGTTGCTCTCACATTCACACAGGGAATAAACTCAAATCAGGTTGTCAAAGATATGCGAGTACAGAAAATAATTGCAAAATGGATGTCAAATATTCAAGTAAATCAAGCTTGCCTACAAAAAGGATTATCATTTGCAGAGTGCAAGTAATAAAGTAAGATGTAAAAGCTTGCGGGTACAAAAGAAGCATGCGAATGAAGGAGCAAGCATATATGCAGGGGCAACTTACAAGCAAGCAACCAAGCAGGCAAACAAGCACATGTATTTGCAATACAGGTGCATTCCAAAAACCTCTGGCCTGGTTTCATTTGTTTCTTTTTGCTGTTTACCTACAGCAGAGTTGAAACCCAGTGAGGCCAGTTCTGTATGCCGTGCTAAATGAGTGCGGCAATAGCTCGTCTACAGTAAGGCACTGCACGAATATATATGTATAAACAAAACATTCTTCACAGACAGTATGTAATTAAGTGTAAATATCAAATGATGTCAACATAAAGGAAAAAGGTGAAGCACTGTCGTTGTACCTTTCCCTGGGACAGGACAAAACTTAAACAACTAACCACACACAGACTAAGACAGGACAATAGGTTTAAGAGTGAGACCCGGTACAATATGTAAAATAATGACTAAGCAAAGCAGAGAAGAAAATGTTTTTTAAGTAAAAGTATAAGTATTGATGATCGATTTTTTCAATTTTTTAGCAAATGAAACCACACTAGTACACTCTTTTAAACCAAAGTTGAGTTCATTCCAGTATATGACACCACGTTGAAATGGACTGTTTCTAAAAAAGGAAGTTCTATTTTTTCTCACAAACAGATCACCTTTCGATGAACTACATGTTTCATATGAATGAACAGAGGAAGTAAATGAGAATAGATGATTAAAAATTGGAGGGAGCATGTTGTGAGCATATTTAAACATAATGAGTAGGCTTTGCATGCAAATTTTTGGAGGGAGGTCTAAAATGGGAGGTACATGTATTCCCAAAAAGTTAAGTACAAACAAAAGGGGTCCCCGATTGCAGGCAAATACACACTTGTGTGGATTGGGTTGGGCTGGAATGGGATGAGTTGGGAAGTAAAGCCGAGTTGAAAATAAAGATCCTCAATTTTGATTCATGTCAGATGGAAATCTCTTACTTACCATTTAAAAGCCATCACTTATTGAATGGTACTTCGGCAGGGTACGTGAGTGTACTGTGATGCATAAATATCCAAAACGAAGGAAGAATTGGCTGAATGGCAACTATTATCTAAACTAAATTTCCTGCAGCTTCACTAAAAAAAATTTTAAAATGGCAGGTTTCAACTTTTTTTTGAAAAGTTTTGATGACTGGCATTCTTATGGCACCACATGCATCTATCCATTTGACATGCGCATTCACACCAATAGAATGTTATTGTCCCTTTTTTCCCCTTTCACAGTGAAACAGGGAATAAAAGAAATGCAAGGGTTATCAACAGGTATCCAATACAGGTACAGATACATGTATGACTTTCAAAATCCAGAATCACAATCGATCCATGAATTCCCTGTTACTTTTAGATACAGGATCTTCCTTTATTATTTATATATATGAGGATTAGATAGGAGGTGAAAGTTATTGGCCCTCAATTTTTTTTCCAAAAAATTTGGTAACCTGGGGCCCAAAGGGTAGCAGGTCAATTTGCACAGGGTTAAGTAGCTACAGGAAATTTTTACATAAGGTAGGGTAAGGTAGGATAAAGTAGGGTAGGGTAGGGTAGGGTTGGGTTCGGTTGGGTTGGGTGTTGGGTTGGGTTGGGTTGGGTTGAGTTGGGTTGGGTTGAGCTGGATTGGGTAGAGCTGGTTTGGGTTGGTTTGGGTTGGGCTGGGCTGTATTGAGTTTGGTTGGGTTGTGTTGGGCTAGGTTGGGTTGTGTTTGGGTTGGGCTGGGTTAGGTTGGGTTGGGTTGGGCTGGACCCAGTTGGATTGAGTTGGGATTGGTTGGGCTGCGTGGGGCTGGTTTGGGTGGGGTGGGGATGGGTTAGGTTGGGTTTGGTGGGTTGGGCTGGGCTGGGTTGGGTTATGCTGGATTGGGTTGGGTTGGGTTGGGCTGGGTTGGGCCGGGTTGGGTTGGGCTTTGTTGAGTTGGGCTGGGTTGGGTTGGGTTGGGTTAGGTTGGGTAGGGTTGGATTGGGTAGGGTTGGGTTTGGTGTATGCTTGGGTTTTTATTTTGGTTGGGTGTTTGGGAGGGGGGGGGGAGTAGGTTGGGCGGTGCTAATTAGTTAGTATATATCGTCCCGGCTTGAGCTGTGTAACATGATTGGGTTATGTACAATGTACGTGTAGAAGATTAAGAAGTTATTTCATCTAACACACATTATCTACAGGTGTTAAAACATGTACTACAGAAAGTATTGACTAACCACAACACACTACACAATGTACACATATGTAAGCAAATCTACATGTACTTTGGCATGAATTTAATTTTTAATTGGAAAATACCGTTTTATGGAATGCATGCTAGAATAGAAAGGTTTTCAAGCGCAATACAGACAGAAGAAAAATAAACTATGAGAAAAACAACATGCATTCAAAGTGCATACAAATGCCACATGTCAGTATAAATTAATACACACAGGCATACTAGCTGCAGAAACAAAGCGACAAAATGTGACCCTTAACCCTAACCCCCTAGGCCCTTGTTGCTTACAACCATCCTCAATCCTCCAAAATCCTCCAAAATTTTGCAACTCCGCCTAAATTTTTCAAAATTGTCAGACAGTCCTGCCTTAAAATGCATTCATCCTCAATCCTCCAAAATCCTCCTCATCCCAAAACTTTGCACTCGTGTTTAAATGAAGGATAACCAACGCAAAATCCTTCAAAATCATCAGACAGTCCTGCCTCAAAATGCATTCATCCTCAATCCTCCAAAATCCTCTTGTGCTTCAATCACCATTCATCCTCAATCCTCCAAAATCCTCATGTGCTTCAATCACCATTCATCCTCAATCCTCCAGAATCCTCATTTGATTCAATCACCATTCATCCTCAATCCTCTAGAATCCTCCAAAACCGCCAGGAGGATTTTGGAGGAGTGAGGTGGGTTAGGTTTAACACTTCGTGGAAAGCGATTCTTTTTTTCCCTTGTCTTTTGCAAAGATGCTCGATCATTGACCCTAACAGAGCTCAACCCATCAAACCCCAACGGCATGTTTTGTTGGAATCCGTCAGGATGGGTACAGTGCCCCTAAACTGACAGTCTTTTACATTGGGTTGGCACACCTCCATAATCAAGTCAGAAATATGTGTGTGCAGTTTCCCACATGGTGTTGGAATTTGCCAGGATGGGTATGGTTCCTAGTAAATCATGCTAGGGAGTTAGGGTTTATCACAAAAGAGTGATTAGGCCAAAAAAAAAAAGTCTCCGGTTTCTGGTATGGAGCTTGCCCCAAAAGTGGTGCGGCGACGCGGCTTTTTTTTTTTTTTTTACCTGTTTTTTTTTTTTTTTTGCTTCAAATGTCGGCTGATGACTGCAATTGGTGCCCGACTAAACTTAGTGCAAATATATGGGAGTCCAGAGAGGCCACATAAATCTTATTCTCGATCATAACCCCATCTAAAAACACGTTAAAATTGTGCAGCAGCAGAATTCCAGTCAAACCAGTGAGTTTGGCGGTTTTGAAACATCATCTTGTATTGAAAAAAAAACTTTTTCATTTTGCCGACGCGCATGGCTACGGCGACGCGCGCGCATACCAGAAACCGGAGACTTTTTTTTTTGGCCTTAGTGGTGGATGGGACAAGCACATGCTTTTTTTTTCTAACTACAATAAACCAAGTGACTTTTAAAACCAGAATTCACATTTTGTTCGTTTCTTTATTTGGGAGGGACGGTGAAAGGCGAGGTACATTTTTTTTTGTAAAGTTTTAAAACAAAAAAGTATCAATGGTGTGCTACCAAGAAAACATGTCTTCATATTACCGCAGACTGTGTTAATTCATAAATACAATGAATAATACAACCAATTTGTTGTGGAAAAATCCAAATGTTTTGGGGTTTTAAGAGTTAAACCCTAACATTACTGATAAAAAGTTGTTATGCAAAAACCTAGACATGGGTTGGATTGATGTGAATAATTTGAAGAAAAAATGACATATGATGTAGGGGCCACATTAACCTGCAACTACTTGTAAATTGGCCAATATCAATGCATAGGCCTATAATTGCGCTTGTTCAGGGGCCATATTAACCTTTAATTAATCGGATTGGCTGCCATGACACGCATATTTCACGCATAAGTGCGCTGGTTCGAGGCTCAATAATCTTCAACTGCTTGTAAATTGGCGATTAATGCTTTTTGCGTTTGTTCAGGGGCCACATTAACCTTATATGGACACAACCTGCCTGTCAATCAAACAGCAATCATGACCAAAGTCAGACAAACACTGTGAGAAATGTAGGCCTACACAAAGCAAAGCTGGGTGGGGCTTGTGTCTAATCATTAATTGATTGGCTGACATTAAATGCAAATTAAATGTTTGGGGCACAGTAATCTTCAATTAAATGGGCATATTCATGAAGTGCTTGTTCGGGGGCCACATTAATCTTCAAGCATTGGCCGATGCCTTCAAATGCATATTCACATAGTGCTGGTTCAGGGGCCACTTTAACCATCTACCGAACAGATTGGTTGTTCTATTCAAGGTATTCATGAATGAGTTATTAATAGTGCTCTCACCCAACATTATCATCGGCATTTGCACCGGTACCTGGCAATAGCTGGTACTCGTTCCCACTGCACGCTCTCTTGAAGTCCTTGTACACCAATCTTAGCAGGCACTGCGAGCACGAGGAAAAAAAAAATGAAATGACACATGATAAAGAGAGTTGAGGTCCTCTACCTTTCAGTCCGTGAGCCTCGAGACCGAGTGGGTTGGGCTTGGTTGGGTTGGGCTGAGTTGGGCTTGGCTGGGCAGGGTGGGGTGGGGTTGGGTTGGTTGGGGTTGGGTTGGGTTGAGTTGGATTGGGATTGGTTGGGTGGGGTGGGGTGGGGTGGGGTTTGGCTGGGAGGGGTTTGGTTGGGTTTGGTTGGGTGGGGTTGGGCTGGGTGGGGTTGGGCTGGGTGGGGTTGGGTTTTTCTGGGTGGGGTGGGGTTAGTCTGGGTGGGGTTGGGTTGGGCTGGGTTGGGTGGGGTTGGGTTGGGTGGGGGTTGGGTTGTTCTGGGTGGGGTGGGGTTGTTCTGGGTGGGGTTGGGTCGGGCTGGGTTGAGGATGGTTGGGCTGGGTTGTCCTGGCTTGGCTTGGCTTGGGTTGGGCTGGGTTGGGTTGGGTTGGGTTGGGTTGGGTTGGGTTGGGTTGGGTTGGGTGGGGGTTGGGTGGGGGTTGGGTTGTTCTGGGTGGGGTTGGGTTGGGGATGGTTGGGTTGGGTTGTCCTGGCTTGGCTTGGCTTGGGTTGGGCTGGGTTGGTTTGGGTTGGGTTGGGCTAGGTTTTCATAATATAAGTTTGACGTGTAGTACAGAGTCTTACCAAGGCAGAGGTAACCTCGGCCGCTGCTAGCATAATGAAGACATAATTCCAGCCGGTTTTCCCCGTCGGGTTGATGATGCCTGTTAGGAGAGGCCCCAAGGCGGCACCCACGGTACCCGTCCCGTCAATTATAGCAGCGACTGTTGCTAAGGCTTTGGCGTTACCATGGAGGGTGGGATGCGTACCCTGTTAGGTCGGCAAAATAAATAGACTCATAAACATGGCGTTAAATGTTAGGTGTTCTGGCAAAATGAGACGGAACTGGGCATGGAGTCGTAGTGGAAAAAAATGCAAAAAACTGTGTGGGCATTTTTTTCCCCCAATTTTCAGATTTGTCTACTTCACATATTTGAAGTATGAAAATTGTGGAATAGAACTGTTTTTAAGGGAACGCCAGTTTTTTTCTTTCAGTTTCACGACTACAAACGTGAAAGGTTAAAGGCCTTTTTCTCAATATGGTACCTTTTGACATGTAGATAAATGCGGATTAATGTGATTGTTTAAACAGAAATAACTTGTCGACGGAATGTCTGATGAATTGCAACAAACAGTATTGTAAGGAGAATTGTATTCTCTTTCCTCACACCTGCAAAGTCAAATTTCAAACTCTGCCCAGTTCTGTCTCATTTTGTCAGAAAGCCTCACAAAAATGAGGGGAAAAAGCACTGCCTTTAAGTTATTACAGTCGAACACCTTTATAACAAGGTCCTTGGGACTTTACAAGTTACAATGTTATAACAGGTACCTTGTATTATCAGTAATGGAAAACAAAGAAAAGCAAAGACTTGGGACCTAAAATTGTGCTTGTTATAAGCAGGACCTTGTATTAACAGTGCTCTTCTTATCAGGGTTCGACTGTATTAGCTAAAAAGCTGTGACAGGAATCGTTTTGCAAGGAGTAAAGTCAAGAATGATTACTCTAAAACTTACCAAATCTGCAGACACGGCCGTTGTAATGAGTGCATATGGTGCGTTGGTGAAAAACGCCGTCAACATCATCAGACCTAGACAGTTTGAAGCAGAGGCCAAGCATACGAGTGACAATGGAGATTTTAAGACCGTGTGTGAAATAGAAATTAGTGACTATGGCTATGACAATCTTGTGTTATGACAGTAGCAAAACCTGAAGCCTTAGCCACAAAATTTTCGATTGGAACACTGCCTATGAGTGCATTGTACAAATCTTCAACAGCGAACTCCAAACAACAAAAATGCCAACAACAAAAAAGGAGGAAATTCAAGGAAAAAGAAAAGCATGATAGCTTACCTACACCCTTGGCGAGGCTGAGATAACCGAATGCATTGTAAATATAAACCTGAAACAAAACAGAAAAAAATCTGTTGTTTTAACACAGTGAAACAACGCACATGCACATAGGTACAAGTACATATGTATGTCCCCTCAAAACTGAAGAAAAAGAATTTGCACCCAAGAAGTGTACACTGTAGTTACTCACCAAAGGTGCGGATATTACTAGAGCGAGAAACGACACCGTAGCGCTGGCTCCGGAGAGATCCGACAGAAGCCCAATGACAATGCCGCCCAGGACACCACCCACGTCAAACAAGGTGGAGAAATCCGCTGATTGTTCGTCCGATAAGTTTGCTACAAAAAAAAGGAGAAAATTCCAAGTAATGAAGACTAGGAACAACAGACAAAGCAGGCAAGTTGTGGTCACAACTGTTTTACCAATCACCCGGAGTCAAAGCATAGCTGTATCAAGTTACTTAAACAGTCCCAGCCAGTCAATCCTGCTTTATGTAGGCTGGGATTTCTAATAACTGTTGAAAACAGTCACTTGTTTGATTTTGACTGAAAGGACTACTTGGCACAGAATGTATGTTTAATAATAAACTGGCACGTAAAGGCACGTAAAGGTGCCTATGGCTGCCGGCCACATCGACCCATATATGACCACGGAGCACAGCCTCCGATTGAAAGTGTTTGATTTTTCCGGAGGGAGAAAAACCGGAGGGCCCGGAGAAAAACCCTCGTGGCACAGGAGAGAACCAACAAACAACTCTACTCACATGCGATCCGCGGCCAGGATTCGAACCGTGGTCACCTTGGTGAGAGGCGAGCGCTTTACGCACAAGCCACCCATGCCACCCAATGTTTGCATAGGAGGGTTAATAATAATAATAACATGGTGCATATATAGCGCTTTATACCAAAGGTCTCAAAGCGCTTCACAATTATTGACCCGTTCATCAGGCCATGAGACTAGTTTTTGCAGCAGCTCGAGATCAGCGCATTCTGGTCTCTACCTTCACAGGTACCCATTTATACTCCTGGGTGGAGAGAGGCAATTGTAGTAAAGTGTCTTGCCCAAGAACACAAGCACCATGTTCCCCATCAGGATTCGGACCCACATACCACGGCACGTGAGTCGAACACCGTAACCACTGAACCAAAGCACTCTAGGCTTGGCGCCCTGATTTTGTTGAAGTACAATATGATGCGTTTTTAATGGATTTTACAACTTTTGTTCACAGCTGGGTTATTTTGAATTTTGATCCTGATTACAAAGCAAATAAATATTGTTGAATTCATACTTACTTGTACCCTGGATATAGTAGGGCAGCCAGAATAGAAAGGTGTAGCTGACTAACTTGCAGAAAAACAAGGATAGGGAGAATTCGATGACGCCCTGCAAGATAAGGGGAAGGCAAGAATGCTTTATAAATATATTGTAATCATTATTATTATTATTATTATTTATTCGGCATTAAAAACACATACAAACAACAAACATTCATCAAATTAGGTTTTGCCCTTCACCGACGTTTAAACACTGTATACTCAGTGTGTTACCTCTTGAGTGAGGTAACACACTGAAAAAAAAAAAAAAATTCCATCTTATAATAATAAACATTCACAAAATATAAAAATAACAGCGTTGCTGTTGAAACCCCTCAGCCAGAGTCAAGTTATCATCCGGAAACCATTAACCTATAACTCAACATGGTGACCTTGACCTTTGACCCCAGAACCAGTCCCAACATGCCTGTACCGATGGAAAACCCCCTACCGAAGTTAGACACCAACATTTCATTTCTAACTCAAGTTATCATTCGGAACCATATACATTTAACTCACCAAGGTGACCTTGACCTTTGACCTTTTGACCCCAAAACCAATCCCAGCTTGCCTGTACCCAAGGGCAACCCACTACCAAAGTTAGACACCAAAATCTCATTTCTAACTCAAGTTATCATCCGGAAACCATTTACATTTAACTCACCACGGTGACCTTGACCTTTGACCTTTTGACCCCCAAACCAATCCCAACTTGCCTACTCCCAAGGGCAACCCCCTACGAAAGTTAGACATCAAAATCTCATTTCTAACTCAAGTTATCATCCGGAAACCATTTACCTTTAACTCACCATGCTGACCTTCACCTTTGACCTTTTGACCCCAAAACCAATCCCAACTTGCCTACTCCCAAGGGTAACCCTCTACCAAAGTTAGACACCAAAATATCATTTCTAACTCAAGTTATCATCCCGAAACTATGTACCTTTAACTCACCACGGTAACCTTGACCTTCGACCTTTTGACCCCAAAACCATTCCCAACCTGCCTACTCTCAAGGGCAACCCCTACCAAAGTTAGACATCAAAATCTCATTTCTAACCTAAGTTATCATCCGGAAACCATTTTCCTTTAACTCACCATGGTGACCTTGACCTTTGACCTTTTGACCCCCAAACCAATCCCAACTTGCCCACCCCCAAGGGCAACCCTCTACCAAAGTTAGACACCAAAATACCATTTCTAACTCAAGTTATCATCCGGAAACCATTTACCTTTAACTCACCATGGTGACCTTGACCTTTGACCTTTTGACCCCAAAACCAATCCCAGCTTGCCTGTACCCAAGGGCAACCCACTACCAAAGTTAGACACCAAAATCTCATTTCTAACTCAAGTTATCATCTGGAAACCATTTACCTTTAACTCACCATGGTGACCTTGACCTTTGACCTTTTGACCCCCAAACCAATCCCAACTTGCCTACTCCCAAGGGCAACCCTCTACCAAAGTTAGCCACCAAAATATCATTTCTAGCTCAAGTTATCATCCGGAAACCATTTACCTTTAACTCACCACGGTGACCTTGACCTTTGACCTTTTGACCTCAAAACCAATCCCAACTTGCCTACTCCCAAGGGCAACCCCCTACCGAAGTTACAACCCCAAACAACATTTCTAACTCAAGTTATCATCCGGAAACCAAGCTACCCGGACGGACGGACGGACGGACGGACGGACAGACATACATACATCCGGACGGACGGACGCCCTAGGCGATGACAATACCCCTCGAGCCTCTCGGCTGAGGGGTAAAAACCAAAAACCAAGAAAACAAAAACGAAAGCCAGGGGCATATGCCCGGAATTAAAAAAGTTTACCTCAAAACTGTGGCCTGAAGGCCTTCAATTCCAATAACTCTGGCTACACAAAGAATATATATAAATCTATAAAAATCTATAAAAATTTATTAACAATAAACACATATATTAAAAATGGCAGAGGTATAAATGCAAAAAAGTTAACATGATTGCATAGTCTCTTTCCTGAACAAAGTTCAGGCGAAACAAAAACGGAAGACCTGATTTTTTTTTAAGGTTGGCATGGTTGGTTTCGAATGTCCAGTTTCCAAAATTCAAACCAAATAATGAAATTCAAACTAAATTTGTAAAACTCTGAATTTTAATCCCAGCACTAAGGCCAACTCAATTTTAAAGGGCAATTCCAGGCGAAAGTGACATGACTGAGAAGTGGAAAATTTATGAAATCTTCAGAACAACAATAATTACAAGCTCAAATGTGGTATCAAATTAAAAGGAACAACATGACCTTCTATTTTGAATGGTGTGACAGTGACGTGGTGATGTGACAGTGACGTGGCTACGTGGTGAAATTAATTTTTTTTGACAAAAAACTCATTTTTGAGTAACTCACCGCAGTGTTAACAATGTATAGTCGAGACCATCACAAGACCAGACACAAGACCAGACACAAGACCAGCACAAGACCAGACACAAGACCATCACAAGACCATCACAAGACCAGACACAAGACCAGCCACAAGACCAGCCCAAGACCAGCCACAAGACCAGCCACAAGACCAGCCACAAGACCAGCACAAGACCAGCCACAAGACCAGCCACAAGACCAGCCACAAGACCAGCCCAAGACCAGCCACAAGACCAGCCACAAGACCAGCACAAGACCAGCCACAAGACCAGCCACAAGACCAGCCACAAGACCAGCCACAAGACCAGCCACAAGACCAGCCACAAGACCAGCACAAGACCAGCCACAAGACCAGCCACAAGACCAGCCACAAGACCAGCCCAAGACCAGCCACAAGACCAGCCACAAGACCAGCCACAAGACCAGCACAAGACCAGCCACAAGACCAGCCACAAGACCAGCCACAAGACCAGCACAAGACCAGCCACAAGACCAGCCACAAGACCAGCCACAAGACCAGCACAAGACCAGCCCAAGACCAGCCACAAGACCAGCCACAAGACCAGCCACAAGACCAGCACAAGACCAGCCACAAGACCAGCCACAAGACCAGCACAAGACCAGCCACAAGACCAGCCACAAGACCAGCACAAGACCAGCACAAGACCAGCCCAAGACCAACCACAAGACCAGCCACAAGACCAGCCACAAGACCAGCACAAGACCAGCCACAAGACCAGCCACAAGACCAGCCACAAGACCAGCACAAGACCAGCACAAGACCAGCCACAAGAGCAGCCACAAGACCAGCCCAAGACCAGCCACAAGACCAGCCATAAGACCAGCCACAAGACCAGCCACAAGACCAGCCACAAGACCAGCCACAAGACCAGCACAAGACCAGCCACAAGACCAGCCACAAGACCAGCACAAGACCAGCCACAAGACCAGCCACAAGACCAGCACAAGACCTTTCACAAGACCAGCCACAAGTAACAGGGCACGAAGAATGACAAAGGAATGCAGTTGTTCATTTGAATAGCTTGTGACTTGACTTGAGACTGGAGGTCTTGGGTTGGTCTTGTGATGGTCTTGTGATGGTCTTGTGATGGTCTTGTGATGGTCTTGTGATGGTCTTGTGATAGTCTTGTGATGGTCGTGCAGGGTCTCGACTACAACACTGACTCACCGGAATCATTAAGGCTCTCCCTAGGCTAACAGGCGGCTGCTCAGATAAGACCTTCCTCTCGCTGAGATCCTCACCCTCGTCATCGGAAGAGTTGACGGCCATGGACTTAGAATCCTGTGACCAAAACCAAAAACAAGCGGAGGGATCAAAAGAAGCAAATTAAAAGGTTCTCCAATCCAAACTAAATGCATGTATAGCGCTTTCAATTACTTCCTTTGCGCCTACCCGTACTTTTGTCTTGGATTTAGATGCCCATGCACAATCTGTAGCAATAAACACACGATCATGTAGGTATTGAATATGAGAAAGTACATTGATTTCACGGCAATTTATTAAAAGTAATTTATCGCACTGCGAATACATGTATACGCATTGGCTTGGACTGCCCCCCCCCCCCCACCCCTTCCCTTTCGTGCGTACATACTTTATAAAAGTTACAATGAAATTTCGAGACAAAATTTACCGTTTTTTGCTCTTCAGGTGGATCACAGCCTATATCTGTTGGATCTGTAACACACACAAAGATTGAAAAGTATTATTTCCCCGTGTCTCTAGTTGTAGTTCCAGCTCATCACATGCATAGCACAGTCACATCATTAAATTTCCAAGATATATTAACAGACAAGTTTATCTGAAATAGACCCACTGCATCTGTTATGGACTACAATCTGGGCAAAACTCGCTGGGCTTGGTCTCTCATCATTGCTTGGTCTGTGCTCAAGCGCGAGGTGACAACATTGACTGGGGGAGCGGGGAACGGGGGAGGGTATGTTCATTGTGCGGACGTGTCCCAACCATTTCGGCCGGGATTGTCTGAATGTACGTACCCTGGATTGGATGTGGAGAGGGAGGGTGTGGACCGGGGAGCGGGGGACAGGGGGAGGGTACGCTTATTGTGACGTGTCCCAACCATATTGGCCCAGATTGTAGGTGCAAGAACAGTACATGGTGCTTTTTAACCACTTTCGAGAGCCAAGATAAGGATACACAGTGTTGCAAGTACTGGTTCACGTGAGCATATGCGGTAAAGTACGCATCTTCGCGTGAGCGTCAGGCGTTGTCAGCCATGCCTTTGAATGTCCCTTCCAGTGGTCTCCCCCAACTCTCCCTTTGTAACCGTTGAGGGCCGGTACTTGTGCACGGAGCCTTTTAGTTGCAAGAAGTGATTTGGAGGATTTTAAAGGGTTGAGGCAGTGGTCAAAACCCTCTGCTGAACAAATTCAAGAAATACTGGACGGTCTGGTAGATTGAGGCAATATCTAATTTTACATATTTTAGAGGCATTTTGAGGATTTTGATTGAAGATGCAGCCTAGCTGCATGTGCTAAAAAATTCAGCGAAAGTTGATTGCCTCGTAGAAAGTAGGATAATGGTGCGAAATCTGACGTGTTGCCATTGTGACACAGTTTGTACAATTTGTAGTATCCAGTCTGTCGAATGACATTTGAAATTAGCGAACAGCCTGTATCGTTACAGGCCATCAAATAGACGTGTATACTGTAACCTCAAACGTCTGTGCCCTGTTACAAATCTATCTAATTAAGGTCATCAAAACCGTAAGAGTTTAAGATCTGCTGGAGTCATATTTCGTTAAACGTCTGAGATAAGTTGTGGAAAAATGTTTATGTGCCATGGACCCACTTCATCAGCTATTAGTTGCAGGGCTCCAGTGAGGTAAGCAGGTAATTAAACTAGAAGTTGTGCAGTGTAGCAGGACTGATGCAAGCAATAATTTTAATCCTATGAACTTTGTACAATAACTCTATGCAGATGGGCAATTCCACGGTTACTCACGTTACATTTTTGATGTACTTTTGAGTTTCCTTGGGCTGTAATTACCATACTGAAAAGCTTTAATAACTGTTATACCTATGGCAGATGGAGTAGACCTAGACCTACCTAAGCACCAAAGATGACATCCAGAAAAATGTGTTATGTATGATTTAAACAAGACGCACAAAATCAGTTACTCACGTTACATTTACATAACATGAGCAACCGATTTTGTGCGTCTTGTTTATTATACATAACACATTTTTCTGGATGTCATCTTTGGTGCTTAGGTAGGTCTAGGTCTACTCTATCTGCCATAGGTATAACAGTTATTAAACCTTTTCAATATGGTAATTACAGCCCAAGGAAACTCAAAAGTACATGTACATCAAAAATGTAACGTGAGTAACCGTGGAATTGCCCAGATGACCTTATCTTGAATAAAATGTCTGTCGGGTAGGGCTAGTGGAGAATATATCAAATATTTGAATATTGGATCGTCCACCAAATATCCAAATAACATTATTCTAATTAAATATTCTTAAAAAAAAAATTGGTGTACATTTAAGGGTAGTGCAGGAACCGGTTACCTCACTGAAGTGAAAAGAAACCCTTCCACAAAATTCAAATCCCAGAAGTTGCCTGAAGGGTTTTATAGCTTAAAGGTATTTCGTAAAAACTCGGTAGTTTTATTTTTCAATGTTTGCAAATGTTGTTTATTCCCTTTAAATATCAGCAAAAAGTCAGCTATCGAAAAAAAAAAAAAATCATCATATTCATTGTAATGTTTGTAATTAGCTCAATAAAATTTTTTTATGGGAGCATGCAAATTCCTCTGCACATAGGCCCCTTTTATTCGTGTATGGTTGCACGCAAATGTCAACCTGTGCATTTGACTGGCACATGTGTGCGATTGCCGACCTTGGAATGCACTTAACATGTAATTGCATTTCAAGTATTTGAATATTCCATCAAATCCAAATTTGACTGATCGAATACTAAATTATTCAAAAACGCACAGCAGTATGGGGCGGGTCTGTCTGCATTTCATTAGCCTGCACATGACTGACTATTAAAGCAATGCAGCTTCATGTTGTTTTCCATCGTAACATTTTTATGCACCATGCATGAACTTATGTTGCTGTTCATTTGTTACAGGGGGCACACAATGGGTTTTTTCATTGTTTGAAAAAATGCAAAGGTTTCTCCAATTTCTGTGGGGGGGGGGGATGGGACGGGGGTATGGGGAGGGAGTGTCACAAGTGGGCACAGGCATTGAGCGGAGGGTGGGGGGGATGTTCCCTTACCCTTGCCCCCACCCCCTTTGTCATTCCTCATTTTGCCCTATATCAAAGCAACATAGAACGACCCCTTCTTTTATCTTTTACTTACATTCAATGAGGAACAGGAAGACGACAAACCCCATCAGTGCTATGATGGCGCCGGGCACGATGAAGGACCACGCCCAATTGTAATCCACAAAGAGTCCTGCAATGACCGCGCCCAAGATGTTACCCAGGCTGGTGTGGGTGTTCCATACACCCATGATGAAGCCACGCCTACATAAGAAACAAAAAACAAATCACTGTCTTACTAATGGTTGCGCTGTTCAAAACGGTTAAAGGGAAAATACAACATTTGCAAACATCAAAAAATAAAACTACCAAATCATTTTGAAATACCTTGCTGGACTGTTAGTGAATGACAGTGTAAAGCATCCTGTAAAATCATGGCACCTAGTATACTGTCATTTTCAAGAAAAGTGGTATTTTTGTATCAATTTCCAACGCTGGTCGGCCGACCAGCATTGGAAAACACTGGCTTTTTTTTCAAATACTGGCCCCAATTGGCCATCGCACTTGTTTGCAATCGATTACACACCTATGAACGGGTACAAGCCAGCTAGACTGGTTCCCTGACCTTACAATTACCCAATGTATGTAAACTGCTCTGTTTCTTCTTATATGGAGTCAGGGAACCAGACTACAGAAAAATGATTGTTTCCTTGGTTTTTATAGTCAGTGTAACTATATTTGCTATATATTTCCAACCCCCCAATTCCATCCATTTCTGAAAATTACAGCAAAAGCAAATGATGTATATTCCCTTTAAGAGAGGACTCTACATGTACGAGACAATACATTGCACCGTCTCAAGCTGACAGACAAACCACTATGCTGACGAGACAATTTTGCCGTTAAAATCTAACAACAGGGGTGTGTCACAGCCCCCACACAGCCCCCCCCCCCCCCCAGTAAGTAAACATCCATGGGTGTTATTTTAAGCTCCGACAGGATTTCTACATGTCACTCTGTGGTCGGTCAGTCGGATGGTCTGTCTGTCTGTCCCCGGAAAATTGTCCAAAAGTATGGTGTTCCATATGTGCCCTCAGCGTCATATATTTCGGCGTCGCATTTTTCAGCTCTGGCAGGGATCGTTTTGATTGATTTCATGCAAGATTTCTTGCAACACAGCATATAGCAATATTGGCAAACTAATAAATCACATGTTATTCACTGTATACAGGAATCAAGGAACTTGCACGAACCATGATCTGCCGGTACATCATGCATTTTTGATTTTAATCTAAGGCCAAAAAAAAAAAGTCTCCGGTTTCTGGTATGGAGCTTGCCTAAAAAGTGGTGCGGCGACGCGGCTTTTTTTTTTTTTACCCAATTTTTTTGCCTCAAATGTCGGCTGATGACTGCAAATGGTGCCCGACTAAACTTAGTGCAAATATATGGGAGTCCAGAGAGACCACATAAAGCTTATTCTCGACCATAACCCGATCTAAAAACACGTTTAAATTGTGCAGCAGCAGGATTCCAGTCAAACCAGTGAGTTTGGCGGTTTTGAGACATCATCTTTCATTGAAAAAAAACCTTTTTGCCGACGTGCATGGCTACAGCGACGCGCGCGCATACCAGAAACCGGAGACTTTTTTTTTTGTTGGCCTAAGTTATGATTTTTTGGGAGTATAAATTTCATGCAACTAAATTGCCGGTTCCCTGTTCAAAACTTGGTCTTCAATTTAGCACCCATTTCATCATTCTTTAGTTGCTGCGTGGAAGACTTTCACCACTGTCAAAAAAAGTCAGAGATTTTTAAAACAATCTCTGTCTGTAAAAAAAAAACGAGATAAGAACTCTGTTTGGACTGACCTTCCTTTTCCATACCAGTTGGCTACCACGGCAATCACAGCAGGCCAACCAGTAGCCTGGAAAAAACCTCCAACAATCTGAAATAAAAGAAAATAAAAAAAAAAAATATGGAAACTATTTCGAAACCTAACTCTTCACTCTAAATAATTTGGCCAGTCAGCTGGGCACGGTACCTTCCAGATGGAGTGAAAATGAAAAATGAAAGATGAGTTATTCTTTAACTTTGGGTTCACTATCGTTTTGCTGTCTATATGTGACCTGTTCTGTCAAAAGCAGACGCTTCTTGGCAGAGGTTGAAATTGAGATAGGGCCAAAAAACGCTGTGGGGGTGATTTTTATCGATTTTCAAATTTTCGCATCTAGTTGTTATCCTGAACATGTCTAAAATATATTATAAAAGTTTGAACCCCTAATTTGAACTCTACATACTATTTTTGATGTTTTTGATGAGGTATATCAGTTAAAGAAATAACTGTTTTGTGACGTTCGTGGCCATTTTCTCCGTTTTCTACTTTTCGACACAATGAACTTCAAAATTGCATAACTCTGCCCAGGAATGACCGGTTTCAAAAATTAAACCACCTATTAAAAGGAAAAAGAACATATAGGCCTATGTTAACAAAATGTAAAAATATCATTTTCGACCTTATGCCCAGAAAAGTCTGATTTTGACAGAACAGGTCACATATTACATCGACCATCTGTGATTTTATAATTCTGGATGAACTCCTTAACCCTAACCACCCCAACTCCATCAAAATCCATCCCTCCCATTTTGTTGGATTTTGGGGGACTTGGTCCAGAAGGCCTGGCGTGACTAAATATTGATGGAGTATGATGGACTTGGGCCTAATGGCCTGAAGCAGTGCTAGTGGTATCCGATTGATTTTGCCTAGCTTCCTGTACTGCTATTGTGATAAAAGCCATGTGTAGCAATTAAGTCCATGAATGTCAAATGCAGTGCGTCATTGGTGGATTCCATAATGTCATGTACAGTTTTGTATTGGACGCACAGCGATTGATGGATTTTGATGGACTTGGTCCAGTTCCTAGTAAAAGACGCTAGGGAGTTAGGGTCAATGCAGTCGTTCTTTCAAGAAGTGATTATGAATATGATACCAAACTACCTACCCAACGAAAAAAAAAAACTTGTTTGAAGTCATTCTTAACCCCATCCCCCTTGAGTGATTTACGAAGAACCTTCCTCACTCCTGCAAATTCCAACAACATATGGTAAACTCTTCACCCAAATCATGCACTGGTGCTATGGTGCATGCGTGCACCCGGGTAAATCGAGCCCTTTTCTCATCACTATTCTTTAGATATTTGCCGGTTTATCTTAAACATGTTGCCGACATGGAAAACGGGTTTACCCCTTCAAGTAAATCACTTGATACGCACGTGGGATTCGTGGGAACTAAAACGTCAAAATCCCAGCTGTGTTGTCGTTTGTGCGCTGTGTAGCATATTGATGAAAACATGGCTACTACGAAAACTACCAGTATCAAGGCAAATACTGCCAATAATTGGCAGGCGGATCTAGACCCGGGCCAGGAATGGCCCGGGTTAATAAATTGCTTTTTCACTCGAAAGTTATTCCAGCAAGCATGCAGCTCCTGAAATAAGCAGACAACTGATGAGTCATTAAGTTCACAGCTTAACGTAGGTTACTTCTTTATTGCTTTGTAATTTGTACAGTCTGACACTGACAGGTAAATAGTAATTGCAAAGCCGAGGCTAAATTTGAGTATAACAAAACTGCTATGCAAAATTGGTAAACTGCTATGCAAATCAAAATTTGCATAGCAGTTTTGCTATACAAAAAAAAAATCCTTAAGGCTTACCCTGACACACACACTGTTGAACTTAGTTTCTGAAGGTATGCCAACCCCAGTGTAAAAGACCATCAGTTTGTGTGTGTGATTGGGAGGTATTAAACGCTTTGTCTAAGACCGGTTGGAGTCTGGATGCTGATAATTACCCGAGGCGAAGACGAGGGTAATTTATTTTTTAAGTCATTCTTAACGTTACTTGAATGGCAAGTGAAAAAAAATGCACAGGTAACAGGGACAGAAAAAATGTCACACTTTACGTCCTAAATTTAAAGAATGACCCAGATGCAAACTATACACAGACTCTGAAATGGAGTATGAGGCTACTTATATTTTGGAAACTGCAGCCAAAAGACGAGAAGCTCAAACCTGATCTGTACAAGACTAAGAGCCATTTACTCACCATCATTGTGATGAAGTAGGCGTAGTTGTGAATGTCAAAGAACTGGGCCAGGCCGACTGCGGCTGTGAAGAGCCCACTCAGGAACATGCCACCGAACAGGAAATAGCGTAGACTCATGCGCTCCGCAATGTGACCACTGCAATATCAAGCAACAAGAACAATTGTTTTTAACATCTCACTGGCACACTACTCAAATCATCACCGGTTTCACGAAGGGACGGGCATGTGGATTTTGAAGGAAAAACATTTTCAAGATAATCGCAAGAGAAGTTTCTCCGTTTTTAAAACAGCAAAAACTACTACTTTGCAACAACTTTATGCAATAAGGAAACCTTGACGTAAGTCTTTGATAGGTAAACTTTAATTCGAACCCAGTAATTATTATACAGTGATTAATTAGCCAAAATTCATAGTAAAGATGCCCGTCCCTTCGTGAAAACGAAAATCCAACTGTTCCACATTTACGCCCTTTTTGTTTAATGTGCTTTTCCATAGGGAAGAGAGCGCGTGTTCGATTACGCGCATGGAGAATGTTACAAAGATGCCAGTCCCTTCGTGAAAACGAAAATCTCCGTTGACCTACTTTTACCGCCTTTCCGTGCAATACGTTTAGTACGTGTTCACGGGGGCAGGCATGTTCGCGTCTCTTCGTGAAATTGCAAAATGCAATTATCGAGATGCCTGCCCTGACTTTTTTACGTTATTCAGGAATTAATGATGTTTTGCATACGGAAACATGTCAGAATGCTTCAGTACCATGTTTTAAAGCAAACTACTGAAAAAACTTGAAATCAAAAAAATTGTCCATTTTGACATGCCCGTCCCTTTGTGAAAACGGTGACGAAATAAAAGGCATTGTTGTCCTCGTATACATGCTTGTACATGTAGTTCTGAAGATTTCATACCTTTTAGACTTTTCGGCCATGTCCACTTTCCAGTGGAAATGCCCATGGTCATCAAGGCCATTTGATATACTAATGTAGTCCAAGTCCTTTAAAATGTGGGGGCTGAGGTTAATGCACAGTACAGGTTGACCTTTTTCAAGGACTTTTATTTCTTTGAAACTGACAAGGGGTGATTTTTAAAAAGAAATTGACATCGGCGTTTTACATTTAGCTGTGTTTTGATCGGTCAACAGTAATTTTTCATTAACAAAGAGAAGCTTAGGTGATGTAATTCACAGTTGGTCAGTATTATGCAGTAACAAAGTTCAGATGGTAGAATTTAGGGTTTATTACACTGACATTTAGTTGGAAAATTGAGTTGGAACCGTGTTGAGCCAGAGCAATCAGTTTTCTCGTTCTGTACGCCAAGACTCTTAAATCGTTACCGACCTGCAAGATTGTTACAGAGTGCAAGCAATAGACCCTTTAGCATTAAGAACCCATCCACATGTACGAGGTGTTATTGCGTATCTCACGTCAAGAACGTAGAACTTACAGATGCCAACCAGTCAATAGAGCGCAGCCCACGATGCTGTGGGTACTGCAGCACCCCCAACTTTTTGGATTGGGGTGCTGGAATATACTACATGTACAGCACCCCCATACTGCCGGGCAAAAATGTGTTCCAGCCAGCAGTGTTCTACGACGATGAAATTAAGCCGCTACGCTATAAACAGGCATGCAACTGGGAAATCACAAAAAAAGGAGGAAATTCAAATTTTTCCCAGACTTTGTACAGTGTTTTTCTATTTTCAATGGCACACATGGGAAGTAAAAAAAAGAGGAAATCAGCTGATCCGAGGAAAAGTTGCATGCCTGTATACATTATGCTTGCTCTACAAAATCTCCTTCGTTTTGTTCGTGTCTAGTTTAGCGCGGCGCTTCGAAAGTCTAGCACATACACTGTAAAATATCAAGAGGAGGTATTTTCTAAATCTTCAGGCAGTGCAGAATCGATATTTCTCCTAAGGTATATGTATCTAAAATCATGAAATGTCTATGATATTTCCGCCATGACGGAAGCTTTGACCCTAAAGCAATAACCTCGGCCATGACAATGGTGGCAATTAGTTGATTACATGTATGCTTGCCAGGATTTTTTTCATTCGATCTTTCAATAGGGGCACAAGTTCATACCTTTTCCCTGAAGGTTTTTCTTTTCATTTAAAAGTTTCATTGACGTTGCTAGCATTTTCTGTACTCAGCATTAACAAATAACAAGGTTCACACTCATCCCCAACCCAATAGGAGTGGGATGGGCTTTCATTGAAACTAGTCATCCTTTACGCCAATTCCAGTGTAGTTTCATTTTAATAAAAAAGCTACATGTATTCATGTTTCACCCTCTGCCAGTTTTCCCTCATAAAAACTCAGTAGACCGATAAATCCTTGCCTAGCCCCAAACTTACCATCTACCGATCATAAACATAAAAATGCATTTGGTGTTTTAGTCTTTTATATTTGCCATTCCATGTAACAAACATAACACTGGAAATATATTGAGATCTACATCGTTTGGTGAGTTAGAATATGTGAATATTTTTATGAACAGAAATTCATCCGCTTCCAGTGGAACCATTTGTATGAACTTGAACCCAAAAACATCCTTTCGGGTTTTATAAGTTTCAGTATACTTCAGTATATTTCATCACAGTGCATCCGGAATCCAACATTTTCCGGGGCCTTAAAGCGGGCCCCTGGCCCCACGCCGTAAGGGCTCGGAAAATAAAACAAAACATACACGCCGGAATTTACTAAATGTGAGAAAGCAGCCTTGTAACAATAATATTTACCTGCGATGTCATGCATAATGATAAAATTCTTTTTCCAGAATTAAATGGAACCAAAAATGGAGATAAAAATACAGGGTTCTCCACATTAAGAGCAACAGTTTATTCAAAACAAAATTCTTTAAAATCTCAAAAAAACTTGTGCTCAAAGAGTCAAATGAAAGTGGCCAGGAATCGCCTCAGATTGCACCACAGAGCATCTATATTCCAAATTAAGCCACGACGTAAGGGCTTTGCGCTCCGCTTTCGTATTAATTTTTTCCGTCCTTTAAAAATTCCAGCACCCCCTGGCAAAAGTTTGTTCCAGCGGCAGTGGTTGCTAAGGAGGATGCTGTTGCTAGGCAAACACCTACATTAGCGTGATCAAATTTCGAATATGCTGTTCAGAGTACTCAGACATCTCCTCTGAATGCTCGTCTATTGATGTGAAATCATCTGATAAGGTAATAAAACGTAAACAGGCAGGCCTGTATTCTTCGCAGTGCTGCGCATCGTTGAGTACGACATCTAACAGCCGCCGGGTCAGTAATACGTACGTTCTGCGTATACAGTCCATTTCCGACCCGACGGCTGTTGCATGTCCTAATCACTGCGTATGTGACGTCACTTATCTGCACCTGGTATCCAAGTCCACCGCCAGGTAACCATAAGACTAGCCAATTCAAGTACCGCAATGTGTAACCTTTCCAAAAATATCCACTTTACACTTGGTCATTTCAACAACAAAAAATGACCCCTGGCTCTTGCTCTAATAGGTCACTGAAGGAAAAAATCAGTGATGGCCAGATATGGGAATCTTTCCACGAAATTTGCTTCGGTCATTGTTGGTGGACGAAGAATCTTGAGAAGCAAAGATGCTGAAACTCCCTTCAAAGCAACCACGATAACAGTCAATATTATGTGAGCACTTCATCTGAGAAGAATCCACTGACAGAGTTTGAGACACTGGAAAAGCTTTCGCAAGCTTTCCGACAGCGATTAGCTTACCAGTAGACTTATATTACAAGACAGCGTCATGAGATTTCTTTCTTTCTGATCAAGTCAGCCTGATTTATTATAAATAATAATATTGGATGGCTTTCTTTTTTGGGGGGTGGGAGGGGGGATACAAGAATATATTGCACTCACTATAACAATAATGAATATTGCACGAGTTGAATAGCTTGTGCAATACATACATGTCAATGCTATCCAATATTATATTGTTACTACTGATTTCAATATAACACATTATTGTCACAGGGAATATACATTTATCATCTGGCCATCTGGCATGTCTGGTTGCAAGGCATGAAAAACTGGCTGCATATTGTACAAACAGACCCAACACGAACAGATGTTCAAACTCACCTAAAAAATACCAGGCAGGCAATAAAATGTTACCCATTCAATACCGTTAGAATATTTTGACAGTGATGTCTTTATTTCTTTTGTAATATTCTTTTTTTCATTTGAGTCTACCATTTTTAATTTTTTTCATTTGCTTTTTGGCATGTACAGGAACATGTACACACGTGTGTGCATACGTCCGTGACGCACACTTAATGTCATTTCTGTATGCTAATTACATTGTTTTTGTGCACGTAATAGTAAACAGAGGTTTGAGTACACATTGATAATTGGAAAAAAAATATGGATTGAGTCACTTTTTTAACCATAATGAGTTGTTGGGTGGTGTTTTTTTTAGGGGAAGGGGTATTTTTTTTGTTGGGGGGGGGGGGGATGGCCGGTCCCAGAGGGCTATCCAAGGTCCTCTTTGTATTTCACCGAGTTGTGACTTTAAAGGTACAATAGACCATTTGCATCTTTCCGAAAGAAAAACGACCACATTAATATTGTTAAAAAGCTTACTTGGTTTAACCCAAACCATGCTGAACTTTTGATCATTTATATGCAAAAGACGCATTATAAATTTTAATTATTATTATTAGTATTACTAACAGGATCCAACTATATCATAAACCTGTTGGAGCCTGTTGGATTGAGCAATAAACCCCTTGTACAAATGTACATATTCAGAGTCGGATTCTGTTGAGTACTGATAAATGAAGCCAAGTTGGACTCTGTTGGATCCAGCAGACAACTGAAAATTAGGCACAGTTGGATTCTGTTGGATTGAGCAGGAAGTAACCGTTGGACTCTGTTGGATTGAGCAGGGTAGTCCTGAAGAACCCTTAGGGAGTTAGGGTTTGAAGGAAAGTAATGACACTAATATAACTCCTTGTGAAAATTATTCCTTCTGGTATTGCTGTCACTTTGACGAAAACAATCAAATAAGGCTATTCCCAAAACTAAGTCAAGTGACACATTTTTGGAAATTTCCATTCGCAGTTGCTTAGTAATTGGGCGAATCCATGAATGGGTGCAAGCGCGTTGACAGGAGGCAAACACGTGCGCCGTTGCAATTATTAGCGGAAATCGTTGGTTCAGTGTGTGACATCACGGAGATGTACTCAACAATCGGCTATTGTAAAAATGAGAATTGTGTCCCGAATGCTGATTTCGGGATTGTGTCATGACTCAGCAACTTTTGAATTGAAATCGAGATCCAGACTGTTGTTTCTCCTCGCAATTCACAGAATTCACAGAGCTAACGCTTCATCAGGTTAGTTGATAAACACCTGTCTTTAGATTTTGATCACTTTTGATGCTTCAAACGAAAATAAAAATACACCAATGACAAAATGGTCCACTCCACCTTTAACCAGTTCGCGCCGCGTTTATTTTGACATTGACCGGACCCAGACACAGGATTGTTTTTCACGTTGTTGTTCCGAATACTGCAAAACCTATGCGTGTATACACCTCATCCAAAGTGAACTAGTTAATATATTAGACTGGTTACCTATTTTACTTTCACTTGTCACTTAGACTTGTCTTGGACCAGCTGTACTATGCTTGCCTTGGGTATTTTTTCCTATTTTTCTCAATATTTCATTACACATGTGCGAGTAAGAATTAGTCATACCCAAGCAAATAAAAAAAAACATTAACATTTTGGAATTGGCTAAATAATTAAGTAACTTTTAACTGACCTGAAAAACATTCCAACTGCATATGCAAATAAATACCCGGTGTCAAGCCATCCTAGTAAGGTTTCAGCATCTTCCGTGTCTGACAAAAGCAAAAAAATGAAGCACAACAGAAAATTTAAGGAGGTTTGTAATGAAAAAAAAAACACCCAATATTTATTCAGTCCAACAACCAAAAGCAAGTTCGAGGGGAGGACAATTAGTCAACTGGTGGATGAATCGCGACTTTAGACCTGCGCACCACTAGCAACGTGCGAACGTCTCTAGTCACACGATGGTCAAAATGTCATCACGAAACCTTTGCATCCTGGCTCCCCATCGTGCCTTATGATGCGAGCAATTGGTAATCTGTGCTGCAACCGTCCCAAAATAGTCGACTAGAGTAGTCCGACTAAACTGTGTTCGAGCAAAGTTATTCAAACCATGGTTAACCATAGTCCTCACCCGAACTTGCTCGTAACAATTCTTGCAAGGCTTTAGTGTCGCCACGGAGACACATACCGCCATTATTTTTTTATATCATTTTAATGCTTGGAATCTTAACTTTATCCCTGGTAATTATTAGTTTGATTTTCAAAAGGGTTTTGAAATGATTCGTGTTCAAATAAAGGCATGTCAAAAACAAACTCAACCGATTTCAAGGAAAATCAATCATGCACATTGTTTTCTATGTGGAAATGCTTCATCATGCTCATGATGTGACGATCTCGTTGCCTTTTACTTTCTGTGTTTCCTATTCTTTTCGATCCACGTAGACAATACCTTCGATGAATTCACAATATTGTTCAAGTTCAATTTAGAATTTCACGTGCGAGTATGTACCTATTCAAAAAGCATGCTCAAAGTGTGACCCGAGTTTGCATCTGATGTATTTTCCTTGAAATTGGTTCAGCTCCTAATTTTTGTTAGCAAGACACATGCAACACCAATTTACATTGTACGACTGAGGTGTCCGTCGCGCTGAACTCCCCCCCCCCCCCAAAAAAAAAACTAATAAGGAGCAACTCGCACCAATCCAAAACAGATACATACATACAGATATTTTTAAATTGAATTCTACTTTGCAGTAGGTCTGCAATTTATTTTTGGAAAGTGTTTATTTTAGGGGAGGGGTGTATTTTGATTTTTGGTTTTATTTTGTTTGGATGTGTTTTTCTTGGGGGGGGGGGCTGATTTGTGTGGGTTTTTTTTTTGAGGGGAGGGAAACGAGAATTGGTGTTATTTTGTTTGTAATATTAAGTCATAATGTACATTGTACCCTATAACAACATTTACTTTTAACTTCTTACCAAAAGGTTTCCAGTCGCACCAGTTTGGGTTTCCTGCCTCAGAGGCATTGAAGATGGGATACTCTAAGTTGTTGATGGGTATGGAGCAGTTTCGGTGCCAAACGCCCTGGAATAAAATAACATTTTATTTCAAATTTCACAATTAAGTCACTTGACGTCGGGATTATGTTTGGCCGAAAAACACCATTTTTGAAGAAGACAAAAATATATATTGGCAAAGTTTTGAAATCAAGTCAAACATCACAATTTGTACTTTTTGTACAAATTGTATTTTGTACAATATTTGTACGCTACTTTTCACCGAAACTTCATATTTTACATATTTTGCAACACTCCGAGGCCCTGCCACAGAGCGATATATGTGACCTGTTCTGTCAAAATCAGACTTTTCTGGGCATAAGGTCAAAAATGATATTTTTACATATTGTTAACATATGTTCTTTTTCCTTTTAATAGGTGGTTTAATTTTTGATACCGGTCATTCCTGGGCAGAGTTATGCTATTTTGAAGTTCATTGTGTTGAAAAGTAGAAAACAGAGAAAATGGCCACGAACGTCACAAAACAGTTATTTCTTTAACTGATATACCTTCAAATTAGGGTTTCAAACTTTTATAATGTATTTTAGACATGTTCAGGATTACAAATATGCAAAAATTTGAAAATTTTGAAAATTGATAAAAATCACCCCCACAGCGTGTTTTGGCCCTATCTCAATTTCAACCTCTGCCCAGAAGTGTCTGCTTTTGACAGAACAGGTCACATATTTGCAATGACGACAGGGCATGTACAGCGGCCAAGTTCAAGTTCAAAACACGGTGTGTACAAAACCAATGCGAACAACTGACGTGTACACACACGTCCACCACCGGAGGCTCAGGGAAAGCTTGACGATTTAACCCATCACCCGCCCCTGCAAATATACATTTTGTACATTGCCAGATCGTGTTCACACGTCCTCAGGTGTTAACATGGTTAACTCTTTCAGTGCCAAACTCGTACATGTACGAGGTATATTTGTTAGTACAAAAGCGCCAACCTCGTACATGTATGTATGAGGTAATGTTCGTAAATGTTCGTACTTAAAATTGCCAAACCTCGTACATGTACGAGGTAGAGTAAATATGTTATCAAAAGGGGGCGCTCTCGCTCTTTCTAATGGTACCATTTTCATGCATGTACGAACTGTATTTATTTTTTCATTCGAGTTCTTGCGAGAGGGCGCAGCACTAAATCTCATATTTTTTGCAAAAAAGTGCGGAATTCCCCTGTGTTCAGGCCAGTGTTTCAGGGTGTATCACTATGTTTGTGACTACCGGTACTTTTGACTTTCCATATATCAAGGATACATACCAGAGAGCAGCAACAACAAATTTAGTGAGTAAAACTTATTTACTTTTTTTTTTACAGAATTTCGAACAATTAACAAAAACGCTCGAAGTTGGGCACTTTAGGGTTAAACTTTTCAAATTTCGCGGGCACTGAAAGAGTTAACTGCAAAAATCATTACCAAAGTAAACTAACAGACGGGCTGGTTTATTGTGAAGTTTCTTTGTTAACGGAAATGTAGGATTTATTTTTCCCATTTTTAAAATTGGCAGTACAATGTCTGACCATGACATCTGAAGAAAACATATCTTCCAATTTGTATACTTAGTCTTTCATTTTTTGCCTTTTTAATTTTTTTCTTTTGTCTTTTGCTTCAGTTTTGGGGGTTTATTTTCAAAATTGTTTCTTTTTTTGTAAAGTTGTGCATCTGTCACATTCAATTTTGAGGACTTTTGAGGTTTTTGACAGATCTGGAATGGTTAATAAAGAGATACATGTAGGGTCATAAATGTCTTATTTTTTTCTGTAAGCATGCCATGTGTGGTTTTGGGGACTATGTACATGTACAAATGTTTGACTGTATTACCAGCACTGCACTTGACATAACACTATGTGCATGTAGATTTAAAGAAAAACGTAGCCTGGCCTACACACCTTAATTCTGCCAAGTTACTACAGTCTAGTCCGAAAATTTGGGGCTCTCAATACTGTGTATGAGAGTCCCAAAACTTAAGGTACTGAAAACATGCAAAACACGAAAATAGACTGGCACCTAAAACAACCAGTCCAACACAGCTTCAGTACTGCATCAATCAACCATGCCAAAAGAATTTAAGATACGTGGAATGAAGCGGGAACTAGTCTCAATTTACTACACATTTCTCCATGGTCAAGCCACCAGACTATTGACACTGAATGAAGAAGTCAGTCTTTTCAAATAGTTAGACCATGGTTGGACATGTACCAGTCTAGTATTTAGCCCCATTTTGAAATCACTTGACTTCCCTCTCATGTGCAAAATATTGAAGAAACGTCTCCTTAAAAATGGAACTGAGTCTGCAAACTTGGTTGGTGAAATACTGAGGACATTTTCTTTGCCCCAGTGGATTTTTTGGCGAAATTTGCTGGCTAAACTGTGAGTAAAGTTAAGTGGGCCTGATTTAGTTTTGCACGTTTCAGAGCACTCCAGAGCCCTGTCTGCTACAGTCCATGGAGTGCACATACATGTACCGGTACATGTACACACTAATCAAATAAAAAGGTGCTGCACACCTAATTTCTGCCCAGTTACTACGTACAGTCCCTACATGGAGTGCACATACAATGTACATGTACACACCCACATTACTAGTCAAATAAAAAGGTGCTCAGCCTGCCTTCCATTCAATGGCTGAAAAGTTAAGCTAAAATGTACACCACACTATGGATCATGTTACACCTCATAGATATCAGCGTATTATGAAAGTTTCTGAAAGGAAGCTCAAATGTCTTATTTCGCTTGTTACCGACATGCAGTTGAATGCACAATCTCTATCGCCCACCCGCTCACCTTGGCAATGCTGATTGGTCTTCTCGACAGGTGGTAGGTCATGTAGGTGAAGAACGTCAACACCAACACCGCTATCTTATGGCTGTGGGAATAAACGTTAACAGTTAATCAATACACAAGTCTAGGTACTACATGAAGGTACATGTACATGTACAAGACCTCCTTAAAGATATAGTCCATCATTTGTAATTTGTGCATTTTGTTCGTTTGAAGCAACAAAAGTGTTCAAAATCTAATGAAGGATACTCAATAACTAACCTGATGAAGTTTCAGCTAAACTTCAGCTGTATATTCCGAGAAAAACAGCATTCTAGGATCTCAATTTCAAATCAAAAGTTACTGAATCATGTTTTGAATTGTTTTGAATTGCAGCTATACGCGACGTCGCGCACTGATCCGACGAATTATAGCAACCGCGAGCGCGTGTGCGTCGTGCCAATGCTTGCGCGCGGTTCGCCGAAGAACAAAACAAACTACTAATTTAAATTTTCCAACGGTGCGTCTTAAGACGCACCGTTGGAAAGGCCTTCTTTCGTTGATTACTTCAAAATGACAGCTTGCCAGAAAGAATAATTTCACAGGGAGCTTAGTCCCCTTACTATCTTTCAACCAAATTTGTTTTTCAACAATAATTACGCCAGTTACTTTTCGGATGGCTGAAAATGATGGACTATAGCTTTAAGGCTGATTCATACATCATGCAAAAGACAAAGCGGAGTGACTTTCATGGTGTAAATAATAGAAGCATCGTTGTGACATTTGCCGTTACCGGCCTTTAGTGGCATGGTCTCCACGGAGCAGGGGTTTGTAAACTGTCCAGCGATTCACCGATATCGGGCGCAAGACCATATCTAGATCTTAGAGTCAGTATTAATGTAAGCCTTATATGCTATAGCGAGCATGCCTTTACACGCACTAACAAGTAACAGGCCAACCGCAAAATTTTTTTTTTTTATTAGAACAAAATGCCATTTATCTGAACGAAATGTGACATGCTGCGCAGTAAAAAAGATAAGCAGGTTTTGGCCGTAATAAAATATGCACAGAACATCTTGTAGCAATTAAGACAAAGTATGGACCAGTACATGTTTCTGTATGATTTGGTTCGGTTGTTCCGGGAACGGGGGCACAAAGACTAAGCTTTACCCCACCCCCAAGTCCCCCAAGAAGACCAAAATAACTTGGCTGTGACAGAGAACGATTTCATTCTTTTCCAAGAATTTTCACTCCATGAGGGCACAATTTACGTGAAATATACACACAAATTCAACGACGGTGCAAATACTTACTACAACGTTTGGTGTCTTCCCCGGAAGCAAGCATGGAGCACAGGGGCCATGACAGGTAGCCTGGCCATGGCTGGTTCAGACGAACTGTGTCACGCAAACTCAATGGGAATACCTCACTTCGTGGGTGATCAAAAGAGGCAAAATATCGCACACTAGTGCCCGAACAAACAGCTACCTGCACATGTACGTACGCTTACTTTATACGACTACAGAAATCATCAGACCCTGAAAAATATACATGAATAAATTAATTAAGATAACTGCTATAAGATCACTACCAAAAGGTCAAGGGATAGAAGGGAAACAATTAGGCACTTTACCAGATCTGCATGACTACCGCAATGCACTTTGTGCAGTAGGCCTATAATCCTGCAATCAGTTGGACATTTTCTTTATCACACAAGTGCGGTCAGAGTGCAAATTCAAGTATGCAGGGGGGAAAAAAACACAAAAGGCAAACAAAGCGAAGAGGAAAATGAATATAATCATACACCTGCAATTCAGTATTTCAAAAAGTGTATTTCAGGAAACACTTGAATTTGTCACATGAGCATGAGAGCAGCATAATCTAGAAATCAGAAATTTTGTATTAATTTTGTTTTTTTCAATTTTTTTCTTCTTTTTTGGACAAGAGGGATATCTGATCAGATTTGCTGATTAATTATGCAAGACCTTTTGACCTCAAGATTTGAACCAATCAGCAGGCGCTTTCTATATTGAGTCTTCGGTAATTCACCCGCTGTCGTGTAATAGACATCGATAAATGAAACCTAGGCACGACAAGAACACGCTGTGAATTGACCTACAATGTATCACCGTTTGCGAGTTAGCCACGCCAAAGACAACCCTATGGAATTTTGCACATTAACTGTTGTTTGTCTCAGATTTTGCGCGTTCCGCGTCCATTTGTATATCATGTAATTGGACAATACTTCATACGCTGCGTTGACGCGATTCTACCGCGATAGGTTTATTGAGCAAACAAAGGCTATGGTCACGCGCTCTTATTATGTTACGCGATATGTGTAAACCGCGCCAATATTTTCTAGAGGCCACGTAATACTCCATAAAGCCCATCTAAAAACACGTTAAAATTGCGCATCAGAGCGATTCCAATCAAACCACTGAGTTTGGCGGTTTTGAGACATCATCTTACATTGAAATTTTTATTATTATTTTTGCCGACGCGCATGGCTACGGCAACGCGTGCGCAAACCAGAAACCGGAGACTTTTTTTTTTGGCCTAAGATACTACCGGTACTTCTACGTTGATGATTCTTACTGGTCCTACTAAAATGTGTCAACTGGCATCAACAAGCGTCAACAGTCGTCAACCCAGCATCAGCAAACTTTAAAGACTTTTGAACATTGAAAGTATTACCGCAGAAATTATAAAAACAAACGCAAAACGTGAGTTAAAACTAAAAATGTGTTCGTGTACAAACACAAGCTGCTTTGTCTGTTTTTGAAATTGCTCTTTGATATATTATGTGATGATTTGTCATGAGGTCACTATTTATCATGTAACACATTACACAGTATACTTGTTATCACGAATGTAAATAAACATAAAACAATTGTAAAAAAAATATATGTAAGCTAAAACAAACACCCAACAAAGTTAAAGTGCCGTTTTTGCAAGGGATTCCCCCGTGCAATAATAGTACTCCTATTCACGCACATGGGCGATTCTCCATGGGAGAGCAAAAAATGTCAAAAATAAATATTTACATATTAAACCTTTTTTGTACTTTTTCCAGACCTCAATTAAATGGGGAATTCAGTTCAAAAAACGAAATTAAAAAAAAATACATATTTCTGGTAAAAACAGTGATTTTTGTAATTTATGATTAAAAACGTTCAGATTTGGTAAAAAAATAAAATTTTGTGTATGTATTACTTTCTGAATGATAGGGAAAAGATTTGATTTATTTTATGATGTTACAAGTTACTAACATTACTCAGGGTCATTAAAAAAAAATCTAAATATATATATAAATATATATATATATAGTGTAGGCCTTCATTTAAAAATGTCAAAATTAGCACGTAATTCCGTTACCGAAAAAATGGCAAAAGTTACTTATTTCACAAATTTTCTTGCTTTTTTTCTACAAATCATGTATGTTGAGAAAAGACCCTACTATAAACATAAATGAAAAATAAAAACTTTAAAATAGTAATTTCTTGGCATTTTTCTAAGTGGTAACGGAATTACGAAACGGTAACGGAATTACGGTAACGGAATTACGCATGCACAAAGTATGCACACTTCCCCCAGATTATGTACATGTACATGACATATTAAATATGAGATTTGCATGTAAACCTTGAACAATAACTTTAAATACTAAATTACTTGTTAAATCATTTCCCTTTTTAATTTGCTATTATGCAATTAAAATTAATCAGGTGTTCCATTGATATTTTTTACTTTTACTTTTTTTTTTACTATTTAAAAAATGCTAATAGTTGTTTGGATGCTTAAAGGGAATATACATTTACAAACATCAGAAAATAAAACTACCAAGTTTTTACGAAATACCTTACTAGGACATGTAGGTTGTGGTAAATGACAGTCTCAAGCATCCTGTAAAATTATGGCACCTGGTGTGAAGTAATTTTCAAAAAAATGATATTTTTGTATACATTTCCAACGGTGGTCGGCCGACCACCGTTGGAAAAACCTAACTATTTTTCAACTACTGCTCCAACTTTACACTCTTTCCAGTCCAAATTTTGTTTGTTATTTGTTACATGTTTATGAACGGGTGCAGGCCAGCTAGTCTGGTTCCCTTACCCTCCACTTTTCCAGCATCTATAAATTGATCCATTTTACCTTTAATGGAGTCAAGGAACCAGACTACTTGAACAGTTTTGTTTTTCTTGGTTTTCCAGCATTTGAACGCAAAACTTCAAACATGTCAGTATAACAATATTTGATCTATTATACTAACCCCTCAAATAGTTCATTTCTGAACATTACAGCAAAAGCCAATGATGTACATGTACATTCCCTTTAAATATGTTGCCAAAGCCGTTGTCTGGTTCCCAGAGAAAATATATTCCACAACAAGTATGAAAGTTGAGTACCAGACTGTACTTGTACTTCTACTTGGCATAACTTAGCATCTTCCCTTGCTCAGAGATGCCAACCAGTAGGCCTACAGTTTTATTGTATTTTCCACGAGAAACTAGCGAAATACGATAATACAATTGTTCACAGTAAAATTTGATTTTCGTTAAAAAATAAATATACATGTACATTGCTAACAGGCAATGCAGCCATCACCAGACTGCTTTCATTTGACCTTGACCTTTGACCTAAAAAATGAAGCCCAGACATGTTTAGGCCTACATTTACATTTTGATCAGCTAATTTTCACTGAGCTTTCCCCTTGTGGCATTTTATATACTTCTAAAATTTGTATTGTGATGAGTTTATGTTGAATTCAATGTTAATGTATTGCATTTACCTATTACATGTAAACCTATGGCGTAATTCCGTTACCGCCCAGGCGTAATTCCGTTACCGTGATTAAAATGCAAATTATGAAAAGAGTGATTATTTTTTCAACTTTGTTCTACATTGTAGTTAACAACACCCCTGAACTCTACAAATAACAGGTAGTGTCCAATTTTAAAATTTCAAAACTTCAGAGAGTTTTATTAATTTATGCGAGAACTCAAATATGCTTGTCCTCCGTCCGTAATTCCGTTACCGATATTAAGCTCCGCCCCTTAAAGGGTAATCTTGTGAATTTTTTTTTTTTTAGCGGTCAATCAATTCTACTGGGTCTTGGCTCCCTTTCCACATTTAGATTAGTTGCCTAGCATTGAACATATTTTCTTGGGAAAGAATAATCCTTGACAAAGTGACAAAATTCCGTAATTCCGTTACCAAAGAATTGCCCACATGTAGATCTCGGCTTCACTTGAACAAGATGGCGGCAAATACTCCTAGAACTATGAGGCTCCACGTAGTGGAGCCTCATAGGTTCAGAACCCCATACATAGGTTCAGAACCCCGCAAAATTGGCAAATACTAATACTGGCGGCAAATACTAATAACTAAATTGACAAACTTGTCATAGTTTTGGCATTTAAAAAAATTTGTGGACAAATATATTTGAAATGACCCCTCCATCAAAAACATAACAAAACCACCCTTCTGTCTAGACCCGTGAATGAATTCGTCTGTCTAAACATGTGAATCGAATGAATATGAGCATGTCAGCTAGAGTTACTCAAGCTCTAGCCCCACTAGTGTGGCCGTCGGTATGCTGCGCTGAACCTAAGGTTCAGCGCAGCATACCGACGGCCACACTAGTGGGGCTGTCACGCCCCAACTATCGCATCGGTCCCAACTATAGTTGGGACTGTCCCAACTATAGTGCGGCAGTTGGGTCGGCCCAACTATAGTTAGGACTGGAGTTGCGCCGGATGCTTCATGCTTGATAGATCTTGTTGGATTAAATGTTCCGCGGCGCTGGCACCGTGTATTCGACGTGCATGCATGCCGCAAGGCTGGCCGGTCACGTGGTACTGCCTAGTTGGATGAGTTGTCCAGCTGCTGCTGGGTTTTATTGTCCAGCAACATTTTGCAAAATTCAAAGATTGCCATGACAGGCCAACTATAGATGGGCCCCACCCATAGCTAATGTCAAAGGTCCCAAGTAAAGTCGGACAGTATGTAACAGAGCTGTAGGAAATGTTTTATAGTCGTACATCAATGTAAACTATAGTTGGGACCGCCAAATAAAAATATTGCGGTGGCCCAACTACAGATGGTCCCCACCCATAGATAATTTCATTGGTCCCAAGTAAAGTCAGATGTGTATTAGAGTTGTAGGGAATGTTTTATAATCGTACAACAATGTACACTATAGTTGGGACCGCAAAATAAAAAGATTGGAGTGGCCCAACTATAGATTCGCCCCATCAATAACTAATTTCAGTGGTCCCCAGTAAAGTCAGACGTGTATCAGAGCTGTAGGGAACGTTTTACAGTTGTACATCAATGTCAACTATAGTTGGGACACCGCAAAATAAAAAGATCGGAGTGGCCCAACTATAGATGGGCCAGCCCAACAGTGGAACTTACAGTTGGGACCGTCCCAACTATAGTTGGGACAGGCCCAACTATAGTTGGGCCAGCCCAACTGTGGAACTACAGTTGGGACAGGCCCAACTATAGTTGGGACAGGCCCAACTATAGTTGGGACCGATGCGATAGTTGGGGCGTGACAGGGCTACACAAGCTCATGAAGCTAGGCCACATGAACAGTGAACATGATCAACTTACAACTTCAAGCAGAAATCCCGGTGTCCAGACGGCATGTTGTTACTCCTTCCTTAACCTGAAATCGTAATTTCTAAATCGTCAGTATCTCTCACAAGCACGATCAATAGCCATAGCCCTTTGCCTGTGTGACAAATTTCACAATAAAACTACAAACAATTTGATCACGAGATACCGGTACACTTCAACAAACGGCAACAAACTACGGAAGTAACTAACAGAGTCTGTCAATCAAACTACACGCCGACCTTTTGGTGAGTTGGCGATCTGATGATGTGGGAACTAGACTTGAATAGCTCGAGGTTTTTCAAACATCGGCTTCACTACCCGCTGCGGCTGAAAAAAAGTAAGAAGAACTCGGCGCATATATCTGCGCATATTTTACAAGCTGATTTACCCGATCGTAGATCGGGTGGGGCGTAGAGCTGGGATGAAAATGTGGGGAGTTAAATGTAAATTTAGTTGACGGAGTAGACAGTTATACAGTTATAGAAAAGCAATTTCTGTGGTGCGATCTGAGGCAATTTCTGACCACTAAAACCATTTTTTTTAGCAAAAGATCATCTTTTATAAACATTATTTTCGAGTTTGGAGTCATTGAATTTTTATTCAGGGAAGAAAAAGTGTGTGTGTGTGTGGGGGGGGGGGGGGGGGGGGGCAAACAATTTCCCCGCTTCAAAATATGAGTGTGTGTGTGTGTGTGTGGAGGGGGGGGGGGGGGTTCCCGTCCCCCACCGATTGATGCCCATGATAATTAAGTTACAGGAATTCCTGTGCAAAAACGCAGTCACGAAAAAATCGACGAAACTGATCGCCGGTCCGTAGGGGAAAATTCGGACGACCCGAATTGTGTACTACCCGGTGACCCGGCGGAAGACACCCTCCACATTTTTCCACGGACATGGAGCGATTTTGGCGTCGCGGTCGGCTTACTAGTGCCAACATTTCTCGAAGGCCGAATAAAACTTGCTCTTATATAGGCCTATAATTATAAGGCCAAAAAAAATACTCGGTCTCTGGTCAGCGCGCGCGTCGATTTTAATCATGCGCGTCAACCTTTTTTTTCCTTCAAATTAACACGGAAGCTACAACAGCGCCCTCTATTGCCGCGCCTCCTCAAATGTTTGTACCAAGGAGCACCAAGGAATGGGGAAATTGCACCAAGGCAAATGATAAAGGCACCAAGGCAAATTATGGAGGACACCAATGTATAATGAGGACACAAAAAAGCAAAATAGTACCCACCCAGTCTCCTGACGATGACTAGAGCAGGCTAGTCGAAACGTTGAGACCAAAGACAAGTTCTTTTAGAACTTACAGCAGGACTGTTCTAAACAGAACAAAAACTACTTAGCAAGTTGATAATAAGCAGGACAAGTTCTTCTCAGAACTAATATCTTCTAAGCAGTAGTTATTACCACATGGTGTTACCGCAAAACCGAAACGATACCAGTACCCACCTTGTCTGTACAATACAAGCTTGAAAAAAAGCCACCCCCCCCCCCCAAAAAAAAAAACGCGTCGCCGCATCAATTCCGGAACTTCGGTCTGACCAGAGACCGACTATTTTTGTTGTTGCCTAAATACCACATTTTTACAGAGTAGGCCTATGACCGATTTCGTGAAGACATTAAAGGGTTCTGAATAATGTAGAAAATAAAAAATAAAGCCGAAACAGAGCAGAGATTTGGAAATACATGAAAAACAAAACAGTATTGAAAATATAATTATAATTAGGGACACTTTTTGCAGCGTAAATATAAACTTACCAGAATGTATAAAACGGTGCTTGCAGCCTCTAGTGGTTTTCTGCTCTAAACTATAGTCAACAGAATGATGGGGAGAAGTGTCCGCCTACATGTACACATGATGTCCACGTGATGATCATCAGCGATGCGCAAAGCTTTTGATGCCGCGGCAGTAAGCCTTTAATTGCTTACAAAGGAGGCAGTACACTAAATGCATGAGCTTCAAACGCGCTTCGATAGGTTACCATCCACGTGATCGTTTTATTCTCCTATTATTATCTACGCGCGTGGCTTTTGTTACCGTCATCGCCAGCTTGCAATACTGTTAGCATGTCCATCATAGTCAGGTTGTCATCATTTAATCAAATAAGATACACTGTAAAAACAGTGTTTAGCATTTAAACACATCAGACGGTGTTTAGAGTTTAATACGTTTAGGAATGTGTTTCAATTCTAAACGTTTACCACTTTTTAATGCTGTGAAACTAAACGTGTTTACGTTTTGGACATGTGCTTAGGATTGTATATCTAAATGCGCTTAGAAAGGTGTTTAAATACTACACATATTATTCATTGCACATGTCAAATAAACGGATAATGCGTGTCACAGAAAAAGGACATCTAAACATGTCATGATGCTAAACGTGTGGAAAAAGTGGGTACAGAATTAGTGTTTAGAAATGTGTTTGTATGCTAAGCACCGTTTTTACAGTGTAGAGTCTATCGATATGTTGCCGGACATGACCAGTCAGATTACGGGTTGGGGGGGGGGGGGGGGGGGGGGGGGGGCCTGGGGCCAACAAATTCTCAGTCCCCCCCCCCCCCCCCATAAAAAAAAATTGCTGCTTACCAATGAAGTTTACTTATTAAAAAACGAAGAGGAATCTATGACTTTTTTTTGACTTCCCGTAACCTTAATACGGCTTTATGAAATGTGAATGAATGGATGAGAAAAAAGAGCACCCTCTAGCGACAAAACAGGTTCAGGGGAGGGGCGCGCGCCAACACAAAATGAAAACTTTAAGTTTTGGAGATCCTGGATTTTTTAGATCTATGTTTCGACACCCCTACGTTTCGATACCCCTATACATGTATTCCAACAACTCATCAACCTATGTTCCGGCATTCCTATGTTCCGACACCACTACTCGACCTATGTTCCGACACCCCTATGTTCCGACTGCACTGATTCTTATCCCTATCCCTAACCCCTAAACCTAACTCTTACCGGGACAAGGGCGGATCCAGGGGGGGGGGGGGGGGGGGCAAAGGGGGCCATGCCCCCCCCCCCCAAAAAAAAACGAAACCAATTTTTTTTTTTTATGTGACATCGCAAAAAAGGCAGGCAATGAGTACACCACCATCTTTTCCTCAAAAAAACATTGGTTAAAGTGGTCAGAAATTGCCTCAGATCGCACCACAGAGCATCTAGAATCCAAAATTTTTTTCGGGGCCCTTAAGCGGGCCCCGAACCCCACGCCGTAATTTTTTGGACCCACTTTTTTGGAGGACCAAAATTTTTTTTGGCCCCCCCCCAAAAAAAATGTGTTCTGGATCCGCCCTTGTACCGGGAGTAACACAATCTTATGCGCAGGTTGGCGGAACATATAGGGGTGTCGGAACATAAGTAGAGTTGTCGGAACATAATATAGTCGGAACATAGGAAAGTCGGAACATAGAGGTGTCGGAACATAGAGCAGTCACCGGGCAATTTCACCGCAACAACATACAATTTTCAGCTGAGTTAGGTAAAATAGCATGTTGTCAAACTTTGGTTAAATCATTATTTCTATGATTTGGGCAAACGTTTTCCATGGGTATCTATTTGATGGTTTGATAAACTTACTAAAACCAAGTCATCAATATTTATTATTGTCAGTCACATGATCAAGGGAAACTTTGCGGATTTAATTTTAAACATCTCTTTCAAACTCGTATTTAATAAAATCAGCCCACAAATGAATATTATCCTTCACAAGTGAGGAGTGCTAGATATATTGGTTAAGGGTTAAAATGCGTTATGATTGAAAGACATGTTTAATAACATTTTATCTACATGAATATGAGAAAAAATACAGACTCAAAGCCAAAAATAAATGGGGGGGGGGGGGGGGACACCCATGTTACCCTGAGACGCATCTACCATTTTGCACATAAAGGACCAAATTCCAATATCAAACATAATTTGGAACAGCTTGAATTGTAACAGAATGCAATCATCGTTAGTTGACAGTTTTTAATTTTTTTTCAGAACATGCTTGATTTCAGTTATATTTAATTATGTAGTAATTGAAAACCATGGCATCGACATAATTATGTTTCAGAGCATGTTGTCTTGATTTGAGTTATATTTCATTCTGAAATTATTGAAAACTAAGTCACCAACATATAATTTTATATCATGTTGTCTGGATATTTAATTTTGAAATAATTGAACACCACGTCATCAGCGTATTATTGTCAGTTGATCAAGGGAAACTTTGCATATTTAATTTTAATCATCTCTTTGAAAATCGTATTTTAAAATGATCATTATTGAAAAAAAGAAAATCATGTAGCGTGATCAACCCCCTTTAAATTCTTTAAAGGCTTTTTCTTCAAAGTTTTAAGTTTAAAAGTGTTCAAAAGTTTGCTGTTTGATGATGTTTGTAATAAAAAAACCCAAAAAAAAAAGCCTCGCTAGGCATCCTTAATTATTGAAGCATTCCGCAAACACCAACCATTGGTCAACAAAAAATGCCCTCAAATTGAGCAAATCTATACAATATAGTATCCAACATGACTCTTCTTAGTAACCAATAATTGAGAAAATACTAACCACCAACCTGTCAAAAATTATCGACAATTTTTCGGTTAATGGCTTACCAACAATTGGTTTGTTACATTTACCCAACTAAAATGGATTATCAAAAGGGGCCGTATCATAAGTCCGACGCCTCATAAGTCCGAAATTTCGGACTTTTGAGGCGTCGGACTTATGAGGCATAAAATTGATTTCTTCCGCCTCATAGGTCCAACACCTCATAAGTCCGACGTCGGAAAAACGAGGCATTTAATTTGTCGGACCTACGAGGCGTCAGAGCTATGAGGCGTCGAACTTATGAGGCGTCGGACCTATGCGGCATCGAACTAACAGGCCTTTATTTGGTAAGGGGATGCGATTTTGTCGGACTCATGAGGCGTCGGACCTATGAGGCGTCGGACTTATGAGCGGACCTCATCAAAAGTACCCAACTGTTCCGTCTGCAATTTTTCCCCCGTTTAAGCCACGTGTTTGCCCAACGGCCGATGGGTATTTTTTGCTCAAAAGATGTGGATCTTTATTTTTGTACCAACGCTGGGTAAAAAGTTGGGCAAACTCTGACCTTTTGTTTGCAGTGCAGTTGTTTTAAATTTCCCCTCGACTTACATGTATTAACATGGAAGAGGGAAATAACCCCCCCCCCCCCCCCCAGTACAGTAGTCGTCCACGAAACGCCAGTGCCGCTTCCGAATACATGTATACCCAAGACATAATGTCTCGCTGCTTTCTTGAGCCAGGTGGGCCGGGACGCTTAAACAAAGCGTGACGTCATGGTCTATTAAGGGCTGCACGCGCACCTGAACATACGATGGTTGCATGCAGAATTTTAGACCTTGCGTGTATCATTATCATGGAGAAATAAACATTCCTCCATGATCATATCGAATTATTCAAGTACTGAATGGATCGAAAGTATATTGTGTTGTAGACGTCCGATCCGTTCAATATTAAATTAATTAAATTAAATTTAAAAACATCGTCTAACAATTGAAATGAACTTCTCATAGGTACTGTCAGATTTATTCGGCTTGGTTTTACATTCATGTTGTAACCAACTAGAACTGGATGGAAATGGTTTCAAACAACAAGGAAATTATTAATACAAAATTATTGTTTAACAGATTATTCTGATCATAGACCAAGAAATCCCAGGCTGTTTTTGAAAATAAAAAGAAAATATGGGGGGAGTTCCGATACCTAGTTCAATAGGACACACAAAATAAGCAGTCTTAGGGAGATCACTCTCCTGTAATGGATATAAATTGTACAAATACAACTGTATGTACAGTGTACATTATTGGTAAAACTGAGAAGATATATTGTTTTTTTGTTTTACATTAACTCACACGTTACCCGTTTGGTCAAGTGCTATCTGCAATCAACCACAGCTGAAGTACACAATGACAATGTGTAAAAATAATTTGAATGCAGAGGACTTTTTAAATACTGGCTTTGTGTCCAGCTTCGGCTCACATGGACTACACCGGCACAACTTCACATCATAAATCGTGACAGGCAATTTTATTCCGGATCCAGAAATGAATGCGAAGCTGAAGACAGGCCATGCTTTGGAAAATGCCCCAGATGTACTTTGTACATAATATAAATTACTGAAAACGATGTAACTTCATAAATAATATACAATGGACTTTGAGGGAACAGTTTGTTAAAAACATCTTGGCAATATAATGTTGATCGATCTCACACTTTTTACACAAAAAATACATGACAGTCCTGCTGAAGAGAGTTCCGCCTTCTGTTGTAATTCTCCTCCTCCCCCCCCCCCCCCCCCTCTTCAGCAAGCCTACATTTAGTTAAGCTTAGATCATCCATAAGGGTTTTGTGGTTGACACACCCAAACTCACACAGCTTTGAACACACTGAAGGGCAAAATCTAAAGCAACTTAATCACACCAAAGCAACAAATAACATTTTGTTGTTAATAAATCATAACCCTGAGATTTTTTGTTCAACTGGTTTTTTTCTGTTTGACTGTTCCACTGGAACTATTCTTTTAAATGTTCTTTAGTTTGCCTTTATTTATTCATTTATTATATAATTATTACTTATTACTTTTTAGGGTGCATCAATGTATTTTTATTATTTTTTTTTTTTTTTGGGGGGGGGGAGGGTATTAATTAAACATCCAGTATTAAATTTCTTTACCAAATCTGCAAGAAAATTACCTACGTAATTATTTCTAGCTTCGAATTTCAACAGCAGACAAAAAAGGCATGTCAACTTTTGCAAAGCAATTTTTTAGTTTCAAATTTACAAAACTTTCAGAGAAAGAATACCTAATAGTACATCTTTGAATTTCAAGGTGTATTCAAGTTAGTGGCAAACATAAATAAAAACAAAATGCCATGTACAAGTATTTACTTTTACAAGGATTGAAGTATCTTGAGTGGATTATGCATGTCAGTCTGTATTAATGCCTTCAGAATTATCTTTAGCATTAGCCTTTCTGCATGTAATACTACTTTTTGCCCCGTCTTTACCGAGCTCATGTTACAACCCTCATCATAAATGTTGCATGAGTTCTGATCGCAAAAGCATTCATTTTGACAAGTTGGAGTTAACGTTCCAACATTTGTCATAATATCTCAAATTCTCAACGATATTATCACCAATGAGCAGGTTCAAATCAGGGACTTATAGTCGACTTATGGTTGATTTGTGATGCAAGTTAACCCTAACGGAACACAACCCATCAAACTTCAACAGCAGGTTTGTGTATAAATCTGTTGGGATAGGTACAGTACCCCTAAACAGATGGTCTTTTACACTAGGGTTGGCATACCTCCAGAAACTAAGTCCAACAGTGTGTGTACAATTTCCCATGTGGGTGTTGGAATTTGCCAGAATGGGTATGGTTCCTAGTAAATTACGCTGCGGGGTTAGGGTTAATTAAACTCCTGCTTGAATACTGTAATTTCATTGGTCTAGGATTGCCACGTGTCTGAACAAAATGCATGTCACACACTGAGGGTGATATTGCACTGCATTCATTGCGTGTGTTGTGCGCGTGCGTGGAACCTGCCAGTGCATTAGCTTTGCCCAATGAGAACTACAACGTCAAACGCTAAGTCTTATGTCCGGCAGGACATCAAAACCTTTAGTTATCAAAGGTTACATCGCAGTGATTTAATTTATTTCTCACACAGTAAGTGACAACCATTTATCTTTTTTCAGTTACTGGCACGATTTAACAAAATAATTGTTGACTGCTGTAATATGGGATACGCCATTTTTAGACTCCTCGGGGCGCATGGCACCTGCTCCACTCGGGTGTTAAAAAATGTCATATCCCACCAAGGGCGGATCCAGAACACAATTTTTTGGGGGGCCAAAAAAAATTTTGGTGCCCCCAAAAAAAGTGGGTCTAAAAAATTACGGGGTGGGGTTCGGGGCCCGTGAGGTCCCCGAAACTTTTTTGGATTCTAGATGCTCTGTGGTGCGATCTGAGGCAATTTCTGACCACTTTAACCAATTTTTTTGAGGAAAAGATGGTGGTGTACTCATTGCCTGCCTTTATTGCGATGTCACATTTTGGGGGGGGCCATGGCCCCCTTTGGCCCCCCCCCTGGATCCGCCCTTGTATCCCACATAACAGCAGTCAACAATTGTTAACTAGAGATCAATCAAGGGAACAGGTTTGTTACGTCACGAACTGCCCGCTGCAAAATCTGACCAACATTTGTCAATCCTGAGGTAAATAAATGTTCACATAACTCATAAATATCTCCCCAATAGGTCTCTCAAATGACGTCACTCCCTACACATTGCCACGTGCATCAGCATTTTGGGCGTCAAATTTTCGTGACGCACATCGATGAAATTTCGAGCAACACACACGCGTTTTAGAACATTTTGCACACTGCGCGCATGCGCACCGGTTGCCATGAACATGCAGTTGTAATTTCCCTAAGATGGTGTCCTATGAGAGAGATCTATAGATCATACACACAGCAAATTGCAGAAAGAATACTGTACAAAAGTTTCACTTAAATATTACAGTGTGTTCTGCTAAAAACCTGCATTTTAACGACTAAAACTGGAGGAATTCTTGAGAAAAAAAATTAATTTGTACAGGGAGGGCTAGCTAAGGGGCTGTTTATCATACGACGTTTTGCAGAATAAGCATGAGTATCGCGCTAATGCCTCCTGTGATGGGTAGCGTGACTATCCAGGCCAGGAAGATATTACGGAACATTTTCCACTCTAGCGAAGCACGGGAGCGGACAAGGCCGATGACAAAGACAGAGCCCACTTTGCAGTGGGTAGTGCTGATGGGGATGCCTAGCTTGGAGGCTGCAAGGACGGTGGTGGCAGCGCCCAGCTCGATGGTGAAACCGCTGAAGGAGGAAAGGCAGAGAGTTGATAGTTTAACCCATTTGTACTTGATATCAACGTTTACGAAAGAACATATTGTTCAGGATTTAGCTAAATAATATATTGACAGGTTCTTTTAAGAACTACTGAGGGAAAATGGGAGAAATAGTTTGAGTTTTGAGACAGGAAGCTATAGGTAGAGAGCTTAAATTATGTCCTCAGTACCATGTTTTGAAGCAAGATAGTGAAAAAAACTTAAAATAAAAAAAATTGTCAATTTTGATATGCCCGTCCCTTCGTGAAAACGGTGACGATATGTGGTGTACATGCTACATGACATGAAGCAGGTGACAGTCGGTGAGTGAGATCGGTAACCAGGAGATAGGTATCCAGCCCAAGCCACAAGTGACAGTCAGTCAGTCGGGGAGTCAGTCAGTCAGTCAGTCAGTACAAAGAGGACGCTAGGCTGGTGTTCCAGGACCAGCAACCATTTTTGGGGGGGAGGGTAAAGATTTTCACTAAGAGCTGAGGTGGATACAGTTTTTGAACAACTCGATTTCATTGAGGACCCACCTGGATGGAGTGATGGGGGTCAGCCTGTCGCCAACTGTCTCAATGACTCGACGGCCTAGCACCCACAACCCAATAGTGATGCCCAGCCCGCCGTAGAACAGGATCCAAATGGGCGTGCTCTGCTTCTGGCCAACGCCCCCGGACTGGTAGATAGACCACAGCGCAACGAGAGGACCCACGGCATTACTACACAGACGAAAGGAAATAAATCAGTAGGTGTAATCACTGGTACCACATTGGCTCGAGGGATAAAGAATTCCCTTGTTAATTTGATATAGCCATGCTTTGACTGGAGGTGATTGATATGCCCATTGATGTGATCACGCCATCGCACGCCTAAAAGCTTCTCGAGAACTGTGAATAATCGCACGCCTGAATCCCTCTGTACACCACACCTCGGCATAATTATGCTTCATAATTAGTGGGGAAAAAAGTATGTCAGTGAAGAGAAAATGGCTTTACTGTTAACCTTGATGATTATAAAACAAAAATCCAGATTGTTCAGTCCCAGCTTTGACCACAGAATTGAACGCCTAGAAAAATCACACGCCTCGAAAAATCACACGCCAAGAAAAGTCACACGCCTAGAAAAATCACACGCCAAGAAAAATCCAGGTGTGCCTTTTTCCACACGCCTGTGATTTTCAAATCAGAAGGACTGTATGCCAGCTGTACCTACCAGTTACCGCTTTGGTCTGTCGATGGAATTTGACTATAGTCAGGGTGTTTACACGAAACTGTTATTTTATATGTTCAGTTCTTGCAAATTCGCAGTGGAAAGAGTTGATGTTACGCCTCAAATTCGCATTCGCATTTGCATTTCCACTCAACACCGAGTATTCAGGCATGCAACTGAGAATTTAGAAAAAAACGAGGAAACTCCAAATCACACTAGACTTTGTACAGTGTTTTCAATTTGTAATGCCAGTCACAGGAAGTAAAAAACGAGGAAATCCGCAGATCCAAGCAAAAGTTGCATGCCTGAGTATTAACCGGCCCTTAGTATGCTTACCACACGTCGTTTCCGCCGTGGGCAAACGAAGCGAAGACAGCCGACAGAATCTGCAAGGGACTGCAGAGCTTGGCCACCTCGGGAGGATCCACTACGCTCTTCCACGCCTCAAGGTTTCTCCTGGGAGGGGTGCTGCTGCTGGTGGAGGAGCGCAGCGAGTCGGGCGTGGCGCTGCCGGGCGTGGTGCTAGCGCTCTCAATCTTACGCCACCCTGTCCGCAGCATGAACCGTTGGAAGAAGCTGAGGTCTTGCGAGGACTGAAGGGAAGTGTTGTTGGTGTCGCAGGATAAGTCCAGTTCAGCGTCTGCGTTGTGGAAAATACACCAAAGGAATTTCAAGCGTGATTCACTCATCAGGCTTTACAGAATCTGCTCTGGCTTCATGTTCATGTATGCACAGTGGCCACATCAAACCATTAGGCCAAAAAAAAAAAGCTTCCGATTTCTGGTATGCGCGCGCGTCGCCGTAGCCATGCGCGTCGGCAAAATGGAAAAGTTTTTTTTCCAATGAAAGATGATGTCTCAAAACCGCCAAACTCGCTGGTTTGACTGGAATCCTGCTGCTGCACAATTTTAACGTGTTTTTAGATTGGGTTATGGTCGAGAATAAGCTTTATGTGGCCTCTCTGGACTCCCATATATTTGCACTAAGTTTAGTCGGGCACCATTTGCAGTCATCAGCCGACATTTGAAGCAAAAAAATCAGGTAAAAAAAAAAAGGAGCCACGTCGCCGCACCACTTTTTAGGCAAGCTCCATACCAGAAACCGGAGACTTTCTTTTTTGGCCTTAGGGATCTCTTTGGCTTTTGATTGAGATTCGATCATTGAGGTGTATCAGTGCCATAAACTCTTGTGTATAAAGTACACAGACTCAAACAAGTAAACGTTTGCAGATTCAATAGGCTAATTCTGTGACCTAAGAGATATCATTCACATGGTGTTACCGCAAACCTCCCTTTCCTTTAAATAGTTTAAATATAAACAGTCAGCAAGACATACTCATTATCATCATTGGTTCTTTCTCAACATTGGCAGCTGCAGCTTTCTCAATGTCAACAACTCGAAGTTTCTCATCAAGTGCAGCGATGTCCGTCTTCTCTGGGTTCAAAGGCTCTTCTGAAAAGATTTTGAAACAAGCAAAAGGGAAGTCACAATTTCTGCATCCAACTATTTGTTTTCTACCGGGGGTTCATTTTCTCTGGTTCTTAAGATTGTACAATACAGGGTAAGTTAAAAAAAAAACGAAACCCAAATATTGGGACCATTGTTTTAGGGAAGTTCTGCATGTAGCATTTTCAAAACCTACGATATGAAAGCCCAATTCATAAGCTTCCTTTTAGTACAGGAATCATTCAAATCACTCATGTACTTTTCAAGTTACAGAATTTTAAACACAACCACCGTTTTAAGGTTCTGTCCACGGAAAAGTTTTGTGTTCTTTCAGCAAAACGAAAAAAAATCACATAGGGATGTGTGTGAATTGTTTTTGTTTTGCTGAAAGAACGCACACCTTTTCTGTGATCCGTGTACAGAACCTAAAAACGGTGGTTGTGTTTAAAATTCCGTAACTTGAAAAGTACAGGAGTGATTTGAATGATTCTTGTACTAAAAGAAAGCTTATGAAATTGGCTTTCATATCCTAGATTTTGAAAGTGCTACACGCAGAACTTCCTTAAAACAATGGTTCCAACATTTGGGTTTCGTTGTTTTTTTTATTCACCCTGTACAATCGCGAGAAATGTTCAGCAGCTGTTTTCACAAAAACCGTGCGTAAAAAAATGTGCATAACTTGCGCCATGCGTAAGAGTTGGATTTACGCAACAAATTTGTTGCACAGCTGCTGCACAATAAACTTGTTATCGATTTCACGAGACTTGGCGTACCTGGGCAACGTTTTTGGGACAAGAAAGTTGGGACAGGCAAGACTCTAGTTAAAAAAAAAAAAATCCATTTTGAATTTTCAGTCGCTACCCAAACAACTACGCCACCTAAAGTGAATGCGCAAGTTACACCATATTGTCTTGCGTAAGAGATGGACTTACATACATGTACTGTGCAACTTTCGTGAAATGTGTCATAACCGAAATGTGTCATAACCGAAATGTTACGCAACTTGTGCAATAATAGCTTCTTGAAATCGGCTGCAGGACTAAAAGCTTTTGCCCTTGGTACAAAGCGGTTTTGTTAGAAACCTTATGAATCCGCCAAACTCCATCGGGTGTAGGAAGGCTCAAAGCAGGATTTTGTAGAAATTGGGAAGGCCTCAAGCAAAATTTCTGAAGGAGTCAGGGCTAGTGCCGTTACCTTTTCCAGGGATGCTCTCTTTCATTTCAATGGTGACATCTGGTTCAATCTTGACGTCCTCCAGGCTGACGCTTGGTAGTGCCGAGAATTTACTATCAGCCCCTAATATGTCGGAGAAAAAATCACTGATTACTGTTTTGTACAGGAAGTGTGGAGTGTGGCCTAGTGGTTAGGGTTTTGTGACCAATGATCAGAGGGTTCGAATCCAGCTGCTGGTCATATGTTGTGTCCTTGGGCATGCCACTTCATCCCCACTTGCACCCCCAGTTGCATGCCTTTTAAATGTAATTAAGGCTTTGACGTGACATTTTTCAGTGTTGCAACAGGGTCAATCACAAGTCAATCACTGGTCGAATCACAAAAGTCGTGTCACAACAGAGTGATATTTAGTTTTGTTCCAAAAGGTTTTTCTGTGGGGTTTTGCCCATCCCATGATCAGTAATTCATTCCATATACATGTAGTTGAATGTTTAAAATATGTACAATGTATATAGCTTTTGTTTAATATTTCTGAGATACATGTACTTGTATGTCCATTGTATTTGTCACCAATGTACTTTTCCTTATGAGTTTAACTTTACTTAACATTGTTAAATAATTTATTATGCAGGGCCCCAGTGGAAACAACTTTTTGACTGTTTGGGCAGAAAGAAATGTAATAAATAAATAAACAAACAGATGAACAATGACAAGCTCATTCGAGACTGGATGACATGTGATTGACTTGTGATGACTTGTGATGACTTGTGATGACTTGTGATTGACTTGTTATGACCTGTGATTGACTTGTGATGACCTGTGATTGACTTGTGATTAACTTGTGATTGACTTGTGATGACTTGCGATTAACTTGTGATTGACTTGTGATTGACTTGTGATTGACCTGTGATTGACTTGTGATGACCTGTGATTGACTTGTGATGACATGTGATCGACTTGTGATGACTTGTGATTGACTTGTGATGACCTGTGATCGACTTGTGATGACTTGTGATTGACTTGTGATGACTTGTGATTGACTTGTGATTGACTTGTGATGACTTGTGATTGACTTGTGATTGACTTGTGATGACCTGTGATCGACTTGTGATGACTTGTGATTGACTTGTGATGACTTGTGATTGACTTGTGATTGACTTGTGATGACTTGTGATTGACTTGTGATGACCTGTGATCGACTTGTGATGACTTGTGATTGACTTGTGATGACTTGTGATGACTTGTGATTGACTTGTGATGACTTGTGATTGACTTGTGATTGACTTGTGAGGACTTGTGAGGACTTGTGATTGACTTGTGATTGACTTGTGATGACTTGTGATTGACTTGTGATTGACTTGTGATGACTTGTGATGACTTGTGACTGACTCAATGGCAACTCTGGTAATTTTTACAAACCTTGCAGGTTTTTCCTCAATCGCGGGACGACCAGAAACCACACAATCAGCCCAGTGATGAGTCCAACACCCAGACTTATAATGAAGGTTCCCCAAACAGGCACATTGTTCATTCCTAGTACTGTGTGAGAGAATTTGAAAAAAAATCCTTGTGTAAGGTTTGGTTTGATTGGGCATGTTGGGTTGGGCGGGTTGGGTTGGGTTGGGTTGGGTTAGGTTGGGTTTGATTGGGCATGTTGGGTTGGGTTGGGTTGGGTTGGCTTGGCTTGGGTTAGGTTGGGTTGGGTTGAGTTGGGTTGGCTTGGCTTGGCTTGGGTTAGGTTGGGTTTGATTGGGCATGTTGGGTTGGGTTGGGTTGGGTTGGCTTGGCTTGGCTTGGGTTAGGTTGGGTTTGATTGGGCATGTTGGGTTGGGTTGGCTTGGCTTGGGTTAGGTTGGGTTGGGTTGAGTTGGGTTGGCTTGGGTTAGGTTGGGTTTGATTGGGCATGTTGAGTTGGGTTTGATTGGGTTGGGTTGGGTTTGGTTTGGTTTAATTGGGTTGGGTTGGGTTAGGTTTGGTTTGATTGTGCATGTTGAGTTGGGTTGTGTTAGGTTGTGTTGGGTTTAATTGGGTTGGGTTGGGTTGAGCTTGTTTCTGCAGGGGACGTTGAACAATAGAGAACAATAGGGTCGTGTACAAAACATATGGGAGGTCTTTCTAAATAATTAAAGTACAAACAAAAGAGGGACAACATGGGGTCCTTATTGCAGGCAAATACACACTTCTGTGGGTTGGGTTGGGTTGGGTTGGGTTGGGTCGGATTGGGGTGGCATGGGTTAGGCATGTTGGGTTGTGTTGGATTTGGATGGGTTGAGTTGGGTTGATTAGCATTGAGCTGGGTTTTGGAATCAAGTTGGATTTATCAGGGCATAGTTTGGTTTGTTTGTTTGTTTGTTTGGTTGGTTGAGGTATTTTTTGGGTGGGACACATATAAAGTGATGCAACTATCACCTTTACAACCAAATTAGCAACCTTGCATTTGTGCACAACTACAATAGTGATTGTTCCACTTTTTCCAGAATTTTAAAAAAAATGGATTGGGGCTTAAATTGAATTCCTACTCACATTCGGGACCATCGAAGGTAATGGAGAACACGTTGACAAGCAGCACCAGAGTGTAGCAGATGGGGAGGACCTTCAGACCAGGCTCCAAGGGCTCATCCTATGTGGGAAATAAAAAAAACACCTTCAACTTTCATGGCATACCAATCCAAATTTTCTGTAAAAAGTCATAAACTGAGCAAATGAAAGTTATTCATAAAGCCCGGTTCATACTCGGCGCAAAACGAAAGCGAATTTGTGACGTCATGGCAAGTATTCGCTTTGCGAATTCGTAAAAGTTAAACATACTTCAACTCCCCTGAATTTCGCAGCGAATGTTGTTCCATGACGTCAAATGCGCTTAGCATTTGCTTTCGCATGCAGTATGAACCGGGCTTTAGGTGGAGTTTTTGCGTTGGGGTGATGTAAATCAATTAGGTTTTGCCCTTCACATTTTTGCCTGAAATGTGCGTTTTAAATGAAAATTTAGAAACCGAGCGTCTAAACTCATTTTTTAACTTTGTATTCTAATGAAACAACTCTCTGAAAGGTGCAAAATGTTCAATACTGAATGGCTTGAAACCAGGGATGTCCATGGACTCTGGACATTTTTGCCTGAAATTTGAGTTATAAAGGAAAAGTATACACATAGGGTGTGAAAATATTTTACAATTTGAAAAAAAAAGAGCTGAAATTAGGCAGTAGCAGGACTGCCATCCCTGTCAAAACACTTCAGTTTCAATTCTGTTTGAAAGGAAGCAATTTTTTTTTGTGCATATAATTACAAACAAGAACCAGCCAAATGTCAATAGTCCTTAGGCCGTGTCCGAAACGGGCTTCCAGAGCTACGGCTACGTCTATTGTCAGCGCGTCCCCACGTATTTTCGATGGGCGCAGACCTAGACCTAGCTCTAGACAGTTGATTCGAATGTAGCCTCATTCATAAGAAAGCCATTTTGGTCTGGTTCCCTGAACGTATTTTATTAATTGTGAACTGTTGAATGCGATGATATTAGAATATCTTAGAGTCACTTCTTTTTTTTGTGGCTTAAAACATTAGGGTATGTTTAATCAGAAATTTTAAATTATGCATTGGAGCAGACTGGTATAATGTGTAATCAACTTTATGTCCTTGCTTTCATTTCTCTTCGCAAGTTCTAAAAATAAAGATTTTACCTCACTTTAAATTGAATATGGCCGACTCGTGAATAAGGCTCATGACTATTGTCCATTATTTTAGCTGGTAACCAATATGTAAAGCATTTCTGCAAAACCTGTCCTAGGTTTTTAATATTAGCTTCCAAGGTTAATTGCATTTGTTTTACAATGTAATTAAATTCACCGAAGTATATATTTATGCTAATTTTATATTATAATCACGGTATAGTACTTTTCATTTGAGGCCTGCAATAAAACTATATTTTTTGCAACGTCTGTACATGTACAGGTACATGAAGCACGTTAAAAAAAAACTAGATTCAACAAAACTGCAAAGTTTTCAAATAAATTTAAGGCTTCTGCAGTTTTGGTACTTTGAAGGGAAGCGAATGACAACGTAACAAAAACTTAAGTCTGAAATGTAGATGAGCAGTTAATGATTTGAGATTGCTTTCTATGGGCTCCGTGCGCCAACAAAAGAGGGCGAGTTTTTACCACTTTTGAGAGCCCCGTGGACAGGACACACAGCGTGTGCGTATTGTACTGTACTGGTTCGCGCACAAAGTGTGCACGACTTCCTGAATGTGCAAAAGCTATTAGCCACAGCGTCTTCGTGTGAGCGTCAGGCGTCGTAGGCGTGATTTATAATACGTTCGAATTTAACTTTCAATGGTCTCCCAGACTAATCCCCACCTCCAACAACTTTTGATCATTCGAAATACGCAGTGGATGGACCGGGAACCAGTCTAGGTCTCCCCCAACTCTCCTTTTCTGGCCGTTGAAGGAGTACTCACAAGTGCACTGAGCCCATAGCTGTGATGTTTTAAGATCTACAAAGTTTTGCAATTCAAAATGATTTTCAGAATAGTTTGGGCTCCTTCACTGGCTACATGTATGTGTGGCCCAAACAGTCGGTGAAAATGGAACAACAAAGATAGGGAAATAAACGTCAGAGGTTACACAGCTGAATGTTTATATTTCTCTTCTCTCTTTTTAGTATCTGTGGTAACTGATGATTTGAAAACTTACAAATGTTCTCAGTTTTAAAAATCAACTCACCGAAAACATTAAACCATTTTGTGAATCACCAAGAGCAAAATACATGTCTGAAAACAATTGCACAAAAAATCCTTACTAACGGTGAAAACTTTCAAGAAAGCAGAGACTCGCGTTCAGAGTAGAACATGTACATTGTACAAAAACAATTACATTTCCAACGTGATTGAAGAATAGTGAGGATAAAATCACTCAGAATGCATACGTGTACACCCACGATTGTATTTTGATGCCATCGAAGTCACATGGGTCTTGAATACTTTTTGTGTTTAAAATCCATTAAGTTAACTGCACTATTAGATGTTGGCCAGATTTGGACAGGTGAAATACTCAAGCTCAATAATTTATGATGCCTTAGTATGTAGGTCATTAAAGGTTGCAGACTGATCTTGTATACAAGGTAGGAATGCCCAGCATCCTCCTTGAACTTGGACTGAACTACACGGCACGTGCACTTGTGCACACTAACACGTACAAGCTTGGCACCGGTGTACAACATGAAATTGTACGTGTACATGTACATGTAGTTTAGACAAATCTGTCCAAGGCATTACACATTCCGTCATCTGGATTTGCAAACTATTATGCTTTTTGTATTACAGTTTTCAGGTTTTTTAAGTCTTTGTGGCGGGAAGTTCGGGCTAGTGAGGAGAATCAGGCCGATTATGTCCCCATGGAATAGGAATTTCATATAAGGAGTATTATCATTAAAGACAAAATGGCCTTTAGTTACCCCTCAAAAATACAACGTTAGCCATTCACTCAAATGTGAAGATTGCCATTTTTTTCTGAGATCATCAAAAACAAGCCAAGTGCGCGGTATTATTTCAAATAATGTAATAAAAACATTACAAATTCTACAAGGCAGATAAAGAAATTATGGTAAAATAACTTTGGCAAAATAGTTTTCTCCTCTTTAATGAAATCTTCCACGATACTTTTAGCTACAGAAATTTAAAAAAAAATGTCTATAAAATAATACAAATAAATAAAATAAAAGTAACAAAATAGAAATGCATCTACTTTTTTATTTAGTTTTAATATTTATTGATTTGTTACTTCAAACGAGAGCCTGCAAAACCTTACCTTGTCCAGAACAAACTTCTTGTAGAGAAGGAAGATGATGGCAGACATGAGGCCCGACAACAACGGAGAAATGAACCAGGATGCAACTGCAGGGAGGCAATAAAGTATAGAGTTGTACAATCAATGTACAAAGTATTACAGTGGAACGCCGCTATAACGAACATCGCAGGATCCACAGAAAACGTTCGTAATAGCGATCGTTCGGTATAGTGATTTTAAGCTGCTGGTGCTCCGAAACTCACTTTTCAATAAACGGCGCCCTTCAGAACTTCACCCTGGTAGTTACTGAAAGACGACTTCGAACACGTGCCGACTATTGAATAATGTAATTACACAGTTTTGAGCTTACTACCTACATCGATGGGTGGCTTTCCCCTTCTATGCCTTGAGGAAATAAAAGCCACTTTCGCTCTTCTGTTGACGGTTTCCAACACCAATGTTCGGTTGGTTTTGTACACAAAAATCGGGAGCCAAGGACGATGTTCGGTATAGCCAAATGTTCAGTATAGCGGTGTTGGGTATAGCGACGTTCCACTGTAGTTACATCGTGTGCTTGGATAATGTAATTTCATTGGTCAAGGATTATGGCCACGTGTGTGGACAATCACAACTCATGTCACACACTGAAGGTGACATCGCACTGCGTTCATTGTGCTTGTTGCTTGTGCGTGTGGAACCTGCCGGCGCGCTAGATTAGGCCAAAAAAAATAATAAGTCGGTCTCTGGTCAGCGCGCGCCTCGATTTTAATCATGCACGTCAATCTTTTTTTTTCTTCAAAATGTTCCGCAGTAGCTCCAACAGCTCCAACACTCTATTGCAGTAGCTCCAACACTCTATTGCCGCACCTCCTCAATTTTTTTTACCAAAGAGCACCAAGGAATGGGAAATTGCACCAAGGCAAATGATCGAGAGCACCAAGGCAAATTATGGAGGACACCAATGTACGTGTACATGAGGACACCAAAAAAGCAAAATAGTACCCCACCTTGTCTGTACAATCCAAGCTTGAAGAAAAAAAGCAAAAAAAAATTAAAAAGCCGCGTCGCCGCGTCAATTCCGGAACTGGCCTTAGCTTTGTGCAATGAGAACTGCAACCTATCTTGTTGAGTTCTTGACACCATGTAACAAATCTAATAAATTTTGTGAATGCAGTTTCTTGTAAGACTTACTGATGAGACCAAACTTGCTCCAGTTAACGCCCTCCGTCTGAAACACGACGAGGTGGAAACCAATCATGGATCCCACGATGCTGTGAGTGCCGGAAACAGGCAGCTTGAAGTAGGTTGCCACTAGCAACCAAATGCAGGCTCCTACAGATAAAACACAGAGATAAGATACATAAAGATTGCTATTTTTATCAACGGCCGATCAATTTACAGACGTACCATTTAACTTCACCACCGTCAAGTCATTAATACTGCACCGCCAACACCACACAAGTTACATGCAATAGCCATACATCATAACGTCACACACATCTTGGAGCAAAAGCGAACTGCGAGAGCATGCCATGTGTGTGATGATTTACACCAGTGCGCTGACCAACAACTATGGTAATGATCTCTTAACATTTATTGCTCTGATCTTGAACGTTTTTATCCCCCAACTATTGTTATGACTCGTCTGCTCAATCAATCAACAATTCGTTTTGGACTCACTAAATTTTACAAAATTATGTTTTTTATCAATACAATTGCGGAAGTTATTTTCTTTAAATTCGAACTCCGTTGTCCGTTTCGTGGAGCAGATTCTGCAAATTCCGTCCATTTTCCTGGTTGCGGAAAACCATTTGCCCTAAATAAGTGTATGGACTCCATGCGTGAATAGTCCGTGCACATGTAGATGGCACTTAACCGCTTTCAATTCAATTCAATTCAATTCAATATAACATTTATTTAAATCCAACCATGAACAAAATACAATTCATATAGCATGTACAATAAAGGAAAATAAATATAAATTGTGTCTTGGAAAAACAAATAAGTAAAATTGTAAATGACAAAGCAATTAATTCAAGCCATAATAAGCCTAAGCTTGTCAATGGCAGGCGCTAAAAGCATACTGTGACCACTACATGTATAACGCAATAAATGAAACACAGAAACGTTCATTAGTAAAACAATTGTAAACACATAATACTCAGTCAAAAACAATGCAGTTAAACAGGTAATTAATAATCAAGCGTTACATGTAACTATCAAAAGTAGGAACGCGAAAAGATAAAGATCAAATATAAGTGTATAAATAAAAAGTACAGGCTAAATTATATAATGAAAAAAAAAGCTTCAGGGGAGGGAAACACTGCATGCGCATACTTTTAATGGTTGGCACTGGCACGTGTGCGGGGCGAAGTGATAATTTGATCAGCCCCAAACAGTCAGATTGCAAGTGTATGAGTTCCTGAATCAATTACTAATATTATTCTTAATCTCAAGCACAAGACAGCAGTGTCTTCGGGTGAACGTTAGGCGCCATCGGCAATGCGTTTGAAGGTCCCTCCCAGTGGTCTTTACCAACTCTCTCTTTGTAACCCATGTGTATACACAGAGTCCATACCCAGCCAACCTCATTCCCCATGGGTATGATCGTGCTGCGCCATGTTGTTTCCCATCATGCATTGCACGATCTTAACCCCTGGGATTGAGTAATTTAAATGTGTCAAAATATGGCACATTATAATTAGGCTGCAGTTTATCCGTTTTACGTGCCGACGCCATCTTTAAAATGTTAAAAGTTGTGATTTTGAAGAATCAATCCTTTCAAACAAAACGTTTGGACATTGAGTTATTTAGCAAAGATTTGTATTAAATGTACCTACCCCTTTCGTCCCTTTACAACCGAAGATACAGGGGTTTTTTTAGCGAAAAACGAGGCTGCCATAATCCATATCGCACAGGCATCGCGACTTTTGAATAACAATTTTTTTTCGTACGTTACGTTACATGCAAAGCATGCGAGCGCATTATGGGCGCACCCGGCGTGCAATCTTCGAAATGCGTGCGCAGGACGCTGTGAATAGCCAATCAGCGTCATTTACGTCATCATCACGGCCAGGGGTTAGTGTTAGGAACGTGCACGCGCCCATGGAGTCGAGGCTGATACCCTGCAGAGTCATAATAAAAAATCACACTCCTCCCCCCCCCCCCCCACCCCAACTTCCAATTTTATCTTTAACCCATATCAATTCAATTTCACTTTGTACAGGTACATGTATTGATTCAGGAATTCATACACTTGCAATCTGACTGTTTGGGCCCGATCCAATTATCGTTGAAGTTCAAAGGACGTACTATTTTAGGGTTACTGCCCGGTGTTCCACAGAACCATGTGATAAAAACACCTGAAACACTCGGTGAACATGTGACAGAAATGTGAAGTACACACATGTTCACGTGAAGAACTTGATAAACATGGGATAACCTGTAATAACCACACAATCAAGGCATGATGGGCCCATTTTATTTTGAGTGTTTCCGCCCAATAACCTTTTTTTGTTTTAGGTTTGACAGACACGTCGACGGAACAATCGACCCTCATTTTCTCTAAGTGGCATGTTAATATTTTGCAGTCGTTAGATGCTGTTCAACATTTAAGTACCAATAACCTTTTTTGTTTTAGGTTTGACAGACACGTCGACGGAACAATCGACCCTCATTTTGTCTAAGTGGCATGTCAATATTTTGCAGTCGTTAGATGTGCTGTTCAACATTTAAGTACCAATAACCTTTTTTGTTTTAGGTTTGACAGACACGTCGACGGAACAATCGACCCTCATTTTCTCTAAGTGGCATGTAAATATTTTGCAGTCGTTAGATGTGCTGTTCAACATTTAAGTACCTGAAAATGGGTTTAATGTTCCCACATTTTTTTGATTTAATGTATAAATGAACAGTCCTTTGTGTAGCATAAAGGTCTACTACCGTACATCTAGGATTTGTGCGGGTGTTTTTTTTGGTTTGAATCTACAAAATTGCTCAAGAAGGGTGCAAAACTAACTTGTTGAGCTCAATGGATACTATACATTTTGAGAAAACGCGAGCACAAGTTTTGGGGTACATTGTAACTGGATTCTGTCGCTAAGGCATGTAAAAAAAACAAAATTAAAATGTGCCCACCGGCACACTTTCTTAAACCTCTTTCAATGATTCTTTTCTTCCGAATGAAACCATTTTTAGGCCAAATAATTTCACAGTGTATTTGGTACCAGCATATCTTAACCTTGAGTAAGGCCAAAAAAAAAATAGTTCTGCTTCCGATTACATGCCTTTCAAAAATAGGGTCGGTCGGTCGGAATTTTATTTTTTTTTGCAAATTTTTTTTATGCAGATTGAATGGGGTATTCAATTATATGCGAAGTTTTAGCCTGAACTATTTCCATTGCACCACAAAAGCTATACACAAAATGGCCACAAAAAGTGAATAAAACCTACCTTAATTATTGTCAATATATTTACGTTCGATAATTCGTAAAAAAAATTGTGGAAAATTCAGGTCGTTCGCACCATATGCACAACGCTAGTCAAGAAGGGGAGCTGGCCAAAACTCCGAAGTGTGTGATGCACTGTACATGTACATGTGTGGCCCGCGGCCAACGGGTCGAACATTTCGGGAAACACGCTGCATTGTATCACTGCAAATACGAGTAGTGCGATCTCAAAATGAACTCTTGAACACGGAAAATACATACACAGACAAGCTAGATCAAATCTGTGAATTAACTTGCAAAAATGTTCTCTCTCCATCGGTGTTTTCTTGGCATTTTTACGATGTCTTTCTTGGCATTTTTACGACGTCGAATCGACCAGTTGACAGAGCACGTGTTTGCGCCTGCATAGCCATATGCTAGCGCTATCGATCGCATAGCCGTGCACAGACTAGTTACCGCATTTTCATCATTGGGCCCTGCGCCGCGCGGCGGGAACTAGTCGTCGCCGCATTGCGCTTATTACGCACGTGATTATAGACATCGAATTGCGAAGTAGTTGAATCGCAAAGCGAATTTGTAAAAATAACGGAGGTTTCTTTTGAAAAAATAGCGAATGTAAGTAAGAAAACAATTAATACAAGCATTTTTTGATGCAAAAGGGTTGTTGAGAGGTATTTTGTGAAGACAGACAAGACATAAGGTTTTTATTTTTATTTATTAAATCATTTTTTTTAAATTTTTTTTTGGAATTGCCGATACAATTTTTAGGGTCGCAGCCTAAAAATAGGGTCGGTCGGGTAACCGGAAGCAGAACTATTCTTTTTTTTGGCCTAAGGATTTTCTCGTGAAATTATTAAATTGTTTCCTGGTATTTGCAAACGTTCCTACATGCACAGGTACATGTACGTGCCTTTAAATTGGGACACTCTATGATCAGGCTACAGGGTGAATTGGGTCAGACCTGTCACTATAATACAAATAATGAATGTTTGTGAGTGCAACGGTAAAAAAAATGAGGTGACAGATGAAAATGTTCCATTCCATGAGGCGAACATTTCATCTGTCACCGAATGAAATTATTCTTTCCATTGCACAAACTTGAAACATTTATTATTATTTGTGTTATATAACACCTGAATAAATCCTTGTCATCTGACTGGTTGACTTTTAATAGCCAATTTATTCAGGTTAAAAACTGTTTAAAAGTTCGACAAGTTCATCATATTTAATTTATGCAAACTGTTCAACAGGCTGAGACCAATCATATTCAATTTATCTCGATTTAAAACAGCGCCACCACCAGCAGCAGTGACACCGTGCAATGGAAGTTCTATTCACCGTGCAATAGAACTTCCATTGCACTGTGCGCTGCGCGCCACGCGTGCGCTGTGTGTTGGGACAAATAATTCAATGACATGTGATCAACGATCCACCAATCAGGTGTTGTATAAAGCAAGACGTTGGATATTCAAGTTTGAATTTTCCTTGCAGGTCCTGCTCTCTCCATGTGACCCCTTTCATAATTTTTTATGTTTTTCTCTATTCTTTCCCAAACATTAACTGTTAATAAATGACCATACATGAACATTCACTTCACTTTAAAATATTTTCAGACAATTTATTTAGAAGAGCCAGTAACCGCCCCAATACAAAAATCTCAATTTGTCCAGTTGTATGAGACACAGTCCTAGACTAATATGCGCGTGGCTGCATTCAGGGCATCACAAATTGACCCAGCCAATGCAGGCTGATGTTGATTTATTCCTAACTATAATAAAGAGGGATGCCAAATCAGACGAAAGAGCACGAAGAACAAAACAGGAAATTAATCTGCACTCTTCTGCTCAAGGCTACAGTGATGAGGGGAGAGCATCCAAGTGCGCACCAAACTGATGCGATCAGTCTGCAATTTGTGGAGAAAATCATACTCATTACACTGGATTTATCAAAACATGTCACACCATTGGCAGGTGCATATTGCGATGTTTGTTAACTTTTAGTTTTATACTTGATGGAGGTGAGACGAAAAATACATTAAATAATCGACAGAGGTTTGGGTGTCGCTGAGGGGCTTTTCTTCTTTATTTTTATATCTAAAAAATAAAAAAATAAATGAATATTAAACTATCACTTAACCAAGCGATAAAATGGCCAATATATTTTTAACGTAATAAATATCAATACTTTAATCACATGTGCATGTACTGGCTTTTACATAGTACGTGTATATAATAAAATACACTTTTAAGAACTGGTAGTAAATTGTAAGTATAAATTGAAAACAATTTCATTTCGTCTTATATTCCTTCTTTTATACTTAGATGTGTGTTGTATTTTGATTTATGTAACAGGGGTTTGGATGTACATGTAATATTAGTGTTTTAATGTAATTGTGTTGCCAATAGAATATGATTATCCGTATTTATAAGATGCGGACAATAAAGAATCATTATTATCATTATCATTATCAAAAGCAGGGCAATAGAGATGTATTTTGGGCCTCCAATTTGGAATTTTTGATGATTGTAGTTTTTGACAATCTTGTATCACAATTAACAATGTATTCGCTGTGTAAAGTTTACACAGCGAATACATTGTTAATTGCGATACAAGATTGTCAAAAACTACAATCATCAAAAATTCCAAATTGGAGGCCCAAAATACAACCCTGTTTACACTGTAAACAGGGTTTAAGAATTTAGGCAACAGAGTTTAAGAATTTAGGCAACAGGGTTTAAGAATTTTAGCAACAGGGTTGAAGAATTTAGGAAAAATTTAGATCCAATTTTAAAATACTAATTGAAGTCCCTGATTTGGATTTTGTTTTGTTTTTATTTGTGGTTTCTGCTCATTCATGACTCAAAATCCTTGAGAACATGATCCAACTAGTGGATCACATGTAATCTGAAGTCTAGCTAGTTTAACCGTCTCGGCAGTGATAGCCAAAAACCAAGAAAAGGCACGGATGCGACTTGCCAAAGGTTGAAATGCTGTGGCACCGTAGTCCGTGGATTAAATTGCTGACGGCTTGAATAAGCATGCCGTGAATTATTGATTGGATGAGGGAGTATAGATTGAAAGATGGGAATAGGGGACAATAAGTTGTTTGAAAGCAGAGAAATATCGACTACATGCTTGATGTGGGTATAATATGTACAACATTTACATCTAACTGTTTTCCGTTTTTTGGTATTTTCTTTTAGATATTATTTCAATCGTAAAGATTTCCATATAAGAAGTTCACTCAACACTCTGTGTACAAACCCTATGAGAGTGGACTGAAAAATTCCAAGTGTTTTCTAAGAAAATGCTTGTATTTTCTCACTGCTCAAATTGACTTTGATGACATGAAATTGCTATCTGGGGGCTTGTTAGTCAATACAGAGGAAAATTAGTGAACTTCGCATATGGTAGTCTTGCCCATAAATGATATGTTGGTGGTTGATTGATTTGCTTTTAATCGTGGTTGTACATGTACATGTATGTAAATAATGTACATGTACCTCAAGGGCTCCAATGCATGAAAAATCAACTTTGAATTGAAGATAAAATCCAAACCCCATAGGCCTACTCTTAAAAATAAAATTGATATTGTTCTTTTCTCCTTGCAAATTTCAATTAAAAGAATCTGGTTTCTGGTCTGCGCGCGCATTGCCGTAGCGTCAGCAAAATAACAACGTTTTTCTTCTTGAAAAAAAAATATATAAAACGTCACCGCACCACTTTTGGGGCAAGCCCCATACCAGAAACTGGAGACTTTTTTTTTTTGCCTCATTCAGATTTGGGGCATCTGCAACCATCTGAAAAAAGGGGCTTTCACTTTTTTGTACAGATTACCCCCCAGCGAGAGCCCGATTATTGTCTGGCAAGACAATAAATCACATTTTGTGAAGAAATAATTCAATACCTGCACCTGTACACTTGTAAACGTTGGTGGATGCGATTGTTCCATGCCTCTTTCAAAACTGAACAACTTTCAAAGAGGTTGTGGAATGCTCGAAGACATTTCCGTCATTTTTTGGGTTTATGAAGCCTGAGGTGTGATGAAATAAAAACGACTATTGTGTCTGTCATGAAATGAGCACAAAAGGTACTTTTGAGAGCTGTTTTTCCGGTCCTGTTTTGACCCGAGCGTGTCGAACGTGTTGGGGGCAGCAAACAAAACATAGTAAATCGTGACGTAATAAAAAGGACTCCCGATGCAGCACAGTATAACGAGTCCTGTTTATTAATGTACATGTAGTGTGACATTCGAGAGGCAGTAGTGCTGCTGCACGAGTGCAGAGTGGGCGGGGCTTAATAATCTGACGGGGGGGGGGGGGGGGGGGAGGGGAATGTCTTACCTCCCAGTGCAGCAATCTGACCCACAATCAGGGTCTCCGTCATGCCCTCGTACAGCGACACGTCAAAGATGCCCTTGCGGATGGTGTCCGAGACCTTCGCCCCCAGCAACACCGCCCCCGCCGTCTCGAAGAAGGAAGCCAGGATGCATGCCGTGCGCAGCGTCAGCACCCGCGAGCCCACCGAGGTGGCGAAGGAGTTTGCGACGTCGTTGGCGCCCAGACCGAAAGCCAGGACGAAAGAGATGAGGAAACCCACAACTAGGGTCCAGACGTACGGGGTCATGTCCATGGGTCCGACGGTTCCGGTGCCTGAGAGCATGGAGGTCGCCCAGCTGAGGTCGGGTACGGCAGTTGTGATATCCATCCCGATGGATTAAGTTGCCAAGGAAACAGTAACGTGTTGACTCTAACAAAGGGGATCTATACAATGTAAAGAGAAGAGGGATGGTATAATTATTCATCAGACTAAAGTTCACTAAACATGGCATCAATTTTGTAGGATGCCATGGTCCAATGGTTACGGTGTTTGACTCGTGTACGATAGTACAGGTTTGAACCCTGCCAGGAACATGGTGTTTGTGCCCTTGGGCAAGACACTTTACTACAATTGCCTCTCTCCACCCAGGAGTATGAATGGGTTCCTGTGAGGGTAGAGGACCGTATGTGCGCTGATATCAACTACCGTGTGGACTCGTGGCCTGATGAACGGGAGAATAATAATCAATTTTTTTTTATTAACAATCATATCTCTCTCAGGAAAACAAAGGCACTCTACTTAAAAAAAACCGCCTGCAATGCTATAGTATTTGGATCTATTTTTTAGGCAAGCATGAAATGGTTGATCGATGCTTTGCGCGGTTTGGTTGACAGAAAGGCTGTACTTGCAAGGTTTACTCAGTATTTAAACAGATTCTTACATAAATTTAACCTCCACAAAAATTATCCAAAAGCATTTTTTTAGGTGCAACCTTGCGATTTTTCTTACTGATATTTGGTATGATTGTTGGTTGCTGTTCAAAAAGCTAATTACAGAAGAGAGAGCAATTACAATTGTTTCTCAGTGAAGGAAATGGTAATGCAATTGCCGGTATTTTATAGCCTCATATTTGAAAATTTGTGACGTCATTGTGATGGCAGATGTCATCATTTAGTTTTGTTTATAACAAAACCAATATACCATAATAATATACTTAAATGCGTTGATGAATAATTCTTCACTTCCAGACTGGGGCAACACTCTTTTTCAATAAAGGTACATTATCGGTCTAGACTACAGTCCCTACCGAAGGGATCACAAGGCATCGACCTTTCAAAAACTGATAACATTTTGTGTTTATTGTTTATGTCCAAAGGTCGAATCAACTACGTTGTGTACATGTATTTCGATCTTTTAGGAAGTGCAAAGATATGACTTTATTATTATTAGCCTAAAATATCAGGCAAGATTAGATAGTAAACCCTGGTGATACCAATAAGAGGATACTCCGGAGCCCCTTCTGGTTACATCTGCTGTAAATAGACCTAGCTAATAATTTGTAAATTTTCACATGTTTTAGGACATTGTACATTTTTTAGGTTTATTTTTATCACATGTCTGAATAGGAAATTGTGATTAAAATTCTGGGGTTTTGTTTGCACATTCATTTAAATTCAAATATTAGAATTTTTGAAATCATGATTGCCATCTGGGCATGCTGAAGGTGATATACATGTAGCCTAGAAATAAATTTATTGAAATAGCTCATCTATAAAGCATGAACATGATGAGTAAAGTATAACCATAACTTTAAGGCAAAGATTTTGAGAAAATGTGAGTTTTGAGCATTTCAATTATATTTCTGCCATTGTCTGCACTCCTTTTTAAATATGGTAAATAATCACATTTTACTCTGCATTCACATTTCAGTGTCTCGTAAAAAATTCCGGTTTAAATCTAGGCATATTTTCTTTTCTTTTTTTTGGCAGATTCCGAAGAAATCCAAACTTGTATAAAATGTTCCTTTGAAGTTTTTTTTCTACAAAACCACATCAAAAACGAATGTAGGAAATATAGGCATAGGCCTAGGGCCTATTCGAAACATATCATAAACACCTTTTTAGGGGCCTAACATTTAAGTAGGCAACAGTAACATGCCTCAGGCCAAAAAAAAAAATAAGTCGGTCTCTGGTCAGCGCGCGTGTCGATTTTAATCATGCGCGTCAATCTTTTTTCCAAAATGTTCTGCGGTAGCTCCAACAGCGCCCTCTATTTCCGCACCTCCTCAATTTTTTTTTACCAAAGAGCAGCAAGGAATGGGAAATTGCACCAAGGCAAATGATCGAAAGCACCAAGGCAAATTATGGAGGACACCAATGTACATGAGGACACCAAAATAGCAAAATAGTAGGCCTACCCCACCTGTCTGTACAATCCAAGCTTGAAGAAAAAAAAAAAAAGCCAAAAAAAAAAAAAGCCGCGTCGCCGCGTCAATTCCGGAACTTTGGTCTGACCAGAGACCGAATATTTTTTTTTTGGCCTAACCTCCACGACCTCTAAGGCAACTGAGGGAAATCTTTCCCAACTGAGTGTGGGCCTAGGGGCTTTTTGCCTAGCCTACGGTCAGACACAGACGGTTTTTTCTCCTTAAATTAGGATCGTCAATCGCAGTGACTGTAGTCCGACTCTGATCATCACTGATCATGAAAGTTCCCAGCTGAACATGCTGAAGTTTATCAGTTTATGGCCTACAATACTACTAGGTAAACTTCAGCTGCAAAAATGTCATGAATTTTGTGATTTAGCATGGTTAACAAAATAATAAATAACATGAATCATCTTGATGAATGGGGCTGACACATGGCAGGCTGAACATGTTGAACATCCAATTTCTGGCATCATCAGCATCGATCAGACAGCAATTATCAGGCATCAATCAGTTAATAACACATGTATTTACTCACCTAACGAGCAGATTTCAACGAAGATCGTCAACACCTTTTCAGACCTGGATGAATTTTGGCACAAAAACAGATCAAATTGGCAAATTTTGACGAAAATTTCACACGTGCTAATTTTCCCCAGCCGGCAGATTTAGTCGTTTCTACACGTAACACGACGATAATGGACCTTAAGATCGTGAGAGCCGGGTTGGCGCGCAATTTTTCAGTTCGAGCGCCGAAATTACGCGCGAAAATGCCACAAATTCTCTTCCACAAAGCAGGTATTTTTGTCACTTAATACAAAGTAATTTGTCGGAACGTGTGCATTTTCAATATCTTGCAAGGCAAAATATAAATATTGACCATGTTTTATTAGAAAACGCGAACACTAAGTTGGACTTTTTAGAATTTATGTATATTGGGTTGTTGATGGAAAAGTTAACCCCTACGAGAATCGAATGGACGCTTCCGTTTTCACTTATGAATGGAATGAGGGTGTGCATGTGATCACCATGTGCTCAACTTGTACTACGATACGCTTGCTGCACGTGTACGTGTGTGGCCTGATCGGTTGTGCTCGGCATTCTGGGCTCATTCAAAACAAACTTATGTTACCAAATAGTAGAGCGTGTAATAATTAAAAACACTTTATATTTAAAAGTAGCGAAGCACACCAATCTAATTTTGCATGAATAAAGTCAGTATTGTTCTTCAAAACAAAATTGTATGAAAAAAATTCCAAAAGATGAAATATATAACATTAATCATATGCACATGTTTCAAAGTTTGGTAACAAGATTTCTTTATTTTGTTGCTAAGGTGTACCGTTATATGACCACAGCTTTCGGACGAGACGATTATGTGAATAATAATAAGCGTGAGTCTGGAAGGTCTTTATTCACATCATAAATAGCAAGGGTCATTCGGGGTCACTTGACAATTCAGGAAACAAATAAACTTCAGGAAATAACCTCGAAATCGAACACAATGATCTGCGCACCGCGCACGTATAACAAAGAAACAGTAACAGATCTATCCCACACAATAAATCATTCCTATATTCCTTTTATTGAAAATGTAGCAGTCCAAAACTTGTACAAAAGTTTTGGGACCGTACAGTTCATGTTCAAGTCCCCTCTTAACAAAATCTTATCATCAAAATAATGCACTATACCTGCTAGCTGCTACGGGATTTAGGTAAGGGGCGGCCTTTTCCATTGTTTAAAGTAGCGTTCCCCGGACTCGTGCTCGTTAACAAACTCGATTTTGTTTGATTTCAAACAAAACAAAACCTCTTTTTTTCAGTTTCTGCAAGTTAGCCCTCTGAAAAAAGGTCACTTTGTTCGGGCAAAAGCAGATCCGAGTGCGAGCAACTTGCTCCCAGTCCGTACTATACTATCACAGTGGCGTAGCAAGTGGCTAGCTTGGAGAGCTTCAGCTAAGATAAATCTGGATGTCGGCTCTACCAAAGAAAATTAAGCTGCGAGTCTTCAGTACAACATTAACAGTAGTGTGCTGACATAACCGGACCCCATTTTTGAAGTCCGAAGTTTCACCACACTAAATATTATATACCTGGAAATTAAAGATTGCGACGCCCGGAACATTTTTCTTTTCAATTTTATTAGTAGGAACCGGGTCAATGGTTTTTTTTTTATATTCCCCTCCCCCTAAACCACCCCTAAAACGGTTGTTAATCTCTGGGCCCAGGTCTAAATGTAGCCCCCGCTTCATATGCGAAATGGACCCACAAGTACGCCTTTTTTTTTCGAATAAAATCGCCCGCGCCGGCCGCACACACAGGACGCGAGCGCCTTGCGACAAGGAAACGTAAGATAGGCCACTTTTTTGAAAAGATCTGATCGCGACAGATCAACCACTTATGCTAACATTTTCGTTCGTTCTCCCTCGGACAGTTTGATGTGTACATTATTTTATCATATAAATTTGATGTTTTTAAAATTAAATTTGTCCCCGGCATTTAGTGAAAATTTAAAAGAACTTCGCGTTTTCTCTATCCTGTATAATTATACTCATACACACAAGGGCGGATCCAGGGGGGGGGGCAAAGGGGGCCATGCCCACCCCCCCCCCCCCCAAAAAAACGAAACCATTTTTTTTTTTTTATGTGACATCGCAATAAAGGCAGGCAATGAGTACACCACCATCTTTTCCTAAAAAAAAACATTGGTTAAAGTGGTCAGAAATTGCCTCAGATCGCACCACAGAGCATCTAGAATCCAAAATAACCGAACCCCACGCCGTAATTTTTTTGACCCACTTTTTGGGGGGACCAAAAAATTGTGTTCTGGATCCGCCCTTGCATACACATTACCAACATTTGCCTATCACTGTTCCAAAAATACATTGCGATTGGTCAATGTTAACCACCGGCATTTGGACAATAACTATTTCTTGTCTAATCAAAACTTCTCTTTAAAACGCACAACGGCCTGTATATTGATCACACACGTTTGTGGCCGTGTGCATGCATTGGGAAAATACATGTAGTTTCTGTGTGCATGTATTTGACATGGGAAATTTAGTCATACAAAAATTAGTTTGTGCCGGACAAATTCATATAGGCCCTATTCAAATTAACTGTGGGGTCACAAAATATTCATGAGCTCGCGCGCACTAATTTAAAGGTTTATGGTGGCGTGCACCCCGAAGGACAATGGGGTCAGAGAACCAGACTACTACACGGCCATTTTGAAGTTTAAAATGGCTGTTACAGTTTGAGTGTACATGTACTGTCAAGGAGGTCAGCATTGCATTCATGATACAATATAAAAGATCAAAGCATAAATGTCTCAAAAGTCGATTATTTTGTCAATATATACGTGTATAGATGTTTAAAATGGCTGCCATTTGGACATTCAAAATGGTAACCCCGGGCGGGGCGCTGGAAAAATGGGGCCAAGCGATTTTTTGTGGACTTGTTAATTGAGGTGTCCACAGGTGATTCTGAAAGTTTCGAAGAATGTACCTGAAATGCATAATAGCTCCCGTAAAAAAAACCCGCCCCAAAGGGGAACGATATTATTTAAAATTAGGCCCCACCCCCAAGGAAGCAAACATTCTGGATTTTTTCTGTGATGTGGCACTTGGGCGAGCTGTCCAAATGCTAAAATTTAAGACAAGTGAAATTATCTGAATCATTTTCTTGCGCACGATGCCCCCCACTTTTTAAAATCATAGCCCTGCCATAAAAGGGTCAGAAAAAATGGCATCAAGTGGTTTTCTGGTGGTTGTCTATTTTTGATCCTGAAAGTTTCAAAGAATGTACCCGAAAATGCATATGGGCTACCACAAGCCCACTGATTATAGGGGGCACTCGTAAAAAAAAACGGCTGTCGTTAAAAAATATGGAGGGAGGGGGTTGTATTTTAATGATACCTTTGGCGTTGTGTTGTATACATATTACAAGTTTTTTTGCGCATAGTCCCTCGTGCACATGAGGATTGGAATGAATGATTCCTCTTCTGAACCGGTCTTCGAACGTGTAGGCATATATGATTTGTGCGAAATGGTGAATGAAATTGGACCAAAAAGTCGCACTGTTTGGCAGTGGAATGAAAGGATCATTAAAAATGCGATCGACGTCAGGACTGCTTTTAGGGGGGATTATTTTAAGTGGAGGGACTCCAAAGACCACCGGTTAACACTTCCGTCCACCCCCTAACGAAAAAAAAAACAGTGAAAGAGGGTATATCAGCTTTACTTTGATGTATGTCTTGATCAGCTGTGAGACTTCCGAGTATTTTCCCCGATTTTTGATGTGGGGGCCTTTATCATGGGTGCTTGATGACGCCCTCTACCGTCAGGATGTTCTCCGGAGAGACACAGGGAGTCGGTCCTCCTGGATAGATGATCTGCTGTAATAATGTGAAGTGATCTCAGCACATGATTAAGAGCGCTCTAAATTGCTGTCTCAACATAATGGATCAGACTATAGACATTGGGCCTATACCGGCCATAAGGAAGACGTCATGCCTCTGTGGTCATATTTGCTGCATAACTGCGTCCGGTCCATGAAAAACAGACTTGGACCCAAAACGTGCATGTTGATATAGTTCCTTCTCACCATACCACCTTAGTTTACCATGTGTATAGTTAGCTCTTACAGCATCACCTTTGATAACGAGGTTGAAAAATAATATTAAACCGAAGGAAGTTAATTTTAGCAATTTATGACCCCACAAACTATAGCACTTTAGACATTATAGGCATTATTAAATTATGTGGTGGTCGTTAGAACTGCCACTGCCCCTGCCCCACCCAATCACATTGATGAGACAGCTGATATACGCTAGCGGACCGGACGGGTCCGGGTGCGAGAAGCGCTGCAGTATACATAATACGCACTGCAGAGTAGGCAATCATGGACAGCGCCCTCTGTTGGCGAAAAGCCCAGATTACTATGTCCCTGGCACGGCAGACGGTCAGACGACCAACCGGCCTCCAAAGTAATATGATTCAATGACGCGTGGCTGAAACAACAATTAGTTGCGGAATGACGTCAGTAAAGTCAACGATAAAACTGAGAACTTACGTATATACAATCATGCATAATGCGCAACTGGGCGGAAACCTCATAAATTTCGGCCTTCTTTCACAATGGAACCACAAGTGTATTGTTCCCAAACCTTTTATGAAGACATCAATAATTAATATGCTGTTTTATAATTCATCGGGTAATATCAAAATTATAATTCGGTTTTCTGTGTGCCTGTCACACACACAAAAAAGTGTGAGCAATTTGACCCGTATACATGCTGGCGCGCTGGCCCATCTTCGCCCGAGTATAGCGCCCGACCGGCCGTGTATAATAATCGTCTCTCAATGCCGATGAGTGATGCGTTACCATGGTAACCAGTGCTTTCGTTGTCAGCATCTCCCTCCCGACTCTTTCATTTATTGCCACAGTTTGCCAGTCGTGGGAGACCGCGGACAATACTCGGGCAATTGTATTACTGACTGGTATTAATATTAGCCTATGCGTTTTATTGGAGGCGTAGCATAGCATAATGCATATAGTTTTAGTGGCTTATAGTTGATGACCGCGTGCGTGCTACAGTCAGTGTTGGGTGTGCGCGACATGCGTGATGCTGATGAGGCGGACAAGGCAGTGAAGCTAGTGAACACAAGTGAGGATGCGGATATAGACGAGGATCACAATCAAACGACCACTGGTGTGTACGGTTCAATACAGAGAACGATGGTTCAATAATAATGCTGTCATCATTCAACATGGAGTGTGTATGTTGATGTTGCCAGGGCCAGGGTCAGGCCAGAATGTGTATCGCAACATAAAACGCGCCGTGCACTTGCGCTCATGCGGGCTTTTCAATATCCGCTGTGTTTTGTAGGAGGATCGTAGATACACGGTACAATGCGTGAATGGTGGACATCTGCTTTTCACCCGGAAGAGCTTTCTTTAGCCTGGGGCAGGAGACGGGGAGAACGGCCCACTAACCCGGCCAGCAATTTGGTGGCCCTCCCGATCCTGTTGTTGTTTCTCGGTATCCCATCCCAGTACCGCGAGGGGTATCTGTGGTTGTGTGCTGCGGGCACGGTGAGCGAGTACCTGCAGGAGAACTCTACGGGAGGAGGGGGCGAGTTGGAACGGTACGGCCCGCCGGCCAACCCCGTAGGACAAAGACTTCCCCTGCCAAGTTTGACCAACAAGCATGTTTCATATAAGGTGCCTTTAAGACAAGACTCAGATTACAATAATAATATGCACGAAATGTTCAGAAGAACCACCGTTGGGAAAGGTGCTGATGACAGGACTGAAAGATTTTCCTGGAGGAAAACTCGGAGAAAGTCGAGGAGGCATCGTCGGGGGGTTGTGGACCCTGACGCGCCAGATGTACCCCCCACCGATTGGACTGTGCAGCCCACCCCGACGGAACAAGGGGAGTTTCCACCGTCAAGTGTTAGTACTTTCACCCCAGTGCCTGATTATGCAAGCACGGCAAGTGCGCAGTCCGGTTCCGATATGGGGACCAGTTATGCAAGAACTAGCAGCTATCTGCAGTCGACGCCCAGCGTCCAAGAAGTAGAACTAGAAGCCACCACAAATCGTCGACCGGGTGGCTTTTCCAGACCGATTACTCCTCCCTCCCCGTCCCTCTCAGACACTGGATCACAACGTACCACAATCGCGTCATTGACATTCCAATTCCCACCCACCTTCATCCCACCACACGGGTCAACCCTGCCCAACCCAACCTCCCCGAGCGCCCCAGATGATCCCAACGCCCGCCCCACAACTCCCCCGGAAACCACGGGAGGAACCGCCTTCTCCGATCGCCGGGACTCCAATTCGCCTGAACCGAGTACACTCAGTCAGTCATCAACCGTCACAGACGGCATTTCGAGCTTTACTGAAGCCGAAACGGACACAGTTACCCCGGGAGACTTGGCAGCGGAAACGCGGCAAACGTCGCCGGCTTCGCGCTCACCGTCCACCGGAGTGATTTTGAACAGCTCCGCTGAATCGACGTCACGAGCTAGCACCGGCCTCACGGGTCCTTCAAAACGTGAGTGAACGATATTTCTGATTCCGTCTGTTGGCAAAGCAGATGCATGGACGTCACAAAGTTGCTCTTTTGCGCTAGGTATAGATGCATCTTTGCTCAAATGTTACCAAATGTAGAGGTTTTTAATACGTGTGACGATGTCGCACTTGACCGAGAATTTGCATTCACTGTGTTACCCTCAAATCACCCAAGTGCAACGTAGCGAGTCAACTCAATTATATTTTGAAAATATCTTATTGAATCACGTCATCAAATTTCTGTCGTCTCTTTCGAAAATAAATCACTCGAAATAAATCAATTTTTTGTCACCGCACTTAAATTTATCACCATATGCAACCAGTGTAAAATGTTAACTCCGCCGTCCTACACCACCGGTCTTAATAAATTTGCGCCGCAAGTTTTGCAGTGAGCTAAAAAAAAAAAAAAAAAAAAAAATACGGTTAAAATATTTTCTACAAATTGAAGCACGCGTTCGCGCATCATCTATCAGAAAGTTCGCCAAATTGCAGCTGAACATTTCAATTGCTTTCTGTTATAATAATTATTGGTAACATAAAATAAACTGGGTTTTTCAAGAACTGCCAAAATAAAAACATATGCGGTTATTTCGCAGATTAATTGAGAGATTTGGCGCGACAACAAAATCACAGGAAACCTCGCGCGAGAGAGATGAAGGATTTATGGTGGGGGAACTTGAGCATCCCTGGACAACGCCTGCCAAAAAAAAAACAAGAAAAAAAACAGAGAGAAAAGGAACTTAAAGGCATACGATCATTTACATTATCCCAAAAGTAACCTACCAAATTATTATCAAATTACTAATACTAAATATTATGTGTAATTATGCTTTCTGGCGTGCGGTCATTGAGAAGAAACTGAGAAATGTGGGTGCTTTCCAATGATCAGTCAATGGCCTGTTTTGGGGAAATAAAGAGTCCTGTGTTGGCCAAATCGTGTTTCGTGATCAAAAGGTTGTGCACGGTTTTTCACTGCTTTTATTATCTTTTCTCGAAAATTGTAATATCCACTGAGCTGAAACTTCAACAGGTGAAGTTTTTGTCGTTGTATTTCGAGTGGTGTTATTATACAGGGTGAGTCAAAAAAAGCGGAACCCAAACCCCCCCAAAATATTTCCAAATAGCACCAAAAATAATAATGAGTGGAAAGCCAATTTCATAAGCTACTTTTAGATGAACAAATTACTGAAATTGCTCAATCCGTTCCAAGAATATCACTATTTAAACGTAATGACCCTAAAACGTGTTTCGTCCAAAAAAAGCAACAAAGAAAATGACACAGAATACTTGTTTCAACAACTGCCAACAACTGTAGTACACAATATCTTTATTCACAACCCTGCTTAGGCAAACAATATGATTTATAAAATCCACTTTTTTTAAAGACGGACCTTCAAAATGACTTTGTTGAATATTTTTAGCTTTTAAACTAAGGATTTATCGCTGGTGATGTTTGAAAACAATTGTGACGACGATTCTTGAAATCGCATTTTTGGACGAAAGAGGTTTGAGGGTCATTGTCTTTAAATGGTGATATTCTTTAAACGGATTGAGCAATTTCAGCATTTTTTTCTAGTAAATGTAGCTTATGAAATTGGCTTTCCAGTCATTATTATTTTTGGTGCTACATATTTTTTTCAATATGAAATACAATTTTGAGGGTTTGGGTTCCGCTTTTTTTTTGACTCACCCTGTAATTATAAGAATGGCACCTTGAGAAAGACATTCCCATAGGATTGTGCACACACACACAAATCAAACTTTCGTGACCCTAACCCCCATTTTACCTCATCCTACCCCCACACGAATTTTAATGCATTTATGTTTTGGACCACGAACAATCGATCTAACTTATTTGCGACACTAAATAGGAGTTATGACATTAGGGAGACATTGAAATGTCTCCCTAATCTACCTTGCCTCCGTAATGTGTGACGTATGACGAAAACATGTCTCATTAAGGGTACATTTACAGGCATTATTGGAAACGAACAAATTACATGGAAAGAAAATGATCCCTTATGCCTTTAATCAATGCTCCATATGCCCCCATCAGGCATCATTCCGAAATTCGTTAATTCAATGTCACATTTGTATCCTTATAACTCCTTTCATTTGATAGAACGTTTCTATCAAAAACAAACATTAAAACACAATGCAACCCGTTGATGATAATTATTAATATTATATCTGTATACCAGCATTATTAAAAGATAAAGGTCGATTTAAAAAGCAAATGCGAACAAAAGTTATGAGGTCAAATGTTTAATAATTAACGAGAATTCATCGGCCCTATGGCTCATTTTATGCTCATAATCAAAGACAATTGTACAGGCTGTACATTGGACAGCGTTTAATTAAATTGACCAATGGTACGGCATCTTAGATTAGAATGCAGATACTCAGTCCTTTTGCGAAGGTATTAACGGAAACGCTAATTGGCCGAAGCGTGTTTCGAGATGCATGCTCCGAGCATCAAGTGCTCCAGGAAAACGATAATTATAAAACCGAGAAATTGATGGCTTTCACACCAGATATTCTATAATGGGTTTTTTTCAAGTGGCAATGTTGAGCCTTTTTGATATCTGGGTCAATCGAGCTTGCATTTTTTATTGATCGTATAATAAAGCGTTTTTGGCGCGAAACCTTTCATCGAGGGAATTGTCAGCCACTTTTCACATTCCATGGGAACGTGTCAGCTGCTATAGGACCATTCTTCCTTTGCGATGCTCGCCTTTTTTATACACGATATATATTCTGTATTACAGAATATTGAGTTTCCTTATTGTATCGTAAACAGTGAGCATTAGCGAGCAGGCCATTAAAATACAATCGTGTCAGGTGGCACGTTCACATCAGTATTATCTTTTGAGACGTATACACGGTGCCTCTGTATGGCGTTTGTGTAAGCTTAATTCCTGTTCAATGTACCGTTAAGGAGACATTGTTTCTTCATAAGATATAGGGAGACACTGCACATTGGGAAGACATTTCAATGTCTCCCTAATGTCATACAGAACTATTTAGAGGCAAACTTTTAATGTCGCAAATAGACTATAGATCGATTGCCCGAGGTCCAGAACAAAATATATACCAGTGTTGTAGTCGAGTACTTTTTTCCGAGTACGGAGGTACTGCCGAGTACTTAGGTTGCCGAGTACGAGTACGAGTACCTGTACCTCCGAGTACAAGAACGGGTCTCAGAGTACGAGTACTTGTACTTACGAGTACGAGTACGAGTACGAGTACTGTACTTCCGAGTACGAGTACGAGTACAAGTGCTTGTTTTTCTGAATACGGCCATACGGCAAATGGTTCATGCGGCGTAATTGGCCCAGGCCCAGTCAAATCGATATACAGACCCACTCACGGCTAGCTGTTAAATGTGTTTGTCCAGACGTGCACAGAGGAAAATCAGGAAACTTTGATTTCTCCACAAGTCAGTCAACCATTTCAAACTGAAAGTATCGAAAAAATAAGTCTGTGGTATATAGCCAAGCTACACCATTCCCGCCCCCCCCCCCGAGTATTGCTATTCGAGTACAAGTACTTTGCTGCCCGAGTACGAGTACCGCCATTTCGAGTACGAGTACTTTGACATTCGAGTACGAGTACGAGTACGAGTACTCCAAAAAAGTACTCGAGTAGTACTCGAGTACGAGTACTACAACACTGATATATACCAAAATTCGTGGGGTAGGACAAGGAAAAATAGCTAGGATTAGGGGCCATTATAGTCGGTAAACTTTTGAGCACAACCCTAGAAGAAGGTAATAGCCAAAAACTACACCTTTTAGTTATCTCTGTGGCGAGCCCTCCGCATGGTTTTAAAAGCAATATCTCATAGGCCTATATTGGAATTTTAACTAATATTATAGCAAATGTAGCAGAATACATAATATCAAAATGTCCATAGAAACCTTCCTCCATGCTTACATATTGCTTTGGCCAGGTGAAGTGTGAAATTTAAGTTGGACTCTACGAAATACAGACTGATTGGTTGTATTGCGCATGCCTAAGTGGACATAACTAGGACAGAGACAGATCACGTGTGAGGGTTAGAGTTCATATATGGTAAAGGGACAGGTTTTCGGGGAAGTCCAAATTTCATATGACACCTGGTTTTAACGTAAACCTTGCTGAATGCTTCACAGAAGTGTCAGCTAATGCAAGGCGGGCTCCATCACAGTCATTTCTTTAATAAACGCCATAATCGTCCATTTTTTGTAATAGATCGTGTTGCGGCCATCATGATTGTTTTCCCATTCAAATCAAAGTAACCAAAGCGAGGCTGGAAGGAAAAATAGTCTGGTTCCTTTTTGCACAAGCAACATTATCATCCAGTACTGTTATTGGATACAGGGATCATGACTGAAATGGTGGCAGCATGATAAAGGTCTATTGCACTGGTGTCTCGCTGCCAGCAACGAAACTATTATACGACACTATACGTATAAAAGTTCAACCTCAATATGGATTTTTAAAAATTATTGCACACTAACGCCGAAGAATCTACGATCACCTTTTAGACCATCACATTAATCACCCTTTTCAACATTATACTCGGCCCCTATAGACTAAATTATGAAGACACACGAGCTGCAATAATGTATTCTTTATTATATATTTCTGTGGATATTTGGTAATAATTGACAGCATACAGCATATTCATCCAGTAGGCCTATCTTTCATTGCAATTAAGCCCGCCCCTGCTGAGAGATAATCCTCAAGCGAATAATCGAGTAATTAAATCCGACATTTGGCCATACCGTTATTAACTCATTAACATAATACTGTCTGTGCCATTTTCGAGTTTCACCCAGAAAAATAGAAGAATATGTTTCTCTAGCAATACAAAAATTATTCACTTTCAAAATGATTATTCGACAAGTCTGCGCAAGGTTAGTTTTGGAATAATAATACGTTTCGATCATTTATACGTATAACCATGCGTTTCTTCTTACAGCGAGGTTTGTTATGGCA